TGATAGCAGGAATATACATGTAGTTTTGCGAATTTACGGACCAGTTGTTTGCTAGCAAGCAAAGGTTTGGAATCCATCGTTCTCTAAATTTCACTGAAAAGGAATCGTTACCATTCGATCCAGAACCTGAATAATTGTAATTTAAAAAGCCATTGACTTAATTGATCAATTGAGGAGATCTAGCTAGATCTAGCGCTCGATCCATCATGCAAAGTACAAAGTGTCTTTGGATCATCCTATCCTCACTCTCCTGTAAGTCGCTACAAAGCACTCCTATTGGACTCCTGTTGCTCTGCGCAGCTACTTTCTTATCACGCTCTCATTAGAGTATCTCTCCTAACTAATTAATCTGAATTCGAAAACTTACCACTGTAGCTCAGTTGTATTCTTCCATTCCATGGGTATCGATTTCACACAAGGGCTATTCTAAGCTGGTCTCGTTAGCAAGCTCCAGAACTGAACCCGTCATTTTGTTCCGCTAATTTTTGGCATAGTGGTATTTATAACCCACATCGCACACCACAAGCTATAGCTAATATTTTAGCCTTTTACAGCATCTAAATAATTAAATTTAAATACTATTTTCACAACGCCAGACAACCCCGACGCCCGGGTAACCGCCCGGTTAAGCACCGGCAGCTCGGTGCTATTTCCGGTAACAAAGGCCTCAGCTCTCGATCTCTGTCTAACCTGTTTCTGTTCTCTCCCCAGCAACAAACAATTTCAGGAACGCGCAACACAAAGCTCACCTTACTAAAGGTCCTACAACTCTTATCTGTCCTCAAACCCTTAAAGCGCAGTTATATATACCTGGTCCCTTTCTGCTACTGTACACTTTACGCCTCTTTATCCATAAATACCTTCTCGCCACAATGTCACAAAACTACAATAAGAAGTCCCCCACCATAAAACGGATCCGTAAGCTGCCAGATCATAGTACCCCATGTAACAAAGCTTGCTAACCTTCCCAGTCCGCGAAGCTGCAGAGCTAGCCTCCGCGCCCTCCCCAGACTATCATGCAGCCCCTCTCGAATCAAACCTCATGGAATGGCACTTCACCATCCGCGGACCTCCATCCACACCATACGCGAACGGAATCTACCACGGTCGCATCGCTCTCCCTCCTCAGTATCCTCTTCGCCCACCATCATTCCGCTTCCTGACACCCAGCGGCCGCTTCGAAGTAAACCGTGAGATCTGTCTTTCAATCTCTGGCCATCATGAAGATACCTGGCAGCCAGCGTGGGGTGTGCGCACTGCCGTGGTGGCGCTGAGGGGCTTTATGGAAGGCGAAGCGAAAGGGCAGCTAGGTGGTATGGAATGCAGCGCGGAAATAAGAGAGAAGATTGCTGGAGAATCCGGAAAGTGGAAGTGCGAAGGATGTGGCGGGCAGACTAACGAGGAGATACTGGCGGAGAGCGCTGCGAGAGCGAAGGAACTTGGAGAGAAGGAAGAGGAGGCCTTACCAGAGGGGCTGAAATTGGCATATAAAGACGAAATGAAGAAAGAGGAGTCGACACCTTCTTCATCATCGTCGTCGTCGTCGCCAGCAACGCCAGCACCGATCCCTACACCGACGACCACAGCTGGGTTTGCGCATACCCCTACTCCACCTCAGCCGATAACGCCACAGTATCCAAACCCACCGCAACAGCAAGTGCACACTGCGCCTCTTGCCCAAAGAGCCGAGACGCCTTGGTTGGATAAATTCATCTGGGCGCTGGTTGTTGCACTTGCTGCACTGGTCGCTAAGAGATATTGGGGACTAGAGATTGTGGTGCTTTAGTAAAAAAGCGATTTCGGTCTTTCATAAACTTTAGCTTTGGCATTTGGTTTAGGTTGGTAACTTTGAGAGGAGTTTTTTTTTATTTTTTATTTTTTTTCTTCTTACTTTCGTCTGTTTAGGTATCAAAAGCAGTGGGCATCAATGCGCTCGCATGACGCCGAAATCCTCTACGTAGGAGATAGGATTCTTAGCTATTTATATGGCATAAACCGGAGATGATACAGAGTAACTATCGTGGAGTAGCTTGTTGTGGTAGTGACTTGCGGCTAGAAGACTGTTCCTCGCGGATTAGACAAATAAGAGTGGTGTAATATAGTTTCAAAATAACTGTTCAGTATTTCAGTTTTTTTTTTGTCGCTTTATCAGTATTAAACGATGGTACGGTTGGCTCTAACTTTGTGGTTCGTTTCTTAGTACATAGTTCTTTCCTAAGAAAGACGCGGACCGAGTGATATTCTATGAAGCGCTATCGCTTCATAACTAGACCTGATACGGGAGCAAGAGTTTTGGAGCAATTAGAGGAGGCTACCTTTATCATATCTAGAGGAATTTTTTGCACAAGTGGGGTCGGAAGCCATAGTTATATACTCATATCTTCTCTTTGTCCTATAAGATCAACTGTCCCTGGGGCGAATGAGGAAGGTTTCGCCCCCGGCTTGGTCCTTATGGTGACACTTAAGGGATATTGATCTCCTTCATGAACTATTTTCGGAAGTACATCTGGTGAGTCTATGTACCGCGAGTCAGATACTGCCTGCAGAACAATAGACAATCTGTTATGACCCATTTCTCCTGAGCTCTTTCGCCCATCCGGATCCCCTCTCAATGCTAGATGTAAATATTATTAATCTCTTGTTCATCTCAGAACTAGCTTACGACCGAAGCACTTGCGTGTGGGGGCTTACCATCATCAGAGAAGGTTCGTAGGTCCCAATTTGGCAATTACACTATACTGGCAGAATTCCCGCAGTAATAGGTATATATTTTACGTGCAGGCCTAGGCTGAATTTTCGCTTGTGAAGCATAGAAGATCTGGGGTACACACATACATGTGGTCCTTGTCCCCTGGCAGCGGGGAACGAAGATTATGATCCGGATGATGCGGCGCCGCTGTTGAAGCGAAAGAAATAAGGTTTATATGTGCCAGCCTGGCGTTGACCCTCTCTGTCATGTAGGTACCAGTCAACGTCGGCTATCCGGATCCTAGTTTACATCTTATGCTCATCCCCCACACTAATGCTGTATCCTGTGAAATTTCCGTTTTTTATCGCCAGGAAGGTCGAAGTGCTGAATCCGCTTACCTTCAACTAGCTACGTGTTGACTAATAAGGTGCAGGTCGAATCGAATCCTTGCGCCCATCTTCGGGTCCGAATATCCTTATGTTCTTATCAGGAACTCATCAAGACTGTGCTACTGATGATTGAATTAAGTGTTTTCTTGTAAGGATTTGATCCCTTGCCAGATGGATGCATATATGCCCCCTTCGACTCTTCAACACCTCAACTCTACCCCGCCGCGGCCCCGGGCGAGAAAACTTCACCACCACATGTGACCATCATTCAGCCAAGATGTTGTGTGCTGGATATGGAGGAACATATTATTTAAATGATTTTGTATCACCAGATGCCGAAATCTAGTGACGTTCAGATTATGAATTTGGTACGATAATATAATGTCCCTCTCGAATACTTGTTTTCGGGATTATTGAAGGCTTTAGCCCGAGTCTTACTTCACCCATTGACCATACAATAGGGATCTATAGAAGACAGGAATGTACAGGGATTGATAGGAGAATCCAGTCAGACTTTTATGTCACGGCGTGATCATGCACACTCACGCTCATATATACTTGGAGTCTTGGCCAGCATTAATATTCGACATCACAGGGATCTTGAAACGTTTGTCATAGAGAGGATTTATATAAAAAAAACACTCCTGATGTGCTCGGGCTGCAGTAAAAATATCGCTGGGTCCTTGGTCTACGCATTGGACGTATAGATAGTTCGATTATGGGGTGATTAAAAAAGGCTGTTTGCACTCGTCTGGCATTCCATGGAGAAAACATCATATCTGGGGTGTTTTTCGTAATACGTACCCCCTCTCGAAAAACAATCAAGATGGCTGCACATTAATTAATCTCCAATCAACATATGATGAGTGGAGGTATAACCCTGTCGGTATCAACAACACCTTCGGCGGACCCCACCACCACTAGGTCCGTCCGAATAGTGTAATACTATCATTGTGTTACATATATGGGGTTAGTTCTGGGTAAGGAAGATATTGCAATGCGTAATCGTGTTATTCATATTTTATAGAAAACGTTTTGCGCCGGCTCGAGGTTGAGTACTAACATAACTCTTATTTTTTTGATAGATATGTGGGTTATCTATATCAGTACTTGGGCGGTTACTTTAGCGCTTATACTATTTGCCCTGGAGAAAGTTGGATATGAGTCTCTATATGTGTATTAGGGTATCGAGGCGAGATATTTGTTATTCAGGTTTACCATCACGTTTTTATTTAAACCTTTGATTACCTACATGCAACCTTTACTTATTGACCTTGTGATAAGTATCCGTCCAATACCTTGCAGATGAGTATTTTTTTGCACTTTGGACAAAGAATTCTTGATATTTTATGCATAAGGAGAATTACATATAATTCATTTAAATTCGGTGGTTCCGAGGAGAGCAGAGCCGGGATCCCCCAAGGAAAGCTGTTAATATCAATGATACTTGCAACCATATAACCGCTACACACTACCAGAACTTTGGCGCCATGCCAGGATGCTCTCTATGCGCCCCGCAAAATGTCATCGGACGAACATGCATACAAATCGGACGGTTTAATCCGTCACTGCAACTCTAAATTGAAGGGACAGCGTGAGCTGTCCGGAAATGTCGGGGGGTCGTCGCGGGGTTGAAGGGGTAATGATATATTGTACCCCTGACTATTTTGTAATTAAGGCAGGTTCCGAGCCATTGCCATGGTATGGGTATGATAATCAATACCACCGTCGGCCCTGATTGCCGTTAAAACTTTCTTCTTATAGTGATTGACACTCAACTAAACATTAAGCATGGTTTTGACAGGTGAGTGAGCGAAGTGAATTGGGGAGTATAAATTGGGTAGATATTCCACTGTCAATTCGAATCTTCAGACTGCGATTCGGTAGTAAATTGAGCTCCATTCCTTTATACATCTTTCAAGATGAAATTCCTCTCTGTTGCTCTCGTTCTCAGTGCGGCGTTTGTCGAGCAGACGCTTGCCCATTGTAAGCATACATTGACTTCCATTATGAAAATGTTAATGCTAATATCTTTTAGACCGGTTCTACAAGTTCATCAATGCCGGGACTGTCGGTGCCGAATACGTCGGTATCCGCACGAACACCAACACCAACTCTCCCGTAGTGGATGTGACCTCTAATGACATGCGCTGCAATGTCGGCGGTCTCGCTTCTGCATCCTCCACCTCGACCATCGCCGTCACCGCCGGGAATACCATCGGTTTTCAGGCTGATATTGCGGTCTTCCACCCCGGTGCGTTCAACATCTACATGGCCAAAGCCCCAAGCACTGCAGCTGCCTTTGATGGCTCTGGCTCCGTGTGGTTCCGTGTATGGGAGCGGGGCGCAACTTCCATCACCAGCGATGCTATCACTTTTGATACCACCTCCAGTACTTTCACCTTCACTGTCCCAAAGAGCTTGCCCAACGGCGAGTACTTGGTCAGAATTGAACATATTGCCATTCATGGAGCGTCCTCATTCGGTGGTGCCCAGTTCTACATCTCGTGTGCGCAGATCAGTGTTACTGGCGGTGGCTCAGGGTCTCCAAGCCCGAAGGTGGCTATCCCCGGTGTATACACTGGAAATGAGCCTGGTATCTTGATCAACATCTACTGGCCTATTCGTAAGTTGCCTCTCCCTTGGGCTATAATCGTATTTATACATATTCTGACTATTATATCCTCTGCAGCCACGAGCTACACTGTTCCTGGACCTACCATCTGGTCTGGCTAGATCTAGGAGAGCTGGGTTAGTTTTAACGTGTAATGTTTATGTAAAAATGGGGAGTTGGGTTGAAAAGGAAATATTAGCACTGGATTTGCAATCAATATACATTTCCGTAAATGTGCCGGTGATGCAATCATAGTATACGTTCATGTGAAAACTGGTTTTGTGTATGGCTAAGAGTTGCTGTCAACTCATGCTCACTTCGAAATGATGCCAAATGATGTCCGTCCCAAATGATAATGGGTTGGAGTTCTTATATAATTAGTGTGAAAATGAGGTGATTTGTCCACCATACGTTGCAGCTGGCAGCTCACAATAGTGTTTCTTCGTTTTACAGTGCATGCCACCTAACATATAATTAGGCTAACCTATCTCTATTCTAGGCTGTTCCTCCCTTGTATCTTTTTGTGATTGTCTGTCCACATGTAGCCAGTTATAAACTGGTGAATATATGTTTCTGTGCTATGTGAATAGCCCTAGCCAGAAGCTCCCATCTTCTACATCCCATCACCTTGTACTTTATCTTTTTTTTATCGATATATCACAAACCACTGAGCCAATTGCAAAGCTCCCCTAGATCACTCCATGACAGATTCCAAAGAAATCCCACACCTCCCCATCAAGCTACGCGGCCAATCCAACTTCAAAACATGGAAAGCCCTCATAATGAGTTACCTCCGCTACTACGGAGCCCAAGATGTCGTATTTGGGACGATACCTCGTCCGCCCCCAACACCCAACGATGAATCCGCAGCAGCGAGGGGGAAATTTACACAAAGAGCCATTGACAGAGAAGTATGGGACAAGCTCGATATCTTCTCCATCGTGTTTATCCATACGAACGTAGAAATGCACATCCTCCTAATAACCACACCTTATACCCACGCACATGAGATGTGGGCCGCGCTCTGCAGAACTTTCGAGGGCAGACACTTTGTCACGCTCCACACCCTGCTCAAGACTGTGCTTACTTTGACATATGACGATACCGAGCCGCTGATTAAACACCTCGGCGAGTTTGAGCGGCTGTGGGTGATGCTCATCGAGCGGAAATTGGGGGCGGATCCAACGTCGGTTGGGGCGGGCTCGGTGCTGGCGTGGGCGCTGAAAAAGTTGGCTAATAATGACGAGGCGAAGAAAACTTTCCTGCTGATGACACTGCCTCAGAGCTATGAGGGGGTTGTGAATGATATGCTGGCGAATGAGAAAATGGGTTTTAAAGATGTTTATCAATATCTGGCTAGGGCATCTGTATAGCAGTTGACATTGTGGTTACTCCCCTCTGTTTAGAACACGAGATGTCATTAGTTGCTTTGTTCTCTCTGGATAATATTTTTGGGTTTCAACTGTATAGGAAGGTATAGATGTTAGTCCTACGTCTAGGAATGCGGGGGCAGGGTTAGTCTAAGTGTGCGGACTTTTGTGCGCATAAGTACTGCATGAGCTAGTGGATGGTGTGTCTACAGGTATCCTTTGGGGTGTGACAATGAATGAAGAAAAGCAACTCTTTTTTCTTCTTTGATTCATGATTCGTTTAGAGATACTCATACTCGCATTACTGACGATAATAAATACGAGTCAACCCTGGTTGTATGGGGAATTTAGTCGGCTGAAATCACAACTTCTATGAGGTCAAATCTGGGCTAGAGTTTCAGCTAGAAATTTAATTTATATTGCTATCAAGTAAGGTTGCTATCCCATCCCTTTTTTCTTTTTGGCTTTCGGGCATTGTTAGATGATGACATGATAGGCCTTTTGAAATACCACCACGATGTAAAACGACAAAACAAAAAAACCGACAACTCCGCCTAACCCTATGGGCTTTTTTTTAACACTCCCAACTATCCCTACTCTTGCTATACCCGTCAGGGCCCCAAGAGCTGCCATTTTCAGCTGAACCGGATGTACTCAAGCCCTCATAACTAGTCCTTTCGTCATCAGACGGAGGGTGGTCCCATCTAGGGCTCCTGCCACCATAACTACAATCAAATGTTAAGGGCTCACCATCCGTCTCATATGGACGTGGCACCGCCCAGGGGTCCTCCTTTAAGTTTGGCTTGAAGAAAATCAACACGATCTTGTCGTCCATGGCGTCAAATGACTGATCACTCGGGACCTTAAGCATTCGTGCCTCGTCTTCGACTTCAACTTCCATGCCTTTTTCATCCATTTTGTTGGAATCCATCGTCCACACAGCAACAGTATATAAGTGGTGTTCATCGTCATATTCAGGTTCTGAGTACATCGAGCCGCAGCAGGAACTGCTTTCTGCGAGGTCTTTGCAGGGGTTTTCTGTGTCATAGTTGTGAGAGTCCTCAAGAGCCGAGTCTTCGAAAGCTTTTTCTTGGAGGAAGGTTTCAACTTGAAGAGGGTTTCCTTCTTGGACAGAAGCTTCTCCTTGGAGAGGGGTTCCTTCTTGAAGGGAAGTTTCTTGGAGAGAAGCCTCGTTTTGAAGAGGTTGTTTTTCTTCTTGGTGAGAAACTTCCTTTGGAAGAGAAGGTGGCTTTCCCAAACAGGAGGGTAATGTTACGATAAATGTTGGTGAGGTTTTTGGGCCATTGACGGTTAATTTGATGAGTTCAGGTTTTCTCTCACCAGGGGGTGGTGACACTTTCAGGTCGACGGTTGAGGTGGGAGTCGTGAAAATGTTTCTCCCTGAATGAGTATATCAATATCATAAACCACAGCATTCACGGCAATGAGGGAGAAAGCTTACACTTAGCTTTAGATTTCGCATGCTCCTTGCTCCTATATGCAGCGAGTTCCATGATACCCAGATTACCTGAGGTCATAAGCATCTCTTGGAACACTTCGAAATGGAATCTAAATGCCCTCTGTAGCCCCCAGTTCCTATTCCATACCTCTCGCAGCGGAACAATCATCCTGACGATGTCAACATCGTCGACATTCATGCCAGCAAGCTCTTTTGTTAGTTCTTCCATTCTTTCTTGCTCTTTACAGTCCGCCTTTTTCCTGGTTAGCCGCCACTCTTGGAGAACTTCGGCCGAGGGCGGATTATCAATGTCATAATCAGCATAGAACTCGAGACGTTCGTCGAGACGTTCATCGTGTCTCGACTCCGGACGTGTCAGTGGCTTCCCGATACGCTCCCAGGCCAATGCAACAAGTGCCGGCATGAAACTGGGAAATGTAGCCTGCACCATCGCCAACATCTCACAGCAGGGCGGTGGGTAGATTTCGTTTTTAACCCATGGGTAGACATCCCGGCAGACAAGCATCAGGTCGTTAGTCGGGAGTGCATTCCAGAACTGTGGGAAAGCTTCTGCATCCAACGCTGAGCCTAATTCTGGCTTCTGCAGCATAAAGATCGCAATCTGGGAACAGGGACCCAATACCTCTCTCGCACGAGATAGGTAGCTTGATGTCAGGAGCGGCTCGCCGAACAAGTCGGAAAGGCCATCGCCGAGCTTTGAATTGCTGCCGGTAAGGACAGCATCATAGTTATCTTCAGGGTCACCTGTGAACTCGTCTGTACAGTTCATGACAAAATCGCGAACTCGGGCGTCATCGCAGACAGCACCGCAGTCGAAACTCCCAACACCAGTAAAGACCACACGATATCCAAATTTCTCAGCTGCCTCTTTGGCCCAGGCTCTGAACTCAGCCCGGGTCCATTCGAAGCGGTGATCATGGTGACGCATCGCATATGGGATCTTAGGGCGGAAGAAGCGACGCTCTGGATCGTGTGGCAGGGCTGAATCAAAGACCTTGTTGAAGTCCCTGTTAGGTGTAGTAATAATGCAGACCTTTGGACGCATCTTTCCTAGAAGCACCGGAGCATAATTCCCAAGTGGAGTAGGATCCAAATGTTCAATAACTATGGGCGAGGGTTACGATTAGCTCTCTGAGTGACGTAGGGACCGAGTGATGATGGGTGCAGCGGATGCGAGTGATTATTCATGATGGATCAAACATACCTTCTGTCGAGACGATAATATCGTGTTTTGGGATAACTTCCGGAGATAATTGTTCAAATGATCCTATCAAGCCGCAAATAATTATTTGTTAGTCCCCGTTTTTCTTTTTTCTTTCTTTTTTTCTGTCACAGCACACACGTTCCTCTACTCTTGATTTGATCTTAGGATAGAAAACTTACCATGTAGTAATCTCACTGTAAGCTCCCTCCAGCGTGCTTCCTCATCTTTATTATCTGGCTCAAGGCTCTCGATGAGTTCTTGGGATAATAAGTCGTCATCCATATCGATGCCCGTAATATTTTCGAGCGGCAAGTCATCGTCACAGGGCATTAGGGAACGCAAGAGGCAGAGGTCAGTCCCACAGCCGACATCGAGAATACTTTTAAGCCCCTTATCACCAAAGACTTTGGACAAAGAGAGCTGGCGTAAGAGCTCATGCACAGCTCTACGACGCTGCAGAAAGAGGGGAGGTTCAAAGATAATGACTGGCTCGGGCGTGGGGGAAGAGGGGGCGGAATTAACTTCGTCCATCTTTCTGGGCTTGATGTTTTGTGATGGATGTTTTGTGGTGTTGGAGGAAGAGAGAGTTGGGTGAGGAAGGTTGGGTTCTGGGGTTATTACGACCCAGATCACGTGAGGTAGCGGATAGGTGGGCTGTTTGTTCCTACGAGGTGAGGGTTTAGGGCACGTACTTGACTAATGGTTTAGAGGGTGATCAGGTACGTACAGGTACGTACTTTACTGCACGTGCTGCACAAAAGAATGCGTTCTGTACGAAATCTTTTAGCACAGGTCCAGAACATATGGGGAAGGAAGGGTATTCAACTTGAAAAGTTTTGTCGATTGAACAGATGGAATTTAAATGTAGGGAACCTTTGCGTGGTATATATATACCTCTTACTGCGGGGTGGTTGCATGCATGGTACCTACATGTGCCTGCCTAATTTTTATGTGATGTATTTAAGCCGCGAATCACCCATTGTCACTCGCGGAAAAAAATAAAGGACGAAAACAAGAAAATGCAATTATTTCATTGGTTTTCAGAATAAGAACTGCTAAACATAGAAGAGGAGATCACAATTCACAGACCACAGTAAGTAGAAATACAATATTTACACGGGTACCAATTCCTTGTTTGATTTTCCGCCTTACTTCCTATCCGAGTCCCTCACGTCCCTCTCGTCCTCAATCTTCTTCAGCATCTCCTCCCTAACATTAACCTCCGGCCCCGTCTTCTTATCCCTATCCGCCCTATCCCTCTGCTCCCACACATCCCATATCTGCTCCATGATGATACTCCCCACACTATCCGCCTCCTCCTCTCTCTTCCTCATATCCTTCACGATCTTCTCCCCCTTCCAGCCCCCCACCTTGACACCATCCACCTCCGGCTTCCTCGCAAGACTCTTCGCCACATCCTCATGCCGTCTGAACCCGCGCCACATGTTGCGCCCATGCGCGTCTGTCACCTCGCTCAAGCAGTACAGCCACGCCGACCCAAGCCCAAATGTATACCAGTCGAGCTTCCTCGGTGGGATCAGCGCAAGCGCGGGACAGGCGACGAGGAGTCCCAGCGAGATTCGGTACCTGAGGGCTTCGTACTTGTGTTGCTGCGTAAGGTACTCGCGCTCGAAGGCGAGGCGGGCGGCGTCTTCGCGCGAGGGGGTGGCGTCTGGTGGGGGGACGGCCGCGGGTGGGGGCGTTACAGACTTGATCGCTGCTGGGTTTGCGGTCATTTTTGATTCGGTGTTTGGAGGAATTGCTTTTGGCAGTGGGTTGAGAGAGGTTGAGAGCTGGCTGCCTAAATGGGTTTTATGATATCGGCGGCGGGCGTGGGGTGAGGGCGGCGCAACGATGAGGTCAATGGATCCTAACGGGGGCCGGAAAAATGGTCGCTCTGTGTGACGTAGGATGCGGTTTAGTGGGGTCGCTTGATGCGAACTAGCGGGCACTATGCAGAAGGGTTAGGGGTCGTTGTCTTGGCGAAGTGACAAGCTTTTGTTACCGCTGATAGATTCCCGCAGGGATGATATTGAAACATTTTTAGAGGAAAGTTGTTGTAAAAAGCCACAGTGGTATGGATACATCTTGAGAGTGTTCTGAGTACTTTTCACTGATGTTTGGACTTATCGCCGTTAGTAAATAGAGTGCTGAAATTGTACATACCCAACCTCCAAAGTTTAGGATAAGTGCCAGCCTGGACACCACTCATCACTGGTGATACAATTGGTTTGGATAAGGTGATTAGTAGGCTATGAGAGCGGACAGCCCAGAGTAGTGGTTTTACCTTGGAGTGGAGACCGTCCCACAATAATATATACTAGAAATCGGCGATATGGAATGATATCCTGGCGTCTTAAATACCACATGTACATGTAGGTACTGTATTTACATAAACTGCAAGTAATTGGATTTATAGAACCACATTACATAATAAATCCATAAATTAGATCATAGTCTTGGAAATTCAAGCCCACGATATATATGTGATTGTGGCCCAATCAAAATCGAAGACAGCTGCAGCCTCTCGGAACCCAGCAAATGATACGCAACCGGCGACTAAAAATCGAATTTAATTAACTGGCCTAGTTTGGCTTAGTGCAACAATTAATAAACACTAGCTCCGTTAGCTAGCAGTTACATAATAATGTAATCATAAGATATCACTCGCGTCACACGTTCTACCACCAGAGGAAGAAAATCCCAAGTACCGACAGCCACTAGTCAGCTACATGAACCCCCTAATCTTCACCCGCAATCTCATCTATGTAGTTGCCTCAAAAACAATCCCGTAGTAGTAGAAGCTTTGTAACTTCCTTTCCTCAGCCCATGTCCAAAGTTTAACGTTGAATCAACACCCAAATACCTCATGACACTAGCACTGTTTAGCTCCTTCTCTCTCCTTTCTCCCTCATCTTAACAGTACACATGCACCTTTCACCGGAGATGAGATGCCCTCGCCGCCCCAAGAACAAAGGAAAGATTAAACATGCCCGAGGCGCGCGGGCGGGTATCTGCATCCCGTCAGCTAGGGGGGCTCATGCTCAGCTGTGTTCATCTCATCTTCTCCAACTAGCTCCAGTGACTCCCAGCACCATGGGTCTTCTCCCGCTGGCCAGAGCTGAAGTATGCCTCTGTGTTGCAATATTAATATATAGCCCACAAGACACCACCTCCCAGATTGAATCCACAAAACCTTTTTTTTCCTCTCCCCGTCCGGTCCATAGCGTAGCATAACACATGATGTCTTTCTCTCAGCAAGACCACGACATGACGCCTACACCGCAATCACCTACCCCTATCCTCACCAGCCTCCAGTTCCCGACCCACAGTCATCAGACCACTCTGTGTATCGGTGTGCTTGCGCACCTGGACCTGCTCTCGCGCGAGATAACGCAGATGCGCAACTTTATCCACATGGGATACAACCGCCTCAACGACGCCAGCCCCGACGGCGGAGAGCTACTGGCAAAGGTCGAGAGGTAAGTTGATTTCCTGGTACGCATTTGGTGGGTTGATCTGATGGTGCTGGTGGGAGAAGTGCGCGGCTCGAGGCAAGGATGCATAATAAGTTCCATGTCACGGAACTTGTGGAGCCGTTTCAGATACTGCCAATGTCGAGTGGGGAGTATCCTAAGGGTGTGCCGTGTCTTGGTGAGCATCTGAAGTCGATGAGTCGTGAGTGGTCTCCCCTTTTATTTATAGTTGAGGATACGTCTTGGAGAGGAGCTGAAAGAGGTCTTGTGTGGGTGTTAGATAAGGAAATAGACTGGTTGCTTGATCTTTATGAGCTGCCGTTTGTGCCGAGTATGTTCTTGGGCGAGAAGAAGATCGTGTATTTGAACTTCCTGGGAGCGAATAGAGTTGTCATGTATCGTATTTTGGATTAGAGGGTGTATGGATTGAGGAATGATGATGTAGCGCTAGTCCATGTGTAGTTAATATAAAAGAAGTCATAGCAGTCGCAGGCTTTTCAGAGTGAATTGTCGACATTGGCCCTTCTAAGTAAACTGGATATTATTCTGCGATAATTGGGGAAGTGAGGTGAAATACATAGAAATTGTTGAAGGGACACGTATAATATACATGACTAAATCTACATATAGTCTCGTACCCAGCCCGTTACTTGCAGCAAGCTTGCTCTGGAAGCATGGAAGTAGACGGGTTGGGGACGAGCCTAGACTAAATCTATCCTTGGAAAAGAACTTCTTCGACTCTTGTCTATTATCTAATCTTAAGATAGAGGTCTCATACATACTTATCCTCCCGATGCTCCCTATGCAGACCCTAATTAATCTACATATGTATGAAGACACCGATTATTCCCTTATAAGTTATGTACATCAAAGTCCTGTGGGAGACTTGTCCCGGAGAAATATCATAGAAAGGGATACATGGAGGCATATTGTAAATAAATGTGGACTACGTCGGTCTCGGACCACTTCTACAATTGCAACTACTGATGGAGCTTATATCATAGGATCTGGAATTAAAGACGTGCATGGATATAGCAAAATCGCGGTGATATTTAAGACGCAAACTCTACATATATAAGAATAATATATTAGGTAAAATAGTTCATATGCTATAATCTCTGTTAATCTCTCTCTCTATATCTCAAAGAGTCTCAAAGGAAATAAATAAGGAAATAAAGACACAGTTGCTAACAGTCCAGTCCAGTCAATAAAATAAGGTAAATAGACACAAAGAATAGAATCCATCGCGTCCTCATGAAAACCCCAGAACCTGCACGTTCAAGGACCTCCATATGTTGAAGACGATATGGTTAAAAGACAAGAACGTAGTGGCTGGACATGCGATATTTGCTGTTTACTTGGCTGGTAAAATGGCGAGTATTATTTATATAGGTCGGAGTCTAACAAATGACGCACTGGAACCAAATTTTGCCTATATATCAAAATATTAGTAAATTAAAAATGTTATAGTATATACACCAGTATATGCGGGAGAAGCTTTACCGCGCTGCTCATCAACGGGCTCCTCGGTCTCAGGCGCTGCTGGCCGGGCAATCGCGACAATGGAGGGTTGCATATTGCTATTGAGTTGGTAGGGTATATGAGATAGGATCTAGGAGGGTAGGTGAAATAATTTTCTGATGGTAGAGTTCGCTGCCTGGTGAACTTATGATTTCCTAGGAGCCGATGGCTGATTTTATACAAGATCACCGGGGCGTACTAATTCCTTGAAAACGGCCCGATAGTCGATGTGTGTATACAAGAGAAGTGATCTGGAGCGATTGAGGGTGTACATGAGGCTTGATTCTCAAGGGATTTCGTAGTGACGTTTCGGAAATGTTGGTGTAAAGGAATCATTGTAAATAACTTAAGAAAGAAAAAGAGGAAAGAGATGAAGGGAGTGAAGAGGGGGGTCGAAGAAAAAGTTATGACATTGTGATATTTTTTTTTGGTGTGTCGGAGCTTTTTGTTTCGTTGTTGGCTGGTTGGTCAGTGTTTGGTTACTTACATGGGGAACAATATTAAGAAGCACTAGTTTTTTAATATTGTTCTTTGCATCTTGGCCAAGAACAAGCAACCCGAAGAAAGTTGAAATATAGATTAACTGTCATGCTTGCCATCTCCACGTGGTTTACCCCTAGTTTTAAACGTATTTCTTGTTGTGGTTTACTTTGAATGCCTCAAGGGTTAGTGGAAGTACAATACTAATGATCCCGCGCTGGAAGGATATTCGCTACCATTGAGTTCTGAGATTCAAGTGATCTATGAACCTTTGTACAGAAATACCTCTTGCCTGAGTTAGTTGGATCTGTACCACTTAATCCAAGAGGCAGCGATCATCGTGACCAGTAGTAGTAATTGATAGTTTTAATAGAAAGTTTATGGGCCAGAGTAGAATTGGTCGTTATTCGGAGTGAGGAGACTAATAAATTGGAGATCAGCTTCATATAAAATTCTAAGGACATATAGACATTTGTGAAATGCTGCGTTAATAGAGCTTTCTATTTTGTGGGTGCTTGGTTATTATAGGTTAATTATTTATTCAACAAGGACTCTCAGATCTAGATAAAGCGGTGTAAAATAATTGACTCCGTATATTAAGATATACCCACTCAAAAAGAGATGTGTGTGAATATTTAATTATAACCCACGTGTGAATCATCAAGATATGTGTTAGCATAATCTGGCATTAGGGTTGATCGAAATCACATATTTAACCCCCGCTACACGTACACGCTCATCGATCTAGTCAACCGATCAAGTTGGAGCATAATAGCTATCGCCCATCGATCAATCTTAAGCGATAGGCGAACAGAGTCCCTGCAGTGGGATGTATCTTGTCCCTCACTGCCCCAAGAGTTCGAGTGATATGGCCTGTGGATTCAGTTCTTCACTCTGCCCAATCTCTTGTGGTTGTCGTCTGTGCGGACCACGAGACTCTCATTTACAGAGAAAAGATACTACCAGAGATATCAGATATAATGCGCGTAGTAGTATCGACATAATCAGTCACATCTACTCCAGGTAGTTAGCTTCATACTAATTTAGGTACCAGAAATTTATAACATCCTTTTCTCACTGGTCTCATCTCCAAAGGCAAGCCTGCTTAATTCATAACATCGGCGGCAAATAAGGGAATAGGATCGAATCTAAGAATTTCGATTTTAACTTTGTTCTTCGAAGTCCTCATCGGCCTCTCGCCTTATCAAACTGTTTTTCGTATCAGAAATATTTATTGACATCAACTTGTTGTTCTTTCATTGTTTTCATCGTTTTCCTCACGGCGTACTAGGCGGTCGGGTTGAGTTTAAAAAAGGTGCAGCCAACATTGTGCCGGTGGTGAGGACTTTTTTATGCATTAGCTGCACATGGTACCTAGCTCAAGAGAAACAACGTAGTACTGCAGTATCATTGGCGTAGTATAAGACCCTGGATTCCTCCTCTGCCCATAATAGCGAAGTTTTTACGTAATTGCTGTCTTTCGGGTAACTACATGTACATCATATACATGTAGGTGCAATATGAGGCCAGCTTCTCGATTTATCTCTACTCTAATTATACGAACAGTCAATATGCGTCTTTGTTTTCTTCTTGGTGTCTGATGTATTTAACAACCTAGATATATATCACGCGCAGTATCATCAGTTCCGCAAAACACAATGCTTAAAGGCCTTTGTGTTAAAATAATTAACACTCGCATATGGTTCCATCGGCTTATATGAAACAGATCTACTTTTATGGTCCCAGCTGCTATATCTGGTGATTTGTGGTGTTCCGCCGCCATTTTCCTCTCTATGACTACATCTAACCATCCTCCGGTCCTCTTTCTTCACTGCGCAGCTGGGTGTATTTAAGGCATCATCAGCTACGCTCCCTAAGAGACTAGGTCTACTATTATCCCAAAGCCGATCATCTAAAATCGGAAGGAGGAAGGAGAAGATAAGACGCTACATTTACCGGCTCATTATTACCTGGCTATGGGAAAACAGAAAACAGCTTCAAAGAAGGTTTGCGGGGCAGAGCACCTCCTTAAGGTAGTGAGGGTTCTCTCTAATCAACACCACACATATTAAGAGCAATTATCTGAGGGAATACGTTACTCGGTCACCGGCGATCTTTCTGCAGATTTGGGCGCCAATTTTAGATCTCCCGTACGAAAAAACCAGAAACACCAGAAATCACACAAAACCCACTACCGAGCACCGGCGGTGCCCTCAAATGCGTTACAGCATGCCACCTTTCTCCTGCCATCTTAACTGCACAAACTTTCCATACCTAGCATGTTAAGCCTCAGACAGAAGTGTTGCGGTCACGTACTCACAGTTACAGTATCTAAGCGAATGCAGAGGCAGCCAAGTTTGTTTCTTCTTGCATCACTCTGTATCACTCGTGTCACGTGGACAAAGGAATCGGTACTGCAATTTTTTTTTACTGAATTCATCTTAGCGAACAAAAGCGGTTTCTGATTATTGATCGAATCTCTACCGAATCTGAGGTGACATCAACTTTACTAGTATGGAATGCAGTTTTTCCCCCAATTGACAAGTTTGGATTGAATGGGTGGAGGATAATAGTTGAAAACAGGTAGGCACTCCATTGACTCAGCGATTTTCAGTTCTTACACAATTAAGAAAAACAATTTCAATTTCAATTTCAATAACAATTTCCAAAAAGCAAATAAACAACAAAAACACTTCAGTATCAATTTCCAAACGCAAAAAGCAAAACCAACAAGCAACAAGCAACAAGCAATAATTTCAATGTCAAATCCCAAACAGTTGTACTAACACGCACTTTGCTTACCAGAACCACCACCGGAGCCATCATTGTCACCTAAAATCGTCCCGCCATAACACCTACCCCTGGTGACAAAACTCACGAAGGCTCACCTCTCCGTACATGACCATCTTTACCGCCTCCTCATAATTCAAATCCTCACAGCCGACTCCCCCATGGATTTTAACGTCGTCTCTCCACATTTCCAAAACGTCCCAACTCACATCACTCTCTCTGACCCCAGCATGGACATATACACCCCCAGCCTTCACCGCCTTGTATGCCACATTCATTAGGCCGTACTCCCCAGTTGCGTTTACACAGATATCTGGCTCCCTGCCAAATGCCTGCACCAGTGCTGCAGCACCTTCCAGCGCATCAACCCCCTCGGGGACAACACATGTAATCGCCGCTACAGTCTCATCTGGTCTAGTCCCCGAAAAACGGACAAACCGTCTGGCGACATCCAAAAGACCCTCATCACGGTCCACGACCATAATTTGCCTCACACCTCGCGCGCGCGCCAGGAGACAACAAAGAATTCCGATACAGGATACACCGAGCACAACAAAACTCTGCCCAGGCTTTGGATCCGCCGTGTTGACTATCTTAACTGCCAGAGCGAGTACTTGGATGAGGGCGCCTTCATCAAGTGTGAGCGGGCTTGGGAGTGGTACGACAAGCGCCCTAAGAATTGTGATAACCGACCCGGGGGTGTGCGGCTTGTGGAGATTTTTCCCGATACATTTGCTGTACTGTCTCTCTTTGCAACACGCACACCTGCGACACGGGGTAATGAGATAGATCGCGACCTTGGTACCGGGCTCAAGGTGACATTTAAGCCCGGCCTCTAGGACGGTGCCGGAAGTACCGTGACCAATTGTGATTTGGTTTGGTGGTACCGGGCTGAGTTCACCGAGAATATAGCGGGGCTGCGGAAGCACATAATTTAGTCGTGGACTCAAAAGAGTAAAAGGGCTAGGCGGATAGGGATAATGGTGAAAATATTGGTAAACCACATATAATCAAAGTTATACGAGCTGGGATATATACGACACTATCGTTGAATAGCTTCGTATCCATAAACACTTCACGGGGTTACTAACATTGAGGCCACCACAGTTACCAACGATGTCCAGACGGACCGACAGCTCATCATACTGAAGTGGCTGGGCTGGGACAGGAGAGGAGGCCGGATCACTGTCAAAACCGGGTGCGAACGACATTTCTGATACTGGATGTATTCTCAAACGACGAAGGGAAATAATAATTGAACAGATGTTCTTCTCAAAAAGAATAAGACTCGAGAAATATGAAGTTTAAGGCTGTAGAATCTTGCTGGCTACTCTGGGTGTTGTCTATGGAATCTTTGGAGACTTTGCGAGGGTTATAAGTTCGCGATGCAGTCATGTATTATCACTCGCAAAATCTCGAATGACACCCCCAAACTCAGGACGCTGGGCATTTTGGACACGCGCAGGCGCAGAGCTCATAATCACGTCATTTAGCTCAGTTTCAGCTAGATGTTAATGATCTCTTCATAGGAATATCAGTCCTTACGGGTAGAAGCACAGGATCCTCCCCATATCGTTGTGGTTGATTGGCATCACTACACGCCACGAATGGAGAAAATATTTTTCACGGTGCTTGTACGATAGTATTTGATCGCATGACCGTTAGGACGCTGACAGTTCTCAGACGAAGTTCCTTGGTTGGCTGATATGCGGCTGTAACGATCATCTAGAATATATGGATGGCCAGAGCTAAGTCCGGAAATAGGGCCAATTACAATTTCAAATACAGAAACGTTACAAAAAACTATAATTTCATGTGCTTTCCGGGAGTGAGGAGGGGAAAGGGGGGGGGGGGCGAGGATTGATATCTAATTACGTGCTACACGCAAGCTTTGGAATTACTTTTGAAGACGAGAGTTGTATTAACTTGGAATTAACCGTTAAAGCTTACGCGAAATCTGAGCGTCCTTCTAGATTATACGTCGAACAATTGTGAAGGCCCCCACCACTGATCAAGACTAAAATATTCAAATAGTTACTGATATCTGCTAGAGTTCAGTCATGTAAGGAATCAGGATCTTTATGCACCTATACCCTAGCACGGTTTCTAGACATAGCTCAGTAGAGCATCTCTTGACGAGAATCATGGATCAACATCTTAGTGATAGAATGCTTTAACTCCTTCGTTCTCCTCGAATAGTTGTACATCAACCAATGGGGAGTCTATCCCAATTGCAAGACATGTGGTGCAAGGTAAGCATACACAAATAAAGGGGCTCTCTATTTGCATACGAAATACAAGCGCCCGCTTATGGTTACATTTATGCGATCGAGTACGTTGATTGTTGGCGGAGAAGAATAAATTGGAAGCGCAATTGTCCTTTTTTTTTCTAGACGCGCAATCCAAAGCGCGAGGATGCGTGGTTTAGCTCGAAAGAAAGCAAGTGTAGAAGGGGAAAAGACAGTACTCAAGATCCTCGAGCCTGGCCAGTATCAAGGCCGGGACGCTGGCATATAAAACAGGTATATCTATGATTGGCTAGAAGGTAAGCACCCCGGGATATATTACCAGAGGATGACGGCTAACTAGCCAATAGTAGTAGCGACCCTGCCGCAGTTTGCGCGAATAAATCCAAAGACTAAGTTAGTCAAACCCCATCATTACGTCTTTGATACTGACTAGTGCTCCTATACTCCTTGTTTGTCATCGCAAATCATCAGGTCGTTCTCTATAATGCGTGACAGTACAAGACATTAGTGTGACTACATGTAGATTTTTTCTCATGATTGTAGCCAATCGGCAATTAAACATTGTATTGTATCACTTACTAGTTAAGTACATATATAGGTTGAATACATGCAGATGTGCATATTAGTTTTCAGCCCAGGCTACTAATTGGTCAACGAAATACAATTCCACTCCGTTTTGTGGCCTCTGAGAAATCTATCGGTTTCCGGCTGAAGGACCAGCAGTATTCCTGTTAGTTTGATTTTCTCGTGAATATGACCCTAAAAGCACAAGTTTCTGCCCAGGGTTCTCAAATTCCGCAGGGTTTAAGGTGTCTCCTCGTGACTGATATATTTGATAAGCTCAGTTATATCGAGGTAGCTCAGCATGTATAGCTACGTAGGGACAAGGGTTTGCTGTTAAATCCGAAACCATATTAGTACCCCAGCCTTGTAGCTAGCTAAGTCTTTTGGTAGATACAAACCAAGGTAAGTACTTGGTACGACGAGTGCTGAGTGATCAATGTGGAGATCGTGTCAAGACCCGGAAGATGCAAGTGCATTTTACCCGAATGGGATATTGATTCGTTCCTTTCAATACAGATCAAGAACCAATAACAATAATGCAGAGCCCCAAATTGTAAATACATTAGATTCTATGTGCGTCCTTTAGCAGAATTGGTCGATCCTTCGTACTAAAATAGTGTGTTAAGATAGGAGTCTCTAATCTCCGGAAAGATTATATTACCTTTTTGATTCAAACGAGTAATATTGGGCCTATCATGATCAACTCACATGCAAGCAGTAGCCAATCACAAGAATTCCGTCACATATACTGAAGGCTTACAATAACAGTAGATACATATACGAGAGACGTTGACAAGTGAAATACTATCCATGGTGTATATAACTCATGGTGATAAGGATTTGTCGACGTTGCGAAATTATTTCTGTAGCTGATATATACCTGCTAGAATCATTGGTTAGGAAAGCTTGAGTTGTTCCGAAACGCCTAGGCCTATTCGTAACGAACACGATTCCTTATGAACCTGCAACTACAGCATTCATCTGGCTTCTCTTAAACGTTATCTATAGAAGGAAAAGGAACAAAAAGGAAAGCTTCACGGGAACTTAGGCCCCGAAAGTTCCCTCCCCGCATAGCTCAGAACTAGAAGGCGTGTTTATCAGTATCGTAAGTCACATCCTCATCAGAGACATTACCCCGCCTTAAACTACATGTACCTAAAGTACCACTGTTCTTGTAGGTCGCACAAAGACAAAAGCTTGCCTACATAGGCTTCGGCGTTAGCAGAAGGTACAGAGATGTTGAGATTCTGACCGGGTGAAACTGCCAGTGTATCAGGATTATAGCCAGATTAGATACTCTTTCCCGCATTTCTTTTTTTTAAAAACATTGTGATTGATTTTATTGATACTAGCCATACTGATTGGATATCTTCCTTCTTGTTGATACTTACCTGGTGGAACATTCAGTGGTACTTTGTGTGTACCTACATGCAAAATCTCGGCTGGAGACTGAGCAAATATAGAACTGTCGGCGTTGAGATTCATAGAGCGCAGATTCGGATGGATAGAATGCGCCCGGATTAATGGTAGGCCTTCAAAGCCATTTACCTCATTTGAATGTAAAATTGAGGTTCTTTCCTCTTGCCTAAACCCATAGCGCTTGTGTTAGCAGTGAATAGTGAATACATGTAGTGATACCTATTCATTTTATGTAGGTACACAGGCCTGGGCCGAATGGTTTTACAAGCTTGTAACAGGATAACCCCCACATAAACATTCCGATAGAAATCTTTTAAAGTTCATTCAGGCCCAGATCAGGCTACATTCAGTACTTAGTTCCCAACGCCTAGATTGTGCTGTATAGGCACCATTACTATGAAGTATGATACCGTGTGTATTTAATTAATAAAGCCTTGACTTAGCCTTATAACAGTAAATGCAATTACCCAAACCAAGTGCCAGGAGATATTTTGAGAGAGCTTCGTACAAAATTAGTGGGAACGAGTTTTACGTTTTATATAATTATGTGAATGTCTCGTCCGATTACTCAACGGCGATGAATTATAACCGCGTGGTTATTAAAAGGATGTAGCCTGATATTTTTTTTAAAAAAAAAGAGAGAGAGGCCGGTAATATGATTTCTTTGACAAAATATGTGATATAGGACCTTTGGGTACCGATGGATGTCGCTGTTGAATTTTGTAAAGTTATATCGCCGTTATCCGAGCTAAAATACTTACATAAAAGAAAATCGTCGAGCTTCTGTAGAAATGGTTTTTATCGGTGCCGTTGTTGCTGATGGGAACATATATATATACAGTCTCCAAATGAGGTCGAGCTCAATCAAAGACTTCCCAATATCACTGTAAATAATGGGATGAGCACAAGACAAGTATTATTAGGTGGCTAGGGCTCAATATATGCTTCCTGTAGAAATATGAGTCAACATGTTAATAAATACGCTTGGTTTGTACACACATTCTTAGAGCGTGTACTCACTTAGAGGCAACCCTAACCGGTCGCTGGTTTGGTTGGTGTTCAGCCTCAAACATGGGTAGCGGCAACTAGAAACAATAAAAGCAGCAAGAATGTAACAGTTGAGGAAATATTTCTCTTGATTGGGGCCAGAATGGCAACTCTTCGAGTTGAGATGAATGAGATGAACAGAGTGAGGTTATGTAGATGGAAGTTGAGATTCACGTGAGCGAGTTTGAAGCGGTTAGAAATGTGCCAAGCCTAAACGTGATTGGATTGATTGCAACACAAGTTCAGGTGGGGGAACCTCGTGGGCGGTACGTACCCAAGTTTAACAGACTGTTGGCTCTCCACTTTGTTCGCTTGTGTTGTTGTTGCACTGCTGCTGCTTTCCTTTTCTCTGCTGTTGCCTGCCACTAGTACTTAGACTCGCCCCTTTCAGTTCTTTTCTTCTCTTCCTCTTCTCCTCCTCCTTAGTCTCCGCCCCTCCCCTTGTTCTTCTTTTTCCATTTTTTCCATATAGCAGCAGAAGGAAGAAAAATAATTCTGCCCCGCTTCTCCACTTCATTCGAAAGTTGTGCTTGCTGCCGGTTCAGAGACCCCGCTGCCTGGTTATCGCTTATCCTGAAAGGCCTTGTTCACCCTTGACCGACCGACCACACCCCTCATCTTCTCCCGTTAACCCCACCATCCCCCATCACAACCACCAACACAAACAACTCAAAATATACAACTCTCAGCACAAAAATAATCAACCATGGCTGATCGCTACATCCCCGAGCATAGGCGCAACTTCAAGGCGAAGGGCACCTTCAAGCCAGATGAGTTGAGGCGTCGTCGTGAAGAGCAGCAGGTGGAGATCCGGAAACAGAAGAGAGAGGAGAATTTGGCCAAACGAAGAAACATGGCTGTTTCCAGCCCTGCTCCTGGAGCTGGAGCTGAGAGCGATGAGGAAGGTGGTAATGAGTCTCAGGTTCGTGTTCAAAAAATTCTGTCTACCACTCTCCTTTCATTTCTTACTCTTTTCTATGTTTTCTTTTTTTGTTTCTATGTTTCTTCACGTTGTGATAGCCCATCTTTCTTGGCGTATCACGAGCTAGTTAAATGTCACAAAGACAGAAGGTCGCGTCATGCAGATTGGTTCCTCGGAGATTTTTTTACCAGTAGAAGTATCTAAATTTGACATGGCTAATAATAAATGGTAGTTGAACGAAGATCTCCCCTCAATGTGTGCCGGAGTCTTTTCAGAATCGATTGACCAGCAAATCCAAGCCACAACCAAATTCCGCAAACTTCTGTCAAAGGAGCGTAATCCTCCAATTGAAAAGGTCATCGAATGTGGTGTTGTCTCCCGCTTCGTCGAATTCCTTCGCTCTCCCCACACCCTTGTTCAGTTTGAGGCTGCATGGGCTCTCACAAATATTGCCTCTGGATCCGCCACCCAAACACAAGTTGTCATTGATGCTGGCGCTGTCCCAATCTTTGTCGAGCTATTGTCAAGCCACGAGCCAGATGTTCGAGAGCAGGCTGTTTGGGCGTTAGGAAACATTGCTGGTGACTCGCCACAATGCAGGGATTACGTTCTTTCTGCAGGTGCCTTGCCACCTCTATTGAACCTATTGGGTGATAGCCGCAAGTTGAGCATGTTGAGGAATGCTACTTGGACTTTGAGTAACTTCTGCCGTGGAAAGACCCCTCAGCCTGATTGGGCAACTGTAAGTACCCTGTCGGACAGTAAAGTGGCATGAAGCTAATTATGTGGTCAGATCCTCCCCGCCCTACCCGTTTTAGCGAAACTAGTCTACTCTTTGGACGACGAGGTTTTGATTGATGCTTGCTGGGCTATCTCTTACCTTTCTGACGGCTCAAATGACAAGATCCAGGCTGTCATTGAGGCTGGTATCCCTCGCCGTCTTGTAGAGCTTCTGATGCATGCGTCCACATCTGTTCAAACTCCAGCTCTCCGCTCTGTTGGTAACATTGTTACCGGTGATGATGTCCAGACTCAGGTCATTATTAACTGCGGTGCCCTTCCTGCCCTGCTTTCCCTTCTGGGTTCCCCCAAAGATGGTATTCGCAAGGAGGCTTGCTGGACAATCTCCAACATCACCGCTGGAAACTCCAACCAGATCCAAGCCGTCATTGATGCCAACATCATCCCTCCTCTAATTAACCTTCTCTCCAACGGCGATTTCAAGACTCGCAAAGAAGCCTGTTGGGCTATCTCCAACGCAACCAGCGGAGGTCTTCAGAAGCCGGAGCAGATCAGATACCTTGTTTCACAAGGATGCATCAGGCCTCTCTGTGATCTTTTGGGATGCATGGACAACAAGATTATCCAGGTTGCTCTTGATGGCTTGGAGAACATTCTTAAGGTTGGAGAAATGGACAAGAACGCCGAAACCGACAATCTCAACCGCTACGCCATGTACATTGAAGAGGCCGGTGGTATGGAGCGTATCCACGCTTGCCAGAACAACGCGAACGAGGAGATCTACATGAAGGCATACAACATTATCGAGAAGTACTTCCAGGATGAGGATGATGAGGCTGGTGGTGAGATCCAGGGCCTTGCGCCTGCAGCCCAACAGGATGGCGCTACCGGAACATTTGCTTTTGGCGCTCAGCCGCAGGCGGGTGGTTTCAACTTTGCCAACGGTGATTCTATGGACATGTAAATGTCTGACTACATTAAATAAAATCACAATAAGATGGAAAGGCACATAGGGCAATGGATTTGGTCTTAAACAGTACTCTCGTTTTTTTCTGAGGTTTGATTCTTGGGATGAACTTAGTTCTTTTTTTTTTCGGGGAAATTTGGGAATATGAATGGATGAAACAAGGAATGTGGTCATGTCATCGAATTCTTTGGATGAACCTCATTGACAACAGGGGATTCGGAGTTTTAAATATGCCATATCTGATGTGGATTTCTTCTTTTATCCGGATTTTCGTTTTCCTCAAAAATCTTCTCACTCTTGTCATTAGCATGTCCAGATCTTTTTTAATTCCTGTATTGTCGTTTTGTTAAAGCCCATATTTTCCCATCCCTTTTCCCACAACGAGAGAGGAAAAAAATCCTCGAATTGCCCATCAAAACCCTCTTCTGAATCACTTTTCTGCTCCTGTCATCATCACACATCACATCATCGTCACCACACATGCCCAGATCCTGTAGTTGAAAGGAACTCTCGGCCCAAAAAGAAGTTGCTCTCAACTTCTCTACAGGTATGGTTTCTATATTTGTCTTCTTGTCTAAAAGGTTCCCATTCGAAAGGCGTCATTATTTCTGTAAAATCCTATTTTCCCCTAACTGTATTCTTCACTCCGCTGTCTTCAAATCTTTTTTGTTTGTTACTGTCATGTGACCTCTGTGGCGTAGTTTTTGTGGCTGTAGACTTCCTGTGTGGCGCCAATGAGACTTCAACGTTCCTGTGTTGCTTATCGTGTGCTCGTGCCTACATGTAGTAGTGGGGTTGAAACCAGGCCTTTGTGTGATGTTTTAGGCCGTGTTAGCTCGTAATTATTTTGTTGAATTAAGAAAATTTCCATGTTTGTAGAGCTCATCACTTGAGGATCGTACCAACGGCTTGTGGTTAGTGCTATGTATCTCTCTGCAGATCTTCAGGTTCGACGACGTCAAAGTGCGGGTTAGCCGAGGTCGAGCCTGGTACGTGTCAGCGACTTCAGTGCAAACGGGCCTTGGGGTCAGAGTGATAACGGTTTTGGTAGAGTATGACCGGGTCACTGTAGGTCATTCTCAGCGAGGACGTACCCCATACATAACCTGTTTATTCCACGGCCCCCAAGTGCATGTAGTAGAGTGACAACATAGGTATCACCACCCTACGCATGTTACATCCACTAGGGCCGTGTAACAGTCTTAGCGGACAGTGCGATCAGTGATACCGTTGTGCTCCGAGAACAGCCCAATCATTGACACTGACTGCGCACTTTGTGCACCCGGCCTTGGGAACCGTTGCCCTTCCTGTGTAGCACTCAATCACTCGCCGCAAGTGTAGATTCAGGCTTGTGATAGTGATTGTGATACTGATAGTGATAGTCTGGTGATTTCATTCATTATTATTCATTATTGTTAATTGTCTCAACGTAAAAGCACTCGTTAAAATACATTCATTATGATTTCATCATGAAGAAAGAAAAAAATCGTGATTGGCAGTACTGCTGTAAGATCCCTCCTTACCTACATCCACTAAACCCACTAAACCCACTCAACAAAAGAGAAGCACGCACTATCACTCACCCCCCTCGCCCCTCCTCCTCCCTCCTCCCTCCTCCTCTCATCCACCTCCCGCACCCCCAGCACCCCCAGCACCAATCGTGGGCACCACTCCCCCACACCCCTGATTCCCCTGCACAAACACGACCAACACCGCCGCATACGCCGCCACCACCATGACGATCGCCTCCCCGCGGCCCCTCGTCGCCAGCGCGACCAGCAGCGCCAGCACAACCGTAAACAGGCTGATACACACCAGCTTCCACGTCGCACTCGTGACAAACTGCAGGATGACCATGGGGCCGAGCATCAGCGCCGTGGTGGCCAGCGCAATGATCAGCCGCGTGATGCGCCGCGTGAACGGCGAGAGAATCGATGCCATGTCCTTCTGCGAGAGGTTGCGGTGGCGCACATCTTCGACGCTGGGGTTGCGGTGCGGGAAGAGCGCGGGGACGAGGCGGCCTACAAGCTTCTCGAGTGAGTCCCGGCCGCCGAGGCCCAGTGCTATGAGGTCGTCGCTGTTGGGTGCGCCCGTGAACGGGTTGGAGTCGGAGGGGGAGGAGGAGGGGTCTTCGAGTGCGGCGAGGAGGCGGCTGTCGATGGGGCGGGGGGGTCGAGGGAGGTGAAGATCTGCTCTTGGAGGAGGAGTGCTTCGTCTGTACATACACCCCACCCATATTAGTTAGCATCTCCACACAATAGAAGTAAAGTGGGGGGAGGATGGGAGGGTGGGAGACGAACAGTAGCTCTTCAGTTTGTCCTGCAGCATCTTCATGAGTTTTATCCTCGTCTCGCGCAGCTCCTGCTTCTCGCTGTCGCTCTCGCTCACGCCCGTCTGCGCCCACCGCGTCTCCTCCATGTCTACGTGCGACAGCGCACGCTCAATGCACGTCAGCTCGTCCTGGTAGTACAGCAGGTTCGCCATCGACAGCCGCCCGAAGCGGCGGAAGATGGAGATGTGTCGGTAGGCGTGCATTGACTGCGCGATCACGCGGTAGTCGAACAGCAGCCGGTCGTAGCGCGGGTCGGGCTCGTGTGAGGCCGTCGACCACGAGAAGCTGCTCCCCGTTGTGTCGTAGATGCTGGATTTTGGCTGCTGGTGGTGGTGGTGATGGTGGTGGTGCGATCTGTGGGTGTGCGGCGACGGCGGCGGGAAGTGCAGGTGGGGTTCATCGGGGGTGGTAGTCGACGGGATCGACGGGATCGATGGGCTGTAGGTGTCCTCCGGGACTGGGTGCAGCTTGATCGTGGTCTGCGACTCCTTCCGCATCAGCGGCGGTGGGGACGGGTGCGGGTGGTCCCGGGTCGTGGCGGAAGCGTTGAAGGAGGCTTGCGTGATTGTTGCCTGTGAGGGCTGCCGGTTCGTAGGGGGCCGTTCGGGCCGTTCGGGGATGGAGCCCACAGAGCCGGGCGATTTCCCGGAGGACCGTGAGGACTCCCGGCTCAGGCTTGGGTTCTGCGAGTCCTCGGGCTTCGCGGCGGTTTGCGTTTGCGTGCTGATGGGGGTGATCCCCGCCAGAGAGAAGCCGCGATTGAATATTGGACCCGGCAGCTCCACGACCGGCGTACCGACAAAACCATCCTGCCCGGGCTGTGGCTGCTGCTGCTGCTGCTGCTGGAGCTGAAGCTGCTGTTGCTGCAGCATCCAATTCACACCGCCCGGTGTCAAAGGCGGATCATCGAACGACTGCAAGTAGGCCATGGACTGCCTGATGGTAGCCAAAGACGACGTCCGATTAACAGTTGCGGTCGACTCCTGGTAGACATTCCCGGCTTGCATATCAATCACGTATGGAAACGGGAACTGCGAGCTGTTTCGCGGCGTGCGGGAGACGGAGCGGAAGCTGAGGGTCCGCGCGATGGCCGGTGGAAGGTTGATGTAGTCTGCCTCGTCGTGGGTGCTGTTTGCGTTTGGACTAGAAGTCGGAGTTGCCCCACTGGCGAGCCCCATGTTGTGTTTGGTAAAAAGTAGAACCTGGTATCGATGTTTGTATTATTGATTATTGATACTGATATTGGTATTCCCTTCAAGGTCGGTCGAGTATATAACTGTGTATTTATCTCTGGAGGGTGGAAGCTTCAGTTTCGTTCACTACATATCCACCAGAAGTGCATATACACTCGACGCCCAAAGGAGGACTCATAGCCCGTTATGAATGATTTTGCTCTTTCCATTTCTTTCAAGTTTCCATTTCCGCGTGATGGTGCTGCGGCCGCGGTGAGTATATATATGATAACCATAGCCCGTTTTCACGTCCTTGTGATACCGAGAAGTGATGTCTTCTTCTTCTGATGTCATGAGTTTTGCAGCGGAGTGTGAGTTCTCTCCCCTCGGATGGATGTCTCTCTTCAACGTTCCTGATGCAGGTCCGTCGCGACGATCCCTGCAGGGCCGGCACATGCCCCCGTGGATATCTTCAGCATGATCACTACGAGCCTGATCACAATGATTATTATTATGCGGCCGTGCCTGGTGTAGATGAGGAGCCGGGAGTACCTAGATGCTGGCCTGGAATGTGGGCTCGAGGCCTAAGGGTACTTTGTTCACTTATCTATGGAGTTGTGAACACTGCTCGGAGTCGCATGGTAGAAGGTTGTGGTAGTTACATGTATGTAGTTGTTGCCAAGGCGATATAACCCTAGCCCATAATATGTGAAGGAGGTTGTGGGTGCCAAGCTTAGTAGATAGACGAAGATTCATGTAGTCGCGTAGGAGCTTTACAATATTCTGGCATGTCTTTTGATCTTTGACAGTCTAGATCTAGACTTGTCTACACTGCAAGCTGAACTCCCATCGTAACATCCCAAACTACTTGCTGGAACCTTAACTACATGTAAGTAGGTATGTTGCCTATTTTCACGATACTTCTCACCTAATTGCCGGATTCGTGGCCCTAAACTTAAGAGTCGGGCAAAGTAAAGATTTCAGCAAGTATTTATTCATCACATAACTTGATAGGATAGACTGGTTCACTACACGTAGTGCTCGAGCGTCCGTTCGTCGATCTTATCAGCTAGCTCGAGCAACCAACGTTAACCCGCTAGTCTCCCTTTATTTAGCCAACTTTAAAGGGATATATCTAATAAAACAAGCTTGAGCACACTGAAATTGCAAAGTATATGTGTGAGCTGGTGTTTAGTACAGTACAGCGGTAGGTAATAAGTGATGGAACACAGCGATACCTGTTTTGGTAAAACGCCACCAACACCTGGTGTTTGTACTCTCGGGCGTTCCATCACTTATTACCTGTCGCTGTACGGTGGAAATCCCGCGCGGGGTGTATTTATGGAGAAGCAACACAAATGACTGCCACGAGTGATATATTATGACTAACTAACAACATCAATGAAATCGGTGATATAAATTTAACTTCCAAAGGAAAGAGAATCTCTCAGGCCGACCGCAACAATCCCAGTATATCTAATACTAGCAAGATCTAACTATATATTCGAGTTCAGTGATATTATAACATAGACCACCAAAGATCCGAGAACTACATATATCTATGCCTAAAACTCACTTCTTTAAATATTTTTTGGCACCCCCACCGCAGTACTCTTCCTTCCATGAATCCAGCTTTGAATACAAAATTAAAAGTTGGGTGGAAGCCATCTAAACAGCATCTTTCATGATGCTGTCGTGCAGGATACGTGCCTGTCATCTACGTATGCTACAACTATGGACTTCTAGCTAGCGAGGAATAGGTGGCCTGACAATCTGTCCTCAATTATGTCGTATAAAGCTAGAGACTCTGCTACTCCGCTTAATATCATCGTCGTCTCTCCTACCATCCAATAGTTCGGTTCTGCTACAGTCATTGGAACACGCACTGCCTTACAATACTCGGCCGATTCATTTTTTACATTTTTGGTTTAATATCCCAATATAACCGTACCTCTACTGCTACTTTTGTTGATGTTTCCAACGAATTATCGCATGAAGCTGAGCTTTTTGTATGGGGGGACGCTTGAGTCTAGATCTAATCATAGTCCTCGACCATCGCAAGTACGCCCCCACCTCCTTCGGGGGACTACCAACTCAACAAATCGTAACACAGAACGTTAAGTGATGAATTCAAAACGATGAGCTGACAAAATATACTAATAAATTTTCTTTCCCTGTCACAAACCCCGAGTAAAGAGCTGCATCCCTAATCGAAGTGCTCTAGGCTCCCAAGTTATAAGTGTTAGTATCAAGACCAGAGATCTTTGCAATTTCGTCGTGATTGTTTTTTGATCGCTCTTATGGTATGGTACACATATGTACACGTATTTTCTACTGTAAGCACCTCAACGCATCTCCACCAAACTCCCTCACTACACTTCCCTCATCCTCCAAAAACTCCTTCAGAAACCCTCTAACCTCCTCCAGCTCCTTCCCACTCACCTTCATCAACACAAACCCCCTCACACTCGTCGCCGTCCACAACACCTCCCACTTCCTCTTCTGCGCCTCGTCCTCACTCACCTTGACCGCAAACCCCTTCCCGCCAATCCTCGGCTCATCCGTGTAGCGCTGCAGCGCCCACTCAGCCAAGCCGGCGAACCGAGGACCCCTTACAATCAGCGTCGCTACGCACGAGAACCCGTCCATCCTCCCACAAAGACCCTCACCGCCCAGCGCCTCGCTGTCGAGTATCAATGCGTCTCGCAGTAGCAACCTACGGTGCCCAGAGGCCGTGATCGTAGTATAGATCTCATTCCTGCTCTCAAAGTGTGCCAAGTCCCAGCGTTCTCCGCGGGCCGTGCGGCCCTCGCTGACCCAGTCCAGGAGGACGAAGCTTGCCGTGTCGTCGGGCGGGATGTCAACGATCTGGTGCTGTGTGTAGTAGCTGTCTGCGAATGGCTGGATGGGGTCGGGGAGCAGCAGGAGTGCCGATGACGGGTGCAGCGTTATCGCGAGGGTTTGGGAGGTGTGGTGGCTGGGGTATTTGCGCTTGAAGATCTTGGTGCTGCCTTTTGTTGGATCAGCGGTGGACTTGGGTTCGGGACATGGCGGGCTGACCCTGGGTTAGGAGGCACAGCTTTGCGTGCTCTTCGAGGAGGATCTTGAGGTTGATTTTGTCGTCTGATACAAGACCGCCACCGTAGGAGAGGAGGAAAACAGTGAGGTACGGAGCTGCCGGGGGTGAGGTGGAGATTAGCTTTAGCGGATACACAAATTCGAGTGATGGTAGAACAAAGCGAGATGGAGGGAGAAGTCGGGCATGGATGAAGCCGTCCCCAGGGCTCACAGAAGCAGCCATCAAATTGGAAATGATCGTGAGATTATATTATTGTAGTTCTGCAGTGGGGCGGAGAGGGGCATCTATCTATTTGCGGAGGGGTGAATTGGAATTAACTGTGCCTCTTATCGTGTGGTCACGTGCGGGCGAGATTGCATGACATTGCGAGTGACTGTCGGTGATTGTCATTCCGACTCTGCAGCTTTTAAAAATGCATGAAAACCGGCAATAGCTTTCTCACAGGTTTTTACATGGCCAATCACAAACACTAGACAATCATTGAAGTCTGTGACTCGATAGTCGAATTCCATCTCCGTGCAAGTGCACTGCAGCGGCCATCATCATCGCTGCACATCCATCACACACACACGCACCCCCCGTCACGTCGTCTGTCTGCTCGAGTGCTCTGCCATCGCTCTCTTCCCTCTCTCTTCCCTCTCTTCCTCCCTCCCTCCTCCTCCACTCACGCGCCAGCCAGCACCGAGACAAACAACACCACACACAAACCCAATCCCCCCCCCATTAATCCCATTCCACGCCCCCAGCTATTTACACACAAGCGACCACAGCTAATCAATTCTCCCCCCACCTGCTCGATGCCAGCACGCATCGCTTCGAATCCCCCAGACGCGATGGACACCAGCGACGACGCTGTCTCCGTCGACGCGTCAACCACAGCCCCCACCACCACCACAAAGAACGGCGCGTCTGCAGCAGCAGCAGCAGCAGCAGCGCCAGACACAGGCAACCGTAGGCGCTCCACAAGAGTGGTCAAGAAGCCCACGCTGCTGGCCACGCAGCAGGCTGCGGAGCGACCGAAGCGAAAGCGGCCCGTCAGGGAGGAGTCCTCGTCGGAAGATGAGGGCGACAGTGAGGATGGGGGCAAGGACGACGAGGAAGAGGCGGTAGAGGAGGGGGCAGAAGAAGAAGCAGTGGCGGAGAAGGAGAAGCCGAAGCCGAGGTCGAAGGCTAAAGCAAAGCCGAAAGCTAAGCCGAAAGCGAAGCCGAAAGCGAAGGACCCAGAACCTGAGAAGGAAAAGGAAGCTAGTGGGGCTGAAGAAGACAATGAGGAGGCTGAAGATGAGGCTGAAGAAGAAGATGAAGAAGAGGAGGAGGATGACGATGACGAGGAGGAGAGCAGTGAGGAGGAGTCCTCGGAGGGCGAGCCGGACGAGGAGGAGATCAAGGAGCGGCGGAAAAGGAATGCTGCTGCGCGCGCACGGAAGCAGACACGGGCTGCGGATGATGGCAGCGCGAAGAAGCCGCCCGCGAAGAAGACGAGAACTGCGACGGGCGCGGTGGCGGCGACGCCTGTGAAGCGGAAGAGGAGCGGGGGGAGGGCGAAAGGGAAGGGGAAGGGGAAAGCGAGGACTACGAATGGAGAGGGTGGTGAGGGTGAGGAGGGTGAGGCGGGGGAGATCGAGCAGAATGCTCTGTTTGGTATGCTATTTTCTTTCTTCTACGATGGCATTGACTTTGGGAATACTTGATGGCTAATTTGTTTGTGGCAGACTCTGTATTTAATGGCGACGAAGATCACGATGATGTCGCGCAGTCATGGACCGTGAAATACGAGGGCGACAACACAGAGGCAATGAAAGACATGGTCAATTTGATCCTCAAGGTAAGACTCCATCCTACAGATATATTTAACCAATTGCTAACCACCCACTTGCAGTGCTGCGGTTGCGAGAAAACCGTCACAAACTACGACATTGAAGACCAAGACTCCGCCGCCGAGACCCTCTCCCAGATCCAAGAAGCCTTCCAGCGGCAGCGACACGCCGACTACCCGCTGACCTCCAAGAAGCCCGAGTTCCGCCGGTTCCGCCAGAATCTCTCGTCCTTCCTGCACTCGCTCATGTCCACCTTTGCTGCGCGCGACATCCTGTACACCGACCCGGCGCTCATCGAGAACTTCCAGGTCTGGATCGCGGCCATGTCCTCCTCCACGCTGCGGCAGTTCCGCCATACCAGCACCGTGTTCGCGCTCGACATTGTGTCCAGCCTTGCCACGATCGCCGCAGAGGCTAGAAAAGCGAATAGCACAACAAACCGCCAGTTCGAGGCCGAGGGAAAGAAGGGGAAGCGCAACGAGGGTAGAATCACGGCGCTGGAAACTAAGCTGAAGGAAGGCGAAGAGCGCAGAGAAGTCACAGAAAACATAATCAAGGACATCTTCGACACTGTGTTCGTCCACCGATACCGCGATATCGACCCAAAGATCCGCTCCGACTGTGTCCGCGAGCTCGGCTCGTGGATTCTCACCCTGCCAGACGTCTTCTTCGACGGGTCCTATCTCCGCTACCTGGGCTGGGTGCTCTCAGACACGGTCCCAGGAACCCGTCTCGAGGTCGTCAAAGCGCTCACCAAGCTCTTCAAGAAAAAAGACTCCGTATCGGGCCTCCGCCACTTCACGGAGCGCTTCCGGCCGCGTCTCGTCGAGATGGCCACCCGCGACGCCGACGCCAGCGTCCGCGCCGCCACCGTCGAGCTCCTCGACGTCGTCCGCGAAGTCGGCTACCTCGAACCCGCCGACATCGACACCGTCGGCCGCCTCCTCTTCGACTCGGAGCCCAAGGTGCGCCGCGCAGTCGTCGGCTTCTTCGTCGAGAACATCGGCGACCTGTATGAAGAGAAGCTGGAAGAGCTCGGCGGCGAAGACGCGGTCCTGGAGGCGCTCGGCGACGACTCGGACGAGAACTTTGAGGGCCCGACGCTGTCGTGGATCAAGCTGAAGTGTCTTGTTGAGGTGCTTGCGAACTATGATCTTGAGGACGGGGCGGCGGACGAAGACGCGGACGCGGCGGCGCAGGGGATTGAGAAGAGTGCGCTCAAGATTGGCGATGCGGAGAGTAGGTTTTCGCTGGCGGGGAGTGTGCTCTGGGAGGCGTTTGATGAGGTGGGTGATTGGGAGGGCGTGGCGAAGTATCTGCTCTATGACCACAGCGAGGGCGCGCGGGTCGAGGAGGGGAGCGAGGAGGAGGATCTCGAGAAGAAGATTAAGGCGATGGTCGCGCTCGAGGCAAGGGAAGAGGCGATATTGCTGCAGCTTCTCAATGCGAGTGTCGCTGCTAACATCGCCGAGGGAGGCGAGGGCGGAAAGAAGAGAGGCGCTGCAAAAGTAAGTAAAAACATATATATATCTGAATATCGATCATTGACCCGTACTGTACTAACACACCACGCTAGCGCACTGCAAAAGAAATCGAGAAGCACACCGAGACAGTGTCCCGTAACCTCATGATGCTCATCCCCCCGCTCCTCAAGAAGTTCGGGCCAGTCCCCGACGCGGCGTCCTCAGTCCTGCGTCTCGAGCAGCTCATGAAGCTCGACGTCTTCCAGGAGCTGCGCCAGTCAACCGCCTACGCATCACTGCTCGACGACATCAACCGCCAGTTCCTGACACACGCGGACGAGTCCGTGCTCAAAGAGGCCTCCGCAGCCCTCCTGCACGCAAAGACATTCGAGGAGCTCGACGAGGTCACCGACCAGAAAGTCGGGCAGCTGAAAGACGAGACCGTGACCGCGCTGGTCAACGCCGTCCGCGGCAAGGACCTCGGAAAGGGCAAGTTTAGCGACGCTAGCCTGACAGAGCTGATCAACACCGTGCGCAGACTCGAGTACATCGCGTCCATCACAAACTGCGTGGAGATCATGGAGACGCCGCCGGCGACGTCCGCAAAGGGCAAGTCCAAGACCGCGGACCTCAAGCCGATCGAGGTGCTGATGGCGCTGCTGCAGCGCGGCGGCAGCGTCGACGAGCTTGAGGAGGAGCTCATCATCCGCACGATGAAGACGCTCGAGTACTACTTCATGTGGAAGGTCAGCTCCATCAGCGAGACCGAGGACCTCGCAGACCTGGACATTGACGACCTCACGCTCCGCCGTAACGCAATCATGGAGCGTGTCGGCGGCATCATCAAAAACCGCGGCAAGGTCGACCCCGTCAAGATCACGGCCGCAACAACAATAATGGGCCTCGCAACACTCTTCATCGCCGCGGCCGCAAGGAACGAGAAGAAGAAGCCCGCCGCAGAGGGCGAAGACGGCGTCGTTGGCGACGCCGCTGAAGAGATTGCCGTGAAGCTCTCAGCGCTGGGAAGGAAGCTCGACGCCTCGCTGGAAGAGGAGATGCTGAAAGTGTTTGACGCGCTCGAAAAGACGTTTGCCAAGTCGTCCAGCCGGGCGCTCGAGCCCGACGAGCACGCCGCGCCTGAGGGCGTGGACGACGCGGACACGGAGGCCGACGATGCAGAGAAGACCGAGGCCGACGAGAGCGCCGTGCTGTTGCATGAGCAGCGGCTCTGCGAGTTTACGGGGAAGCTTGTTCTCGCCGTGCTTGCGGGGGCCGTCGACGAGGCGGTGTTCAAGAAGCGGCTCGACAGGAACGTGAGTAAGCTGGGGCCGAACTACCGCGAGATTGTGGCGCACGTGAATATTGGCGAGGAGGAGGTGAAGAAGGTGCCGGGCAAGCGGGGGAGGAAGCCGAGGCCGTATCCGGGGGAGATTATTAACTATAGTGATGATGAGGAGGAGGGTGGGGAGGAGCAGGAGGAGCATGCGGAGGCTGAGGTTGAGGCAGAGGCGGGGGCGAAGGATTCGGGCGAGAAGAAGAAGAAGGGGCAGAATGTAGAGGAGGATGAGGAGGACGATGAGGAGGAGGAAGGTGAAGAGGAGGAGGAGGAGGAGCATCATGATGAGAATGCGGACCCCGAGGAGGAGGAGAAGGAGGCTGAGGTGGAGAGCGATAATGAGTCGGAGCCGGATCCAGAGGTTGGGGTGCCACCGGATGAGGACGAGGAAATGGCAGATGTGTAATTACATGTAACGACGAGGAGCCCGTGCATGCATGCTCTGAGAGAGAGAGGAAGGGGTAATATTCTTTTCGTTTGGTTCTTTTTTCTTCGGGGGGCTATTTGTCTTCTTTCTCTCTTCCATTTTTTTTTATTCTGTCAGCTTTTTTTTCTTCTTTTTCTATTTGTTAAAATCCGGGTGTTGGCTTTCTTCTTCTTCTTCCTTTATTTCTTGCTTTTATTTTGTGGTTTTTTCTCTACTACTACTACTACTACTTCTTCTTCATTCGTGCATGTTACACTATTGTGGTTACTGCTGTTGCAATTATCATATCGTTTTCTCTCTACATCTTGCTCTTCCTCTCTCTACCTCTTGCGCTTCCTCAGCTGTCTGTCTGTACTCTATCTATAGCTAGCACAGCTAGCTGTGCTAGTTTCCTTATCTTATTTATCTTGTCTCGTTGTAGCTCTTTCTGGTCTCCTTCAGCGGGGCGGGGACGGGGTTGGGGTGGGGTGGGGGGGAAGAAGTAGAGGGGGGGAAGAAGTAGAGGGGGGGGGGGGGTCGTTCAGGTGCTGGTTGGTACTTACTTAGTAGTGGTAGTACTTAATGGGCAGAAGAAGCCTAGTCAAAGTGTGGGGATGTGTATTTGTTTTTTTTTGCTCTTTGCTCGTTTATATGTGTTGGCTATAGATAACTTTTTTTGTAGCTCCTTTTCTGGTTTTTTTTATTTCGTTTTTTTTGTTTTTTTGTAGGACCGGGAGGTGGAGGATGCATGGATGGATGGATGGATGGATGGTGGAAGGGTGGAAAAGGTGGATGTAAATAAAGCTTTTATGAAGACGAATGGTATGGCCTTTTTTTTTTTTTTTTTTGCTCTAGAATATGTGGTGTGTGTGGATGGGATATCTGTGAAAAACACCGACCCTGGATGGCGTTTCGGGCGTTGCCAAGACCGCACAGGGCCAGCCAGGTCCAGCTATCGATAGACAAATAGGGTTCGTGAGCCTCACCCACTCGCCCACCCACTGAACGTCATCCCGTCTCGTGTCTGTTTCCCCCATCTCCCCCATCTCCCCCATCTCTCCCCATCCTCCCAACATCTATCTCTCCCAGCGCGTCCTCAATCGTTCGTTCCAGTCAATAAACCACTGCATCAACTCCAATTGCTCAGCTAGTCGTCTCTCTCCAATCTAACCGACCGACTAATCGCCTCGGTCGCGTTTTTCTCCACCGTGCCCCGCGGGCGTCCCTTACTGACCTTTTCCTCGTCTAATTGGTGTGTGTGCGTGTGTTTGTGCTTACTTACCCCTCCCCTGCTGTTGCTGCCCTCCTCCCTCCATCTTGTCTTGTCACAAACGTTGCCGTGGACAACTGTGCGCGCCTCTCGCCTGATCTCTGCCTTCTGTTTCCTCCCTCCGTCATCCCTCCTTAAGAACCCTTTCTATTTCCCCACTTTCCCCCCGTCACCGCGCAAAGAAAGGCCCACCCACCCACACACGATCCCCCCCCCCCCCCCCTTTCCGCCAGCTGCAGCGTATCACCGCAACTCATCTGTTTTTTGGGGCCCTTTTCACCCATGGCTTACATCTTTGGCGCTGCCATTAAAGGAATCTGGGGCTCTGTTTTTCCGCCTCACCCTCCGACTCCAACTACTAGCGATACAGATACAGATACTGCCACCACTACCACAACCACAACCACATCGAGTTCAGACAAGATGGACTGCGCTGAAGAAATCCCGTGGACAGACATCACAGAGGCGCATGTCTCCAACCTCCGCGGCCACGTCCGCTACCTCAAAAACATTGGCACAAAACTCAATGTCGCCGATAAACTAGAAGACTGTAAGTCCCATTACCACTGCAGACAGACAGATCTCTCTCTCTCTACTGTAGCCAACAGCTAACCCCCCCCCCCCCCCCGCCCCCACAGATAACAAACGCGCCGCCCAAGCCCTCGCCGACGCCGAGGCCGCCGCACTCATCGCTGGCATCCAAATCTCATCCAAGAACCAAACCAAGGCCAAAGCTACAGAACCACGTCCCACCTCCCCGCGCCGTCGCCGCCCGCGCTCCCCAGGCCCCACCACAAACACCAACACCACCACCCCCAACCCCGACACCGACGGCGTCTCCGCCCCCAAAAAGGTCAAATTCCGCTCCCCCGTCGCCACCGCCGCCGAAAAGCCGCCCGCATTCTCGCGCCGCGCCCCGCCAACCGCAGCGGAGCTCGCGCAGCTCACGTCAACGCTGGGCAAGCACGAGCGGCCGGAACACGCGGGCCTCGAAGATATGTCGGCGAAGGGGATGAAGCGGAATAGGAACTACTATATCGAGAAGAGGTACTGGAGGCGCCAGCAGCTGGAGGGCGAGGAGACAGATGATGAGGAGGACATCGATAGTGTCGAGTTTGCGCCGTATCCGGATTACATCAGGGACCGGCTTCCGGAGACGAGGCCGGCGCCGAAGCGCCGTGGGAATAGGCCGTTTACGAATGAGCTTGTTGTTCCGGTTGAGGAGGAGAAGGCTGAGGGGGAGTCTAAGCCTGTGGGTGCAAAGGTCACCACAGAGAAAGAAGAAGAGGAGGCGAAGATTCACGACGCTCCTAAGGCTACTCCTACTACAGCCTCTCAAAAGACCACTCCTACCACCCACCCCTCGCAGCCAGAGGCCAAACCCCCCGCCCCCAAAGCCTCCGACAGCATCACCTCGCAGCACGCCCCAAACCCTTACCCACACCCCGAGGCCAACAAATCACGCAAGCGCACCACCGCCGAGACCAAGAAACCAACCACACCACACATCCCCACGCGCAGCTTCTACTCCGAGGTCAAGCCGGCCAAGCACAGCGCCGACGACGACGATGACGGGTGCCCACAGAGCGCCGCGAAGCGGCAGAGACGGTTCGTCCAGCGGCTGCCAGAGGACCTGGCGAAGCGGGCGTCGCCGGCTGTGGCGGCGGCGGCGGAGAGTGCGGGGATGGGGATGGGGGTGGGGGTAAAGAGGCGTAGGTTCGCCTGACTCTTTGCGTTCTGTTTTTTTTGTGGCTGTGTGGCTGTGTGGCTCGCTGGCTATGTGGCTGTCTATGGGCTGCATGTACGTGTAGTAGTACCATGTGGGCCGTGGGCTGTAGGCTGGTGGGGGATCTGTAACGAATGTTCATGTACTCTGGCGTTTCGAGGATTGGGATTGGGGTTTGGGGTTTGGGATCTTGGGTTTGGGGTTTTTAGCTTTTTTTTCCTGGGTGCGGTGGAGTGGGTGTATAGTTACGTTTACAGTGCGTTGTAGCGTGCGTGGCGTGGCGCGGCGCGGCGTGGTAGTTGGGTGTACAATTCTCTTTCTATCTACATATTCTTATTTTGGTTTTTGGTTTTTGGTTTCTTTGTCTTGCAATGGTTTTTTCCGCTTTGTAGCGTTGGGTTTGGGTTTGGGTTTGGGTTTGGTCTGGTTTTGGTCCGGTTGGGTTTTGGGGTCTTTGGAATTGGGTGTGGGTGTGCAGGACGTGGGGGAGGGGAATGCGGGGGGGGGGGGGGGGGTAGAAAACTACACTACAAGCACGTGGGTATACACACATACACACATACATATAGGGCTATAGCGTACCCGAAAGTGGTGTGGTTTTGTAGAGCAGAGTATAGTATACAAGTACAAGTAGTTGTAGCAAATGATTACAATTACAATTAGTACACGTATCAGATATGTGTCTGACTGTCTGGCTGTCTGACTGGAGTATATAAGCATGTAAACGGTGGGTTGAGTTGGTTGTTTAGGTGCAGGCTAGCTGGTGGTGGGGTTGGGGGTTATAGAGTGTGGTGTGTGTGTGCTATTTAGAAGTAATAGGACACATAATACCTACTATACTATTCTACAATTGTAGGCCGGCCAGAGCTCTAGTCTAGAGCTCCCTCTAATCGATATCCCACATGCCCTCAGGCCCCTCAGGCCCCTCCCCCCCCCCCCCCCCCCCAAAAAAAAAAAAAGCCAAAAATGGACAATAAATACACAAAAAGTAATTAAATATGCTGGTTGACCATCCATCCGCCTCTTACCCGTCCCGTCTACAGGCTCTCACGGGCTAGCTCCAGGGTTCTGATATATTCGCGATATCGGGGCTCTGCTCCGCATCCCGGCGCGTTACATGCCGTACGTATACGAGCATTACTCCCACCCCGAACCTATGACCTTCCGGTAAGGTAACGGGCGGTCACGGTGGCTCCATGTGGTGTAGCAAGACGGGGAAGCCTACCACCCGCCCGCACAACCGCCAATGGCCGGGGAGTAGGACTTAAGACTTAAGGGAGTGAGGGTGAGGGTGAGGGTAGAGTGGGCTTGGGGGGGGGGGGGGGAAGTGGCGGTAGATACATATATACCCGTCGCGGGACTGGCCTGTGGCGGTGGTGGTGATGGTGGGTGTGGAATGTGGAGTGTGTTAGATCTGGTAGTACTTTGTGCGTTCTGGTTTTTGGGATATGGTGGTGGGCTTGTACTTACGAGGTGTAGATAGTCGGGTCTGATGGTTGTAATATCTAGACGCATGGCGGTATGCCTACTTCTGTGCGAAGTCGACGGCGGATGTAGTCTTGTAAGACCAATGACTCTGGCAGAGAGGGGTGGGGTGATGGTGGTAATGTAGTGGGAATGATAGTGATATATAGTGGTAGTAGTAATGATACATTATGGTCTCGTTCCCAGACTGTGTTCTGGATACACATGGGGATAGTTATAGTTATAGTGATAGTGGTGTTAGTAGTAAGTAGTAGATATTGGGTCGATAGGTGGGGGGAGGCCTCTTAAATACTCCCTATATCCCATCATACCCCTTTACCTGTACTATAGAGCAGGCACCGTTTCAGTAGCCACGCCCCTCTATCATCTGTCGGTATCCGTCCCCGTATATATATATATACGGAAACGCATAGTTGTCCCTACTAGTCTAGAGTCTAGAATATAGGGCTTACCTGGCCGGAGCAGCGAGTCTTTCACACATTGTTTTCACGCAATGTATATGCACATACACGTGTAGAGTAGTAGAATGCGAGAAGGAGTAGAGTGAGTCTTTGACAGCTTTATGCACACTACTCTAGCCAGTTCCTTCATTGACTCCAGGAAGCAAACATTGAGGAGCCTCATGTTTAACTTGACTCTATGGCCGTAAGGTCTACCGTACTGAACTGATATGAACTGGGTTATAAAAAATCGACAGCCTAATCACCAACGAGTGATAGCTTGTGACTCCACTGGAGTGATAATCTATGAACCTCCCCAAGAGACTTTTATAATCGCACATTCGCGGACCCACAGAATATCCCGAGATGTAAGAGGGTATTCATTTCTTTATTTTCGGTTCGTTTACTTTTTTGTCCTTTATATACTGTATCCTCACATGGTTTCCAATACAGCCCCCCCGAAGTGACAGCTGCTAAAAATCCCAGAAGACCAGAAACTAGAAAAGTAGCCCTCCAGTCAACTTGTTGGTTGCAGCAGTGGCCTGCTCAGACCTCCCGATGGCGCAGCTTGCAGATTCGATATGCTGCAGGAGTGCCGATGAAGACTTGAACCTATCGCAGCAAGTCGGGCAGCTACACACATCACACACATTGTCAGCCAACCCCTTTATCCATCTGAACAAGAAGGGATTCATGGAAAATAGAATACTTACCGGAAAACCTTCCTGGCATGTGCTGTGCTCTTTGCATGCTGGAGCATCTGCCCCGCCTTCGTGAACCTCTTCCTACACTTCCCAACATTGCACACAAAAAATCCCTCATCGGCCCTCCAATAGCGCCCCATGTCCTTCAATGTGAACTCCTTCCCTTCAGGGCCAACACCATCCGTGTAGTCGAGGACAGAAGGCCCCATATCAGTCTCCTGGACTGCCGCGCCCTCGCCCGCGATGCCCTCACGCCACACATGTGTGCTTGTCGTTGCCGGCTTCGGCGCGCCCGGCTCTGCAGCGGCAGCGGCAGCCGAAGAGGGATCATGCGATGCTACGATGCGCTGGGTGAGTGCCGCGGCTCCCAGCCCGCGAGTGCAGAAGTCGCTCTCGATGTGCTGCGCAATGCCGGAGGCATTGTTAAAGTATGCGTTGCATCCCGGGCATTTGATTCTCTGTGCGACACGGTGCATCTACTCCCGTCAGCATATCATTCGGCTGCATGACAGGTAATAAGATAGTGTACCTGCTTACGATGGCCTTCGAGCCCGCCCTTGCTGCCAAATTCACGAAAGCAGTCCAAGCAGACGATATGACGGGGGCTCTTGATTACGTGCATTTTAAGCTCGAGTGGGGTATCAAAGTCACGGTCGCAGGGGTTGCAGTAGGCGTGGGTCTCGGAATTCGCTTTCTTGTGGGCGCGGAGATCGGCCTGGTTGGCGAAGCCGAGGTTGCAGCCCAGGCATTGATGCGGCGACGTAAAAGTAGAGCTGAGAGTGGTCGCTGAGGCAGAGGAGCCAGGGATCACAATCTCAGAATCACTATAAATAGCAGAGTCATCCGAATCATCGTGATTCATGCGTCTGTGTAGGTGGAGGTTAGCAGATTGTGAGGGGAGAGAAGGGAATGTGTGGGAGCGAGGTGGGGGCTACTTACTCCCAGGTGGGTTTTGGAGGCATTGTGGGCGGCGTTGGAGCGGTGGGGCGGTGGGGCGGCGGAGGAAGACTAAGAATTGACGATTATGAGCGGGCGATGTGTGGTGGAAGTGTGGTGGTTGAGGTTGTATCCGTGTGTGGATGCCTGGATGCCTGGATGAGGGCCGAGTGACTTTGTGTGCAACGTTATCTTATCGGTCCTTATCGCCACGTGACTGGAAATGTTCAGGATGCATCAAAAGCAAGTAACTATCTCTGCCACTCTGTTAGACTCATATGGATAAGGAAGAAACCGATACAGAAAACGGATACAGACCAAGTTTACGTTGCCTACAGTGCAGTGCTAGGAGGGCCACTCTGAAATAAAACCACCGGGTTTAGAAAAAGAAACAACCAGATCAAGGTGCAAAAAAAGAAACAAAAAAAGAAAACACTACAATATCAGGAGAAACTTATCTCGTATCGACGACAATGTAGGTACCTTTAAGCACTTATGAAAAACTAGCTTAAATACCAGCTGGATCCGAATCAAAAAAGTACGCCAGGGCGGCCAGGAATTGTTTAGCGAGAAGCTTGAGCTATCTTAGCTTTCCCCAAGGGATACCCCACGCATGAATAGTCATCCTTAAATATTCATACCCGGTGTTTCCCCGGCCGCATCCCGACCCCCCAGTATCAGATAACCAAGGGCTACAAATTCTAGGAGTCTTGAAGCTATTCTATGCATGACCCAGTATGTAGTGTATATTACCAGCTCGGACCTAAAACTGTATTTGAGGGCCCATATTTGTTGTTGGGATGGTAAATGTAGCTATTAGTTCGGCAGAAAAAGATTTCTATGCTAGTGTAGTAATTATAAGGACGATGGCCATAAAGGTAAGTAGTTGTAATAAAGTTTCTATAACCGTCCAGGAATGAATGGCTTGATTAATACTCAATTTACTTGGTTTCAGGTGAGATGGGGAACCCGAGTACCGTTCATACGAATCCCTTAAAGGTCCAGGCGAGGCCGTACCCACTCCCATGAGGGATTTATACAAGCAGTTTACCTAATTACGGCCATCATGATACCAGGCTGGGGCCTCTCCATAGTCGTTATCTAGCCTTTCCTTACCTCCAATCCATCACAGTTCTACTAGCAGTTCCGAACTTCCGGGCTACTTTATCCAATTGGTACATGCATATTCCAGAACCAAATGTATTCCCTCATGGCCCGGATCGTGATTTGCCGTTCTTATTTATTACAGGGGCCCTTTCTGGTAGGCTTCCCAAAAGCTTATCCTAGTCATTCTAAAACACGGGGTACCCCGAGATTGTGAGAGAATGATCATTTGAAGCGGTTTCCTCGATGGCGTACTCTAGAGAATCCCATATTGGTCTCTGGGCCAGATTTACACCTAATATAATTCCGACCTCGATGCCGCAATCAATCTCACGCCGCAGCATGGCCCGGGCAACATGCAGGGCCCGATCTTAGAATCGTGTTACCGGAATTCTGACCTTTCTTTTTTAAGCATTGCCTTGCCGAAATCGCGAACAAGCTTTTTCGGCACACCTTTCCCGAACGGAAAGGACGGAAAGCTTGGCTGTTGGCACATGCATGGATTGATAGGTCAGCCTCAACTGTCCCGAACTCGCCAAAGTGTGCGACTATCGCTTTGTTGCTTGGTATCGTTGACATTGCGCAGGTATATATAGACGTCCTATGGGACGCGAATCTCCTCAACCCCTCTCTTCTAACGGTAGGTAATATATATTCAGACAGGTTAGTAGAGTGGGTAGGTATTTATCTAGAGCACGTCAGCGTCCCCAGAACATTATATATATACCCTGAGGAGGGGTACGAACAAGACGAAAGACAGATCACACACAGACAATCCATATACATATTTACAATCATGCTATCTGGCACCTCTCATCTTCCCCGCCCAGGACGGCCACGGTCCACCACCCGCTTTACCCGCTTCACTGGTCTTGCAAGCGGCGTCATCTTCTTCTTTCTCTTTGTCATGTAACTTTCCTGCCCTCGTTGTACTATTTCGTTCACTACTAACCTCGAGTTAGCACATTCTCACAAATTATCAGCATCCTTCTATCATTCTCCCGCGCATCCTGGAAATCCGATATCCAGACTCTTCTCATTACCTGGCCGCGAACCCACGGCAGCTACCCCACCTCATTCACACGCGACGTCCTTCCCCGCCCGATTCACAGCCATAACGACTACTGGCGACAGGTCCCTCTCTTCTCTGCCATTGCTTCCGGCTGCATCAGTGTAGAAGCCGATGTCTGGGAGTTCTCTGGCAATGAGCTCTTCGTCGGCCACGACTCCTCGTCTCTGACACGAAACCGGACATTCAAGTCTCTCTATGTCGAGCCCCTCGTAAAGATCCTGAAGGGCCAGAACCCAGAAACCGAGTTTACAAAGGAGATGCCGGAGGGCCGTATCAACGGCGTGTACGACGTTGACCCGGGACAGACATTGCATCTGTTTGTTGACTTCAAGACGCCGGGGCTGTCGACGCTTCCTGTAGTGCTGTCACACCTTGAGCCGCTGCGGTCACCCGTAAATTATTTGACGCACTATAACGGGAGCGACATTGTCACTGGACCCGTGACCGTGCATTTCACGGGAGATGCTCCATTCCATGAGATGGTGACCAGAAATGCCACATACCGTGACTACTTTTATGATGCACCGTTGGGAAAGTTAGCGGATAGTGATATGTATAATTGGACGAACTCGCTGATTGCATCGGCGCCGTTTGGGAGGGAGGTAGGGATGGTATTATGGGGAAGAGGAATTAGTGACAGTCAGAAGGGGAAGGTGAGGGAACAAGTGGGAGCGGCACATGAGAGGGGGATTATGGCGAGATATTGGGATACACCCGGATGGCCCGTTAGTGTGAGGGATGCAGTTTGGGGCGTGTTGATGGGTGAGGGGGTAGACCTATTGAATGCAGATGATTTGAAGGTGAGCTTCTTCCTGTATCGCTGGCTGAAAATAGAGATGATTCTAATCGGTAATACGTGTAGGCTGCTGCTACGTTAAATTGGTAAAACTTTGGGGTTCTAGTGCTGGTTGGATAAATACATATACATGGATTGGTGTTTTTTTTTTTTTTTTACTCTTTTTATTTCTATTTTCTCGGGGTTGGGGCAGGTGGTTATAAGGCATACCATTTACGATTCGATGAATGTAGTGTATTTTCTCTTAGGAAGAAATTTTTGATGTCCTTATTGATGTCAGTAAGAACACTAGACTGCCTGCAAGAACATGTAGTCAGGGGTAGAAAGCAGCTCTCGGCTCGCACCTTCAGGATATAGACTGGCCATGTGTTTTCAGATTTTGATGTTCATCGAGGTGGAGCTAGATGAGATTCGCGAGGAACGGACGGAATAGATGTAGAGTTTTAACTTGACGGTCATCTGTAGTGCAGTCGTTGAATTTAGTGAATCCCTGCGGTGGGAAATTCTGGATCATTTGGTGATGGTTCATGAAAAGTAAGCTGCAAAGAGCGAATGGAGAAATATTTATGGCTGTAATCAGCCTGGTAATATATTGATGATCAGATTGATCAGATACACCAGGTTGGCAGAGGATGGGATTTTACAAATTTACTCTCCTCTCAAGGTCGCCTACTACCTAGCTAGCGTAGAAGATCTGCGAGGAGTTGGTTTCATCTAGGATACATAATCATAGACGGCTAGCTTTAGTAGTCCATATGTTTATAAGAGATCGAAATAGTGGTGGTGACTTGTGTGAAGTTCTCACGCCGAGAAAGCCTAACGGGGTCAAGTCATAGGATGTCACTCGTGCCAAGGATGACAACTTGCTACTCGAATGCTAGTAGATATATGTAACTCGTAAGATGTAGCTATTTTGATACCGAGCTCTTCAAATTGTTTCTTAACCCTCAAGAGAAATCCTTCCATTAATACAAAGGGTTGGTTGGGTTCCGGAAATCATTTATTTTTTTTTCACCATTAATGAATTTATGTTTACCCAATTTAAAGGATCATAACGCCTAGACTCTATCGATATAAAGAGACGTATGTATCTTTGGGGGGGTTCTCTCTACATGTACTTCTCGGCAGGCTTTGAATTAGTGTGCTGCGAGATAATGGTGTATGGGGGCTGAGATAGGGGCGCTTTCCCACTACATGTTTGTACCTCCGATCTCATTGGATGATCACCATATTGAATGAGGAAAAGAACCGAGAATTAGGTCGTACTAAAAGCTAGCGTAGCGAGAGAGTATTTGGATCAACAAATGCGGTAGAAGGTTGAGCCAATCAGGTACTGCTCGCCTTTCCTGGGCACCCCTACATTATCTGTGTTTCACATTCTATGCAAAGCTCTTGCAACTCTCATGCTCAATTCTCATCGATAATACCTTAACGACCTTCGTTCGCCATATATTACACCACTCAAGAGCACCCCAGATAGTACAAAAACCCTGAAGAATATTCATCTAATATAGAAGAACTTGGATAGTTCTCCGAGCACAGTTACCTTTTATTTGAGCTTTTTGTTATTTGAAAATTCAGATTTTTCTCGCCCTGCCCAGTCGGCTTTCCATTTTCGGTCATCATATCCCAGATAAACATCAGACTGAACCACGACCTTGCAAGAGCTAATAGCCACCATGCCTCAATTCCCGGTATACCTAGACCACAACCCACACACCTCACTTCTCAGTCTTCCCAACGAGATCCTATACTTTATCATCAAAGACCTCCCACTCTCCGCCATGGCGGCCCTCTCGGAAACGAGCCGTTTCATCTCCGCCGTCACCTCCCCCATCCTCACAAATCTCAAGAAGGCCGACCACGAGGGCATCCCAGCAATCCACTACGCATCTAGCCAAGGTTCACTCACATGGGTCATGTCTCTCCTCTCATTAGGCGTTTCCCCAAACCTCCGGGTGCCAGAAACCTTTGGAACCCCTCTCCACTTCGCCGCCAGTAAAGGACACAAAGACGTCGTCTTGGGTCTCATCAAATCCAACGCAGATATCAACCCCACCGATCTCTTCGGTGATACCCCTCTGCATGTTGCCGTCCAGGACGGCATGTACGAGTGTGTAGAAGAACTGATCAAGCATGGTGCGAATGTGGATGCGCTTAACCGCCATGGGGAATCCCCGCTGAGGAAAGGCATCGAGGTCTTACACAGGCTGGGGAGAAGTGAGGATCCTCATGATATCATCAAGTTCAAGAACATGGAGAACGCAGTCATGGTACTGTTATCCGGCGGGGTAGACGTCCGCAAGGTTGACGAGAGCAGACAGACGGTGCTGCACTTTGCTGCATCACAGAAGAGCGTGCTAGTACTGGAGAAGATACTTTCCCTGGGTGCGAGGGCTGATATCAACGCCCAAGAGTCATTCAACCTTACACCACTACATATTGCGGCCATCGAAGGGTATTACGGATGTGCAGCGGCGTTGTTACGCTCTGGTGCGCTCGTAGATGCACAGACTCGCGAGGGAAATACAGCACTACATGTGGCACTCATGGCGGAGAATGGTTCTGCGATTCAGACTTTGGTGGATGGCAAAGCGGATCCCAACATCCTCAATAACGCTGGATATACCCCGCTATCTCTCGCAGCGTACTATGGATACACACGATATGTCTTGATGATGTGCAAAGGTGTAGTACCCATCAACTGGTCGTTCGACTGCAACGCACTTGCGCTGTTCATGGCCGTCACGCAGCGCCATGAAACTGTTGTTAAGGCGTTACTGAACAATGGTGCTGAGGTCGCGGTGGATGTCCAGTGGAAAACATCAAACTCAAGGACGGCACTACACGAAGCGGTACGAAATGGAGATTCTGGAATTGTGTGGCTGCTGATACGGCACGGTGCAGGTATTTGGATTCAGGATGGGGAGGGGAAATGTGGTGGATGCTGGGCTTACGAGAATGGTCATTTCAAGATGATCCGAATGTTTCACATCTTTTCATGATCGTTTATGCTTGAGCAACTTTATCTCCTTTACTATTGTCTTTTCCTTCTTGGAGTTTTGGTATCGTTATTTGTAGGATTTGGATTCCGTTCTTTTTCTTAGGTTTTGATATCACTCTGGGGTTTCTATTAACATTGTACTGGTTAATAAGAAAGGAGGTGTTGAGTATTTCTTTGTAACGATTAGATATTTAAGTAACATCATTGTGTATTGGATAATGTTTAGGTTAGTTCGAGCTCAGATTTGGACTTGCCGGAATATTATTCTAGGGTATATATACCTTTCTGGCGGGCTAAGTTAATTCAAGGGATTAAATACTTTCTTATCTCTATGGTCAGATATATTGGGCTCAATTAATGAATTAAACAAAAAAAAAGATATATTGGGCTCTACTGGTATAAATCTGGAATTATACCAGCTTATTGCAGCCAATCAAATCTCTACCCAAGTCTCCAACCACGTCCATATCTTCGATATACTTCACAATGTATCACTCGATTATTCTCCATGTTTACGTAGATCACTTGTCAGGAGAATTTTTTGTTTTTGTTTAATTCGTTGATTACATACTTGTCAGGAGAATTATAGTATGTCTTTGCACCGGAGTGGGCTTCTTAATGGTCAGAAACTCCTCTTGAAATTTGCGCCAAATATAAGACTCGCATGCGAGGCCACTGTTATTGAGGAAGTCCGAAAAGCTAGAATTCTCCCAGTTGATAAATACAGTCGTGTTAAGAAAGTCCTGTCAGTCAGCACCACACAAAATATTAAAATCCTTCCCACACAACCATCAAGTGAATTTGATTAAAATAAAATAATTAAGCCTTGTAGATGTCTAGAGTACAAATATTCCTACCCACAGAATTATTGCTGGATTTCTGCTTTTGTGATACAGTGACTAGTGAATATTGTGATTTGAATACTTCCAGGAGAATAGCTACACATGCACTAGCCAGAAAATTTCTGCAATTATATCAAGGGTATCCAGGGTCATAGACTCGAGATAGAAATTTAGACTTTGAAGAAAGCTCTTGTCGTTGTTGAGATTTTGTGGGTAGTGCATGTGGGCCCAAATCACCATTTACAGCTGAAACTTTCCACCGAAGCTACACATTTAGTATTCATTCCAAATTCTCAAAATTTAGAATATAATGAATAATACCCTAATTTTTTTGTCTTCTCAATTTCAAGCCCTCTGAAATCATGGTTGTTGAGGGGGACTGTGTTATATGTGCCGCTATCGCGTTGTCATCTACTGACAAGACTTGTTTAACACGGCTGTACATCGTAAGTTGTAGCTGAATTACATGTACATGTCCTACCCCCTGGGGCATTGAGGTATGTATTATTAAGACAACTGGACGTGTCGATGGTAGTTATAATGGAGAGCGCTCGTTTTAGATGGTGGAAGGATGTTGGTCGGAGGACCTTGTCTTATATGGGAAGTGTTCTTCGCTAACATTAACACCATGCATTAAATAAAATATAGCTGGGCAAGGTGGTCCTCTGCCTCGCCACACACTTCTCACTCCATCATCACAACGACCATCAACTGCAGCTGCCTATTCCCCTCCACCAACACAGCATACAACCACCATTTCCTCTCTATCAAGTCTATGGTCCTACGGTTCGCCAGCACCGTAACTCGTTTCTCTTTATGAGAACATACGCTCTAAGATATCTCCTAGCATCCTAAGCCCGATATTCTCCGGAGTATATAGGATAGAACTCACCCATCAACGGTGTCAAAGATGTCTGCTGGTATGTGTGAACATTTAACCACAAAATATCACTCGATATGACACTTCTACATAGCTGCTGAAGTTTTGTCTCTTGTCTTTTTACTTTTCAGTCCCCCCTTTTCTTTTTTTTTCTTTTTTTCTTTTTTTACGAAAACCTTTGTCCACTAACCCGGGCCCAACCCCTTTGATAGGTTGTTTAAACTCTCACAGATTAAGTAAACAATAAATACATCCCCCGAGAACGAAGAGCTGGATATATTGTGGGTATTAGGTATCGAATCACAACGACGGTAGTTCTATCTGACCATAGACTAAGGAACCCGATTCACTGCGTCTCACGCTTGCCAAACCACGCCACACATGAATTGCACACTCATAAATTCCAAGAATCCCTTGAATAAATAAATAAAAATCTAACCAAACCCAAAATCACTAAAAAGAAGCGCACCCGCACCCGTACCCACTAACTACCGCGCCTTAACACAACCAAATCCACTAACACAAGACCCCAACAACATGCGCCGCCGCAATCGCCGCCCCCCCAACTCCTGCCCCCGCCGCAAGCGCGGTGCCCACAGTCCCCAACGTCACCGCCAATGCACCCCCCATCGCCAAGCTCTGGGCCGTTGCGAACCATCCACCTGCTGCCACGACGCCACCCATTCCTGCCTGTGCTGCTGCTGCTGCGCTGCCTGTGGGGAGTTAGTATTTGTGGTCACAGTGGGGTGTGGATGACAGGAACAGAGAGGGATGAGGATGGGACGCAATGATGGGAGGTGGAGGGGGAAATAACGTACCGGCAGCGACACCTCCAGCTCCGAATCCAACGGCACCCAGAGCGGCTGGGATGGCGGCGATAGCACCGGCGCCAGCGGCAGATGAGGCGACGACGCTGGCGGCAACTCCACAGAGACCGAGCATTGTTGTGATGTTGTGTGAGGTAGAAGATTAAAGATTATAAGTAGGTATTATTTACGAGGTGTCGATAGCTAACGGGAAGCTGAAGGTTTATAAAGTCAACAAAAGCTAGCTGGACGCAAGTTAAGAAGCTGAATTCTTGATGGATCTAACTACCCACAGATAAGAAATACATGTAGTATATATACGCTCTATAATTCAGGCAACCCATTTTATGTGCGGTATGACTCTCTCCCTAGGCACGCTAAGGGGGGGTTCAGCTGGTTTCAGAGCGGGAGTGCCTGGATTGGGCTGTAGCGCCGGAAGGGGCAATATAGGCCGATCGCTTTGACGAGCTGGCATGGTCACGTTGTTGGGCACATTTGCCGTAAAGCGATTTGTCACGTATTAGTCAGTACAGCATGTGAAAATGTGGACAATCCCTTTGTAAAGGTGTCCGCAGCGGAACGACCTAATAACTAGCTCGCTATCTCCCTGTCTATCATACATTTTGTTGCTCTCGTTTTGTCTTAATCGAAGTTTTATTCATTCTACGTATTTTCGTCTCGAATCGTCGTTGAGAAGAAAAGAAACACAACAGCCGGCCAACAACGTGGGGTGATGTAAACAGCAGAGCTTGATTGGGTGTTTTGAGAAGAGAGGATAGTGGCGTGATTGGATGGCCTATTATGATTTGAGAAGGACACAGCGAGCGACGGCTCTTTAATGTTGTAGGGTCTCGACAAACGTCTTGCGGGAATCGTCATCATGAGATCTCACTCGGTTTGGCCAACTCGTGCTAGCCTCAATCTAAGATCTCCTTAACCTAATTCCGCTACATACTGCAGAAGAAAGAACACTCACTGAATAGTATAGTGTATAAAGGAGCCTTCTAGAGTAACTAATTATGCTCAAAACACAGAAGAAGAAAAACTTGGAGATATCAAATTGAAAGATTTGGGTATGATATCGATAGGAGAGCGTGTAACGGAGGCTGTGCGTCCGTAGATTACCAAAGTCCGAGGCGAAGGAATGAACTATATTTTTCAAGCAAGTTGGCATTAGTACAACTACATACGTAGCACAAATCAGCGACAGCCAAGCTATGAGCTTTGAAAATGCATCAGACCCCAAAACACCCCATTTCCACCATTGGGTCCACTCCCCAGGAGTTTAGAGTTGTGCTACAGTTGCTACAATACTAGAGCTTCCATTGTATCATGAATAGAATTATAAGCCTTTTGATGGCCATGCTTGTGTGGTTGGGAAGAAGAGTTGTCTTTGGTTCTAGTTGCTCTGGGGCGGTTAGGTTCCTACTGGAAGATTCATGCAATATGACGTGCATAAATGGCCTATTTCGAGGTTATGTGGGTTCTGTAGGCGGATATATAGAACCACAGAGCAAACAATATATAGCCGGTGAGTAGCAAGCTAGAAGTCGATACATACTGCCTCTTGTATTTGCGATGGGCTAGATTAGACCGACCGAATGACGATATATACGGGATGGAAAGAACTATCGGCCACGTCTGGAGACAAATACCCAATCTATCACTCGGCAGGCAGAACCTTCCAGAAACCGGGTCATCCTGCCTGTCAGTCGGTCAGTCAGCCAGGCCTTATCACCACGTTCGCCACTCCACCGCATCTACCACATCCACCGCTCTACGGACAGGTAACCGCAAAAATCGATAAAAAAGAAACTTCGATAAAGGATAAATAAATAGGCTACAATGTATCTACAGAGGTAGTTTATTTTTGACAACCCACAAATCCCTCCCGGCTTGCACTGCACTGCCAACTATGTGTGTATCTATCTACCATCTACTGGAAAAGTTTTTCTCGGACGCGCGTACTGCGTCTTGAAGTATCACTCGTCCTGGTACTCCGCCACGATAGGTGCATAGCGCATATGTAGAGTGGCATTATCTTATCAGCGGACCCCTGTGTGCGGTGATCCTGGCGAGATACTACTAACACCACGACGACGCGAGGTATGGAGTGATAATCTATGTGAGGATAGTAGTGTGTTTTGTAAATACGTACCTTTTCTAGCAGCAAGCCCTAAAGAGCAAGGGGTCTAGCCCCAGTGGTAGCAGAAAGAGAGAAAAAGAGAGAAGATGGGAACAAATATGAATACAAAAAACCCCGGTCACTAAAATATCCCGGTATTCTACCCGTTACTTACTGGCCTTCAAACATACATGTACTTGACATGACTAACTACATAACATTTTAAGTTTGGGGTATTGGTACAAAAGGAGATTGATATAAAACAAGAGTTACTCACTACTAATCATGTCAGAGAAAACAAGAAACAAGAAAATAATAATAATACCAGAAAAAAAAGTAACAAACAAACGCCAAACGCAAATGATGCCGCCAACAGCCGCCCCACCTACCCATAGGAAAGATTTTTTTGTACTTGGAATGTCCCCCGTTCAACAACTACTACACCTACCACCTCTCCTCGGCACTGTCTCCTCCCCAAGTTGACCAACCTACACTTCCAGCGCTCCTAGGCTCCATCTTGGCCTTTCTCCCAACAGCTAATCCAGTCTCCAAGTCGATTCTCTCGTCGTCTTCTTCATCACTGCTGATATCATCTGGAGACCTGTTCATCCTTTGCAGCGGCACGTTCTCCCCATCGCTATATGTGCCCGGCAGCTTCCCCAATATTCTTTCTGCCTTGCTCGGCTTCATCTCACCCGCGTGGCGGATGAGCCCATTCGGATTACCACCGTTCCAAGTCCTTCCTTCAGCTGGGTGTCGGTTTGCACCGGGCCATCCCGTTCGCGTATCATCGCCTTGGTCAAGCCCCATACGCTCTCTCTCAACTCTTACAGCCTCAGCAGCGATGCGCCACTCATTGCTCGTTTCCCAGTTCCATCCATCCCCGACGCCCGAGAAGCGCGGGATGAACCACTTCCACCACTCTTCCCGTGGGCCGAATACACAGCGGAAGTTGCGCGCTCTGCCGAGATCGAATGGATGGGGGAGCTTCTTGGTGGATTCCTCGAGGATGTAGGAGTTGTAGCGACGGAACTCTTGTTCGCGCTCATGCTCTCGCTCGGCGGCGTAGTCGAAGGTTGGGTCATTTTCTGGGTTGTCGTAGAGATGGTGTGCGCCAGGCGCTGGGACTCCACTACGCGAAAGTGTGGGTGTTGTGTATCGCACTTTCTCCAAAGACTCAATGGTTGTCATCCCAGAGCCTACGAGAGTGAGATGCCAGATGGTGAATCCGCTCAGTACCAATCCAATAATACCCGAAAGGACTGCTAGTAGCACCCAGTTTACTGGTGTAAAGTCATCAACCGGGTATTTACTGCTTGCATTTGAACTCAACAGCTCCTCGTAGACATATGCTGAGCTAACTACGAAACAAAGAAGGCAAAATACGGAGGTGTAAATCAGAAACAACATGAACGCTTTGTAATTGAACATTCCGAGGCAATTTGCGAGCCATGGACAATGGTGGTCCATTTTGAGGACGCAGGTCTTGCATGAACTGCAGTGGTGGGTGCGGTCTGGTTTGTAGCATTGGCATTTCTTGCAGAAGCGGGCTTGTCCGGACGATTTAACACTTATGGAAGAATTAGTCGACGTCTCGGTTGTTGGGAGGGAACTATAAGAGTGTTTCTAAGGATTGTTAGATGTTTCCCTCAAGAGATAAAGGGAGTGAGTAGGTGGTCACATTATCAAGTGGTGAACCCGGATTCGTAAATACAGCTGTAAAGTAGGACCAGTTTAAGAGAAAATAGAGGGTTAGGCCCAAGAAAGAGAGAAAAATGCCTAAGGGGTCCGTGAGATCAGCAGACAATCCCTGGGGAACAATGTCGATCTCCGAGGAAGAGGAGGCTCTTCGGCATGGGGGGATAATGCGATACCTTTGGCTCCAGCGATATTATTCCAGCAGATACTGTAAGAGTATGTGTACACGGCCCATGTTGAGACTCCGGATATAAAAACAAGAGGGAAATAGCACAAGAGACTGCAGCATAACCTGTCGATCCGACGACAGGATAAACGGGTTTTCCGGTGACGTGGACCCGTTGGCGAGAGTATTGGCGAGTCCATCGGTCCAATGTTTGTGAATGGACGTTTTCAAGCTCTACGTTTAGCTTGACACCTGGTTGGTTCGAGAGATGTGTTCTATTCCAGAAAAGTCCCGAAGAAAAAAAAGCTTCTAGATTGATTCCCACTCGAGTGATGGGGGTTTGGGGTGTGTGGGAGGGAGATCAGGAGTTGAAGGAGCACAGGGGATGTTGCATATGTGGTGTAGTACTGAGTACGGAGTGGTAGAGCGGTACCTGGCACGATATGTCGCTGGGAACAAAGCGTTCAAAGTTTGCAAAGAGTACTTATTTACATCCAGCACAGCAAGTACTAGCAGCTGTCTTACGGTGAGGGAAACCGTTGAGGGTCGGAAGAGCGGCAGGCCGAGCAGCTCTGTATGTATGTATGATGTATTTTTGTTTTTCTAACGCAGGAGGGGGATAGAGTAGATTCAATTATGCATATGCTCAGTGCACTGTGGACTCCCCAGCTGCTCAACCTCAGCCTCCTGTCAAATAAACAATGTTATTGTAATGACGAAAGTGCAGTTATTTTTGGCATTTCGGGACTAAGTTAGAGCAGTTAGTCAGGGCCCATCTCGCTCTTGCACAGCCCGACCGACAGCCAGGCTGCGAATCGGGAGGCACTGCAGGGAAGCTTCTGCTAGAAACGGGTAGCGTTGCTTTAATGGACGCGAATCAGTCACCCGTTGCTGTGGCAGGCGACTAGGAAAAAGGGAACCTGGACAAGGGAAACCTCGCGCGTTTTCTCTATCACCACTCTCTTTTGCTGTCTTTCGACAGATCCATTCCTTCCTCTACCATACATCCCCTCCCCTGTCTGCACAACGTAACTGTGCAGTGCGTTTACTTATTGAATTTTGTCGATCGCTACTCGGGCCAGGTGAGGGGCTCCACTCGAAATACTTATATAGAAGGCTTCCATCCATCCCACTGACACCCAGAGAACTGTAGGTGCCATTTCGTTCTCTTTCGACGACACACTTTAAAAAGGCCTTGGTTGTCACTTGATTGTTGTCTTCCAGGTCAACTGCATTCTTTAAGATCCCGTCACCTCTACGACTCACGTGTGTCGAATATATCGTGTAACGAGCACATCGTGTGTCAGCTACATATAATTACTCTGGAGAAATAAGAAGTAAGCGGATATCCCCCATCAGCTGCCCCCGCCCCCCTCTATCCCAAGACTCGATTTCGATGTTGCATACCTTCTGTTGGGGTAGAATATATTTAAGTTTTGTTGCCAATATCCCCCCCTGTATCTACTTCCTACCTATTTCGTCCCTCCACAATTCTCGGTAGTCCCATACTCCTGTTTCAAGTTGGCCGTCGGTGATTGGTTGCGCAACATCTTGGAATCTAAACGCTGACGACTCACTGGTACCCTGTAGTTTTAGTTCTTACCTCTGCTACCCTAGATAGAAGAGCTGCCTACATCCACCCCCTCTCCCTTCTAAGTCTTCTCCCATTTTCATCATCATAGTTATCGGCAACAAAGATACGTTGCGTTTAACCGTCAAGGAATAAAGGGAAGGAACATACCAGATTCTTACTTCATCTCCCTCGACGTCAGAATGTCGGCCGCTGAGTACTACAATTCTGGCCCAGCGCCAATCAACACAAATTTCCCCCCGAACCAAAACCCTCCTCATCCCTCCTCATCGCCCGCTCCTTCACACTCAACAGTCTCGCCCATTAATAAGCCTTTGCCTAACCAACCAACATTTCCACCTACACACGGTGGTATCGGTTACACAGATGACTTTTATGGGCGTCACCACTCAACACAATCTATTGATGTAGATACGTCGTATCATCCGCCCGCGCACTCCCCCCCGGACTATCGCACAACAACTCATACTCCAGCAATTACGATAAGCAACAACCATACAATGATGGAATCCCTTTGCATGACACACGGCCACAGAATTACCAGAATTACCCACCGCCCATGCCTGCGTCTGCAGCGGAGATGGGGATGATGGGTGGGAAGAAGCCGAAGCGAAAACAGGCGCCATTCATGAATAATACTCACAAGAGACCATGGTTCTGTTGGATAATATCTACCATCCAGGTTTCAGTATTCATTGCCGAGATTGCGCGTAATGCAATCCTAACTGGAAGTCCGATTATGATCAAGCCGCAGGTTAACCCTATGATTGGGCCTTCAACAAATGTACTCATCAATATGGGTGCACGATTTGTACCTTGCATGAAGCTTATCGAAGGTGTCACCGATCGTGCGGATATAGCCCTCAACTTTCCGTGCCCCACGGCGACCACATATGACGTCGCCGACAACAACTGCACTCTCTCGCAATGGTGTGGTTTTGGGGGTGATGAGATTCCAAAAGATCTGGGTGGGAAATCGTCGAGCAAGGAGCCCGATCAATGGTGGCGCTTCATTGTGCCTATGTTTTTGCACGCAGGGATCATTCATATTGGCTTTAACATGTTATTCCAGCTTCGAATTGGAGTCGATATGGAACGTGAAATTGGTCCCATCAGATTCGCATTGTGCTATTTTGCGTCGGGGATTTTCGGCTTTGTTCTGGGCGGCAATTTCGCTCCGAATGGTGTACCTTCAACGTATGTCTCACCCTAGAATAATGTCTTACCTTTCATCCCACTAACTATTTACAGTGGCTGTTCCGGTTCTCTTTTTGGCATAATCGCGCTCATGCTCTTGGATCTTCTCTGGAACTGGACTAACCGGCAGTCACCAATGAAGGAATTACTCTTCCTCCTTCTTGATATCTGTCTTGGCTTTGCCATCGGTCTTCTTCCAGGGCTCGATAACTTCTCCCATATCGGTGGTTTTCTCATGGGTTTTATCCTTGGTATCGCTCTTCTCCACTCCCCAGTCAATCTCCGCCGAAAGATTGGTGCCGGCGACCCGCCATACACCCCGATGACTCCCGCATATATGCACGGTGCCAATACCGAGGGAGGTTCATCTGCCACGCAGGGACACAGTGCATCTGTTTTCATCAAGTCTCCCACCGGATTTTTCAAGGGCCGCAAGCCACTCTGGTGGGCTTTCTGGATTGCCCGCGCAGCCGCCCTAACAGCAGCACTCATCGTGATGATTGTCTTGATCAACAACTTTTACAAGTATGAGAAGAAGTGCACATGGTGCAAGTATCTCAGCTGCTTGCCGGTCAGCAACTGGTGTGATGTTGGTAACTTGACCGTCACAACTACAGAAACAACGTCAAGGAAAATGATGGCGAGAAATTTGGCGGCTTTTATGTAGGCGGTTAGGGGTTGTTGAGCCTGGCTGGAGGTCCAGCTTTTTTGTTGTTTTCTTATCTTCGTATTCACGGCTGGATGTCTGGGGTTGCTTTTTCGGGTTAATCTGGGGGGCCAGGTTGGGGCTGGCGATGTGCACAACAAACAAAAACAACAAGGGAAGATTTTGTGATTCCTCACTCCTTTTTGATATCTCTCTTTACCGTTTTATCTTTTTCTTTGCGTTCTATTTTATTCTCGGGGGTGGAGTTTTTTCTTTTTCTTTTTCCCTATGTTTAGTTGCGTATTGCGCAATTTATCTTCTTTGTGATAGTAATTTTCACCTTTTTTTGTTATGAAGGCCATCAATGCCTGCTAGGTGCTTGGATATCTATATGTAGTCTGGAAGAGTCTATAACAATATTTGGAAAGTATATATTTTGCGCCTCTCGCACTCACTGTGTGACGTGACATGTCCTTGAGTTTGTATCACGCTGGATCTGTAAAATGCCTTTCCTGCACGGTTTATCATGACTTCTTTAGTGTGGGGCTAGTCTCGTGCCCAAATCAATAAACAGTTCCTACTAGCGAATATAGTTAGACAAGTAATAGGGGCCGGTTAGCGTCGCTAGCGTGCGAGTGATCCTTTGTGAAGATTTTGTCTGGGTGAATTTGATTTATATATTCATTCATGGGTTCACGTAGCTCCTTCAGACACGGCGTATTGAGGATATAAAACAGACATAACCTCGGATCACCCGACGAAACCAAAGTGCTTCAGAAATGTTCCAAGTCTTGTTGGATGCAGATCATGCCTATCTGGGAATTTGTAGTTGGTGTTTTATTGACCGGGTTCTGGAACTTTAAATGCAATTTTTAAATATAAGCGAGTGATGATCCATGAACTACAGTAGAAAATGACAAGGGAGAGAAACAAGAAGGCTACACTATACAAAGTAGGTTTATACCGTCAGAGTTCGAGGAGCTATCAAACTTCAACCTAAAATGATGCCGCAGGGGTGCAGCGTTTTTAAATATAACTAATAAAATATTCTATCGTCGTTGTCGTCATGATCCATAAAAGTCAAACACCCCATCGTCCATACTAACAGATAATAACCTCTGGCCTATCAGTGTTTGTCTTTCCCGCGTCTTTCCCCTCAAAATCGTACGGTGGTGGTGCTTCTGGCGCTGGCGGTGGTTTGCGGCAACAACAGATAAATATTAAACCAAAGACGATGAATGTGCCAAGGACAACTGGCAACCAAATGTAGATACCGGCAGGGCCGATATCGCCCCCATCTGTATCTATGTCCGAGTCTTCCCATTCGTAGGTGTAGGTGTTTTCGGGCTATCATACCCATAAGTTTTGCTATATATTCTCAGTTTTCAATGTCTAATGATGGCTTCTTACTGTGGTTGTGTATGTGTAGTCTGGGTTATATCTCCATCCGTACGTTGATGAATATGTCAGAGTGTCGGGTGGATATTCCTCTGTCTCTGTTTCGCTGGCAACTTCAGTCGGTTCGGGGTATGGTATTGTAGCTGTTGTCCACGATGGGGCTTTTGTCATGACAAAGACTGATGGAGGTAGGTCTTCACCCCCGCTGTAGAAAACCGTCAGGGTAGTTAATTCGTTGGCAAAGACAACGTTTGTGGCCGCAGTAACAAAAGGTGGAGCCGTTGCTGGTCCTAAGGTGGTTTCCGCCGAGCTGACGATGTATGATGTTACATATGCTGGTCCTGCTAGGGTAAGCGTTACGGGAGTTGCTCCCCTCGTTAAGGTTGTTGTTATGGGAAATGGTATGGTCTCGGTCTCCTGACAAGTGCTGAAGGTCAGGAGTACAAAAGATAGTATAAAACGGAGATTTTGGGTTTGAATCCTCATGATTTCGGCCGTTCGTTGATGTCCAGAGTATAGAGTGGGAGTAGGTATTTATAGCTTTCTTATATACAGGTCTATTATCTACAGGCCGGGGGCATACTACAACTGGTATAGCGGGGTATTAGACGATGATAACTAAGAACCATTGTCCCTCGTATGTAATAAACGGTCGTCCATGAACCTGCTCTTTGCCCGTTGATCAACTACAGTACACCTTAGTAGTTCAAGTTTTGATGCAGGAGAATCTTTGAAAATGTGATATGAACCTCAATCCTGGGAATGAGGGGCTATGAAAGTCTTGCTCTAAAGGCATTGGACCCGTTTCTACTAGTAAGTGAGGCTGTGCTTTTTCTAATCGTCATAGAAGGCTTGCATGGAACTACATAGTTTGAAAGGTATATATTTGCTTTTTATCCAAAGACATGTGGATTGTAACTCTGGAGATGTTATGTAAATTCGCTGGAACCGATCAGATCGAACGTTCCATAATTTTTTCTCGGAGGTCTATTCGCTTGATGTGTTATCTGGAGACGTGCAGCATATATATATATTTTTAGACTGCATGTATAACTTTATTTCACTCAAGTTTTATCAGAAAGTATCATTCACCAATAAGTACAATGGGATATTCAGCTTATAGCGCTATATGCCGTAATAGAGAATTGTTTCTGCCAACCTTCAGTCATCTTTTTAGAAGAGGCCTCGATGTGCACGAACTTTATACAATACCGCGAGGTCAAGTCACCTTCCGGAGCTAGATGGGCCAAAAGAAATTGAGTGCCTGGCCGGACATCGACATGACTTTGAAGTAGAAGGACGTACGTATGGTTTGGAAAGTCGTTGTTTATCCCCAATTCAATTTACAACCAATCGCAGGTATCATATTGCCAACGCCATGTTCTCCGGCATATTTAGATAAATGATGATATGTTGGGTAGGGATACCATGGGTAATGATTGGTTTTATCTTCGTATACCTGTACGACAATGATATGTGACACCCACAATGGAGTCTTGAGGAATCCGGGCACAGGCTTTGGACTGAACTGTATGTAGGTATTTAGATCGAATCGAAAGGCGCAGGTGAAGTGGAACTTGCCGAAACCTAGCGTATTGCCAAGACAAAATGGCACTGCCAATGATCTAAAATCCCGATAAATAGCCTACACATCTGGAATGATATAAAAGTTATACCAGCGGCCTCGTTCCTCCGTTGGAACTTGAGGACTGTTCTCGGTTGGAAGTTTCCGCGCCAAAAACAGCTATCTCTAAGATGTGAAAACGAAACTAAGGATAGCCATAAGACAGAATACATGCGTAAATACATGTATCGAGCAAACGTTTACAATAGCTGCTCTATGGGGTGCGAAACGAGGCTCAAGGACCTACGAAAACATGTATATGTAACTACTTTTCATTTCCTTGTAAGAAAACATGAAGAGGAATGAAAAAGAGCCTAGATACCAATCCCTTCCACACCTGTAAAAACTCTAAGAAAAGGAATGACAAATAAAGTAGAGCTTCCACATGTAGCCTCTGGTAGGTAATGACTTGAGTTACGATTATCTTCTATCTTCAGCATCTCCCATACTACCCAAAAACCTAATACCCATAATAATAATCGTCGTCCTCATAATTTTCATTCTCAAAGTATTCCTCCATTGCATCCTCGACATCAAGGTCAAAGTCATGATCATGATCATAGAATTCGTCGTAATAGGGGGAGGGGGGGTAGAAATGGTCAAAAGGTATAGAAAGTCTTTCGAATATCTCCACCGGTGCAATGGTTTTAGGCCCTTTCGGTTTAATGTCAACCATGAGGTCTCTCCCCCTTTCCAGCAGAATTGTTGCTCCCGGATGAGTACGTGCAAGCTCTGTCATCGCTGAGTGCAACAGATCTGGCTTTAAACCTTCACATCCCGTCACGCCACTGAGCGTTAGCTCGACCAACAATGGCCAGTCGTCGATGTTCCTGAATAAACAATGACAGACTGGTGAAAGATCCGGACTCTCGGCTGGAATGGTAAACTTTGTAAGTCTATGAGATAACTTTGGGATTATTTCGCAAAGATGGTATGGAGATATTGCATGAATTGTTGTGTCGATACCTATAGGGATAGGGTGGCATTCGGCGATCTGAAGTTCTGTGATTCTTGTTCCCAAATCGACATAAGCGCTTAGAATCGTATACGCCAGTTTTTCCACCGTTTCCAAGTGTAGAGACTCAACATTCGGCAGCATTTTTGCGATGAATGCCCCTAACGGCCCAGTCTCTTTGAGCCAAGTTTTGAGCGATAACTTCCGCACCTGCGGGAGGATTTCTGAGCCCACCTCGTTCGGAACTAAATCAAAAATACTGCGGTTGTTTAATCGACCATCGAGTTTAAGATCTTGTAGTTTAGAAAAATCCCCGTTTACAGACAACTTTCCAACCCTCTGGACGCACTGCAATATGTCCCCCATATTGGTCATGATGTCCAGACATTCAATTGACTGTATCGATTCTGGAGGTAACCATTCCAGGATCATACGTGCAGAATAATCAAGAACTGTACTGTCATTATAACATATAATATCCAGTGTCTGTAGTCCCGTGCACTGAGAGATGACATTCCGAACCAGGAAAGGAGAGAGTGAATCCAAGCGATCGGAGTAGGTAAAAGTGAGCTTGCGGATGTATGCTGCAATGTATTTGTAGTCGTTCAAGAACTTGCAGAGGGCCTCTCTATTTATGCTTAACGAAAGTTCAGAGTAGATGTAAGGCAGTGCGGCAATCCTAAGAGCTCGACAAGTCGCACCGACCCCGATCATACTGCGGCATCGAAATATAAACTCCTCACTGCTAAAATTGGGCTGAGAATCTTCCCAGAGACGATCAAGGATCTCAAGAAGAATATCTCTAGGTAGATCCGTCAATAGCATGTTGAATTACAGTGGAGTCTCGATAATAGCATATGGTCGGGAACGGATTTTCGTGTGCCACTATCGGGGATATGCTTGTATCGAGAACAACTTTGCCCGTACCGACCCGTTTGGGATTGCCCAACTATATGCTACTATCGAGGATATGCTATTATCGAGGTTGCTACTATCGGGACTCCACTGTAATGGCTCGACCGACACGAGAGGATCCAGTTTGGATTAGGCTAGCTAGCATTTGATAAGCGATGTTAGTTTGATGTCTACATTCGCGCGAAATAATGAAATATTTACCTTTTTGGATTGGCTTAAACTTTCGAATTTCGGTGGTTGTAGTATGGGGGGGAGGTGTAAAGGAGTTTGATAGCTGGAGTAGTGGTTCAGGCGTCCTATTTACTAAATACGACATTGAATGCATGTGGTTACTTACGTACACAAAGCTCGACGCGGGAAAAATACATGTACCGTACACCCTTCATGTGTTTCACGACAAAGCAAATAGATGGCCAACGGAACATGAGATTATGTTTTATGTTTCGATATCATATCCTCTAACAAAATATTTTCTACATAACTACCAAAGCCCGATAAATCAATCATGGCCTAGTCTTTCTTACTTTGAGGATAGAGTGAGACTCAGCGAGTAGCGTGAGCCAAGCCCTAACCCCGCAAATAGAAGACCTCAGGCTCCACTGCGTGCAAACGACTAGCTCAGGTAGTTCATGCACAAACGTACCCCTACGAATTAAATACTACGATGATTTTACGTTACTAGGGGCCCGGCAGGAGTTGAGCTTACTATCAACTATTCTTTTTACTACGCAGAGCGCTCTATGGTACAACATAAAGTGATAAGAATAGCTGGTTTGCTACTAATCCTACTCTTTCTTCCACGCCTCAAACTCTATCGCTAGATGTTCCTTCAGCCTCACAAACGACCTTTTGAAGTTCATGCCGCATCTCCAGCACTCAAAATCCTGCGACAGTTGCGATTTTCTAGTGTCACTGCTTTGCCTATAGTTCCGCTCAGATTTGCTTAGTGGCAATTCTTCTATGTTTACGAAGAAGTTTGTATTGAAAGAGTCTGTGCACTGTGAGTGAATATCAAGTGAGACGAAGAGTGTGAAAGAAGGAAGGAAGGGGAAAATACTATAATGCAGCGCCTTCTTTAGGCAACTCGAGTAATTATCCCTCGATATCACGTGGATATGGAGATGGTTCATGCTCGGTCCCGCATGGAATCCGACCTTCACCTCACTCTCCCAGTCTCTCCCCTGAGGTCTCACTTCACCGTCAACAAGCTCTCCCATTGCCTCCCGTTGCTCATACTCCTCCAACTTCTTATCCTTCTCCGAGAACTTCCCATACCGGCGCTTGAGGTCCTTGGAAACTAGTTTCTTGAGCGTCTCGGCCTGCTTCTTCATCTCTTCAAAGAACACTTCATCCTCAAGCGCGTCGAACGGGTTCGCTAGGCATTTCTGTGGGTCCCGTGGGAGGAGGAGGGCGTGGATACTGGCTTTGGGGTAGAGGTCCTTGATGAACACGCATGCGCTGTTATGCGCTATCACGACGGTTGGTGGGAAGGACTCTGGCTTTGCCAGATATTCGCCGAGACCGTCACGGCCGGGGAAGCCGGAATATTTGGGCTTTTTCTCGGGGGGTGGAGGCGGCGGGGGACGGTTCATCAAGGCTGTGACTTTTTTCTCGGCTTTATTAGCTTCTAGTGGGGTTACTTTGTACCCTCAGGGAGCTGGACGAACATGCGCTTTTGGTGTCAGAAGTGGAGGAGGAGGGCTGGGCGCGGTCGACTTCATCGCTGGGTGTTTTGCGCTTTTCGCCTGGCTTGGAGGTCATTGAAGATAGGGTTGCGCTACAGCGGTTTCGATACCCTTTGGTTGGATGCCTGGTTAGCTGGATAGCTCCAGGCACATGCTTTACACTTGCTCTAGAGAGTCACTCGACTTACAGCCTCTGGTTCTGCGTAGAAAACGAGGGAATAGAAGCCTAGCAATCTTGATACGCGGTTATTCAGTGAAATCGAGCTCTGTACGATGCGCGCGAAGCTCTCGCGCAGATCCTGTCTGTTGAGATGAGGTTGGACTTGGACTAGGTATGTAGTAGCTGGGTGACTGGACTGAGCTTGTGCGACGTCTTGGCATTACCTCGCGGGCGAGCCTCATGACGTCACTTGCTTCATGCAACATCACTCACGCTTTCGATGATGAAAAATGACTACATCTGAAAAGCCTCTTTCCACCTTCCTTCACCAGTTTGATATCGGCTCTAGCAAGGCAAGGTGCGGGATATTCGCTTGTGCGGGATGACCCAATGATAGGTTGGGAATTGGAAGCCCACCCTTTGCCCACAAGCCAATTCAATTAATGCCTAGAGTATCCACTCTACCTACAAACTAGTATTTATTACCGAGCTGCATAGTGTTCCCAGTGTAGATTTCTTCTTATCGCCCATATGGATGTATTGATACAGGAGCTGCAATTGGTTTCTCTCTTTGTCTACTCCACTAGTACCCATACTCGCGTGTAGCAATAAGAACCAGAAAATGCAAGTGACAAAGCAGGGATTATTTGTATGGAGTGGCGCCGATCTGCCATACAAACTAGGCATTTGCATTTTCTGGTTCTTTATGCTACATGCGAGTACATGCATAGAAATCTCTGGCATCGGACCAAACCTCCGCGCAGACTCGCATGAACGGCTGGCAGCTCTCCACAATACCACGATAGCCAACGTCATCATTCATTCAACAGGTCGATTCTAGTGGAGAACAATGAGCTCATCAAGCCTTACTCTAGGGATCTATAACTTCGAGATGTTGCCTGTCAATCGATCTGCCGTTTCACTGCTCCACTATATGAGAAAATGTTTGCCCTACGCCGCACCGCTGCCAGATCACTCAACATTCGGCACACCCTCTTCACTACACGGAAATTCTCCCCCAGAGTCGCTCAAGTCACGTCGGCCTATATCACCACTACTAGAGGCTTCGCAAAGCACGCAACTATGATTGATGATCAAAAATCAATGAGAGATAACTATGGCATGGACCATACCTCGGGCTATAAGCAGCCTGTATGGATCGCCACTGAGCCTTACAGCAAATTTCCAGAGTTTCCAAAGTTAGACAAGAATCTCAGTACTGAGGTTCTGATTGTTGGTGCTGGAATTGCTGGTATAAGTGCGGCATATGAGTGTGTTAAGAGGGGAAAGTCAGTCACCCTCATTGATGCACGAGCCGTTCTGTCTGGGGAGACCGGAAGGACTTCCGGACATCTTAGCAGTGCCTTGGATGACAATTACTACGAGTTGATCAAAAGTAAGTAATCCAGAAGTGTGTGTGTGGGAGAACATGCGGCTAATTGAACCTTCAATATAGCATTCGGCGAAGACGGTGCCAAAAAGGCTTTTGATTCCCACCAGTACGCACTTGAGCATATCGGTGAAGTCGCAGCTGCAGAAGGCATCGACTGCGAGTACCGAACGCTCCCCGGGTACCAGATTGTCGAAGTACCGGACAGCCACCCCGACTACTCCTCCAAGAACGATCTCCCACAAGAGCTCGAGGCCTGTAAAAAGCTCGGGATCAACGTAAACTACAATGAGAAAGGCAGCATAGGTGAGGCCTACACCGGGGCCGTCCTCGAGTGGCCTAAGCAGGCGACCTTCCACCCTACAAAGTACCTGAACGGAATCCTGAAATCATTATCAACCAAGCACAAGGGTCTGTTCCAGGCATACTCCCACACCCGTATGTCAAAGCATAAGGACAGTGGAAGTGGCGTCACAGTAACCACTGAAGGCGGCCATGAGATCGACGCAAAACACATGATCATGGCCACCAATGTCCCGCTACACATGCTCGAGGTCATCGACAAAGAAGCCTTTTATCGCACGTACTGCGTTGCCATGAGGGCACCCAAGGGCGCCTACAAAGACATTCTCATCTACGACAACGGCGACCCCTACGTCTACGTCAAGAAGACAGCCCACCCGGATCCAAAGTACGAGTACATCATCACCGGAGGCGAAGACCACAAAGTCGGGCAGGAAAGCACCGAAGGGTACGAGGCCCACTATAAAAAACTTGCAGACTGGACACGCGCACATTTCCCCTTTGTGGAGGACGTGGAGTTCAAGTGGTCCGGCCAGATCGTGGAGCCGAACGACTACATGGCGTACATCGGGCATAACACTGGCTCCGACAGGGACGTTTACATCAACACCGGTGATTCCGGAAACGGCCTCACACATGGTGTTATTGCTGGAAAGCTTTTGAGTGATCTGATAGAGGGTGTCGATAATCCTTGGGCGGGGCTATACAGCCCTCGAGAAAGCCGAAGCCGAGAACTATTCCCGATGTCATTAGCGAGAACCTTAACCAGAACTTGCAGTACAAGAGGTACATCGCATCGGACGTATCAGACATTGAGGAGATCCCCCCATGCTCGGGTGCGGTCATGCATGGCGGATTGTCGAAGCTCGGAAAGCCGATCGCGGTGTACAAGGATGGCGAGGGCAATGTCACCAAGTTTTCGGCGATATGTCCCCATTTGCGTGGTGTGGTTGCGTGGAATGCGTCGGAGAAGAGTTGGGACTGTCCAGGTATGTTATTCATCAACCCTCATCTTTTTCAAAGGAAGGTACTCTAACTGATTTCTTTCTTAGTTCATGGATCTAGGTTTGATGGACTTACTGGAAAGTGTGTTATGGGACCGTCGAACAGAGGACTTGCGGCGGAGGATGAGGCGGCAAAGCAGGCACAGAGTGGGACTTCGGGCTAAAGCATTGAGCGCAGTCGACAGCTGACTATTAGTACTGGTGATAATTTATGATTCTAAGTAAAAGGTTAATATATATACACAATTACATGTAGCCTATCAAGTAACTCTCGTGCAGTTTGAATCGTTAAATCATACGTGATACCAAGGGCCTGATTCAAGGCTTAGAACCGCATATATGGACTGGGCTGGTTCTCCTTATGGCTGACGCCAACGTCTCAGCCAGACCCCAGAGTGTGGTTAGTGTTACTTTCGCCCTTGATGGGGCCACTCTCGCCAATTGGACGGCGTACTATAAGTCCATCCGAACACCTTTCTCAGGTTTATTTTTCAGCATAATACACTAGCAAATCCACCATCACAGTTTCCAATACATACCATGTTCTTCCGAACAGGCCAAGTAGCTATTTAGACATAGCCCGCCCCCACAACCACTACTCTTCACGTGCGAGTGATAATCCATGATCAATTTTTCCATTTATCTATTCGATTGTTGGTTAATTGTGTGGGCCCCAGACGGGGCTATAAAATTTCCATCCACCTACACAGAGATGTGTGGTTATGTTGCAGAGGCCCTATGAGATTTATGCGTCAGTGAGGGAGGACTACCCGCACTACTAGTTGCTCTATATACAGAGGATGGGGAAAGAAGACTGATTCTTTCTTTCAACCTATATTCACTACCATTTCCTTTCTCAGTTAGGGTTATCGTCTCGTGCCCCCGTGCCTTTGTGTTTATCGATCCCCTCGCACCACTAAAAAAAAAGAGGTAGTAAATAGAAATGATCAGGTCTTGAGAGGAATCGAACCCCATCTCCATGGCAAACGTCCTACCACTACGAGTACAAACGGCGCTGCAGCTAGCTGCAGGCTACATAACCCGATGCTCATATGCTTCCACGCAAGCCAAATCAAGACACATTACCAAAGCTACATGTACTAACGTGGTTGTAACTAGTCAAGCATATGTGTTATTTCCGAGACCTATATACAAAGTTAAGCAGCACCGACCTGACTCAACTACATGTATCATCACTCTCATCTTCTCCCATTCGACTCAATTTGAGCAATCCTTCTTGAGAACCAGCTTGTAGACCTCCAATAGCAAAATCTCAATCACCAATAGCCCTAGAAACGCCGATAACGATAGCTTTGAAGACTCTCACTCCACTAGCTATAGTGTGGTCTATAAGGACACTGGAGACGAGGCGAGGTTTGGGGTACCCTCGAGGTAGCTTATCCTTGTTGACCTCTGTCCTTGTCTCCCCTCGAGGTCCGGCAGCGTTGTCCTCGAGGACGATAAAGAAATGACCCGGTGAACCAAAAAAAGTGATGTTTCTCAAAATAAAAGGTACTTTGTCCATGGCCTCATCTGATTAGGGTATATTAAGTGTGTATTATAGCCAATAATTGTCCCCGGAAGTTCTCGAGGCAAGGGCAAGGATACTCGGCCTCGTACACTACATGATTCGAGTCATCTTTCTTGACAAGCAACCCCGCCCGACCTCACATGGCGAGGTCTCGATCACCAACAGCCCTGAAAACGCTGATAACGATAGTTTTGATGAGGTCTCCTCAGCTAGGGTTTTGGTATGTCAGATATTGTCATAGCCTCCGGGCTGCATACAATCTGAGTTATCAATTGACCAATCAACTCTTCAGCTAGGGTTAGGGCTATCAATCATAAGCGGTCACTCGCACTGGAAATGATTCTTGGGAAAGCTTTCTGGAGGGTGGCTTGATTAGTTGCTGGTTGGGGCTGATTCCCTCGGGAGCAGTATTGTATGTTACTGGCGACTATTATGGAGCAAATAAGGCCGTGATTAGAGGTTTATCTACAAGAACAAAAGACCAAGAAAGAACTGACAAAACACCAGCACCACAGCACAGAAAATAGTGCAATAGCAAAAAATCTATATATACACACACCCCCCCGCCTCCTTGCGCCCACCCGCTACACCTCCTCTCCCCTCTTCCCCTGCATAAGCTTCCGATACGCCTCCACCACGCCCTTCCTCTCCACCGCAAGCCCCTCCCTCCGCGCCCTGCTCCCCGCACTCTTCGGCACCCCATCCACATCCACAATCCCCCTGCTATGCAGCACCTCCCTCGGCCTTGCCAGACTAGGCGGCGCCGGCGCAACATCCCCAAACTTGGGCGCCTCCCGCTTACTCGCTAGTATGGCCCACGGATCCGGCGACGCCGCCCTCCGCCGCTTCCTCCCCCCGCCGCCACCGCCCTCGCCATCGCTATAGTCGCCCTCGTCTTCAAGCTCGGGCGCGGGAGCGGCCTTGGCGGCATCAGCTGCCTTCTTGGCCTTCGGCTTCCGTGGCTCCCGCGCAACCTTCAGGTCAACGGGCAGCGAGGCGTCCACGCGGCGGTTAAACTCGCTTAGCGACTCGCCGGGCTGGATCGTGAGCTGGTCTGCGGCGTCTTTCATTTTCTGCTCCTTTGCATCTTTGGGGTCTGGGTCTGCGGTCTTGCGTTTCTTCGAGGGGGGGGGCGGCCGTTGTCGGGGCCCTTGGGGAGGCGGCGGGTACCGGCAGCGAAGGCGAGGAGGCGTGTGAAGGCTTTAGGCGTGTCGTCTTGGGATTCGAAGGTATTTTTGGCGCGGCGGTTGCGCTTGGCGCGGAGGCGGGACTTTGTGCTTGAGAGGTTGGTAGTGGAGGCAAGGGTTGTGGGGGGGAGCTCGAAGCTGGAGAGGGGGATTAGTGGGGTGTTTGTGGACAGATGGGGGAGTGGGGGTGATGAGGGAGGGGAGGAGAGAATTGGGGGGATTGGGAGGGGGAGGGAGGGGGAGTTACTCGAGGGCGGGGGCGCTCTTGTTGCGGCGCTTCTTGTTTGGCATTGTGTATATATATTTATGGGGGTTGTGATATTCTCTGGTGTTGATGGTGGTGTTTGTGCTGAAGAGGTTGAAGAGGTTGAAGAAATCCAAGCTTTTCCTCTGAAGAATTTCGTCTCGAGCCGCAGGGCTTGGCAGACAGGGATTGCAGTTACCCGCAGCTCAGTAACTCTGACACCGCCGCATACAAGTGAGAATTCAGGCACACACTCTCATTGACACCGACACAGACACAGACACAGACACAGACAGTATCCTCAGTTCTATTCCCATCCATATCCCCCATATCTACAAAATTATTACAGAGAGAACTCAATCCCTCGCTCTCTCTCACCCACTCACCCACTTACCCCCACCCAGAACAATGCCCCGCCTCAAGCCCGGCGCAAACCAGGGCAAGAAGAAGCCCAGCGCGCCCAACACCCCGCCCTCCGAGGAAGCAGCAGCAGCACAGGCAGACGAAAAGAAGCCGCTCACCCCGCAGGAGATCATTGGCGGCAAGTCGTGGACGGGGAAGCTCCCGCAGGCGCTGTTCTACGAGCTGTGTGTCAAGAACGGGTGGCAGAATCCGGAATATGTCATTGTTCGACTCCCTCCCCCCCTCTCTCTCTACTTCAGTTTCCATTCCTAGCTCCATCACTGACCAAAAGCCCGCATAGAGAAAAGAAGGCACCCTCGGCTTCATCTCCACCGTCTACATCCGGTGCAAAAACCCCAAAACCCTCGCCGTCGAAACCCTCCACTTCCGCCCCCCCACCGAGCTGCCCAACGGCCTCCCGCTCGACCCTCCACCGCACAAACCAACGCAGCTCGAGGCACGCCACTACACAGCCACATACGCCCTCCACCGCGTCTCCAGCATGCGCAACATACACCTCATGCTGCCCCCCTCGCACCGCGGCTACTGGGCCACCTTCGAGGAGGTCAAGAAGGCGTGGCTCGAGAAGAAGCATGCCTGGATGTATGAGGCCGACCCCTTCCTCACCAAGCGCGAGCACGAAGCCGCACTCGCGAAGGCTGCGCGTGTCGCTGCTGCCTCTGGCGGCGGCGGCGCTGCTGCAGCGCAGAAGACGGAGCCGAAGCCCCCCTCGCGCGGATGGGACAACGTCCCCACCGTCGATATGTCTGCCGTGAACCGGCGCGCCGTAGAATCACTCGTGCGGCGGCACCACGTCTGGAATCCCACGGGGACCGTGATGCCTGCCACTGCGCGCGACGCCGCGGTGGCCGAGCTGGCGGGGCTGGGGTTTAGGAGGGTGCATGCGGAGGAGGCGTGCGGTGCTGCGGGGGACCGCGAGGAGGCGCTGGAGTGGCTGCTGGTGCATGTGCCGGAGGATGATCTGCCAGAGCGCTTTCTGCCGGGCAACTATGGGACGGGCGTGACGCTGCAGATGGAGCTGGAGTATCCGGCGAAGAGGCTGTGTGCGAATGGGTATAGCATGGATCTGTGCCGGGATGTGCTGGTGCGGGTTGGTGGGGATGAGGCGCGCGCGGCGGAGGTCCTGATGCAGATATTGCTGCATGGCGATAGTGAGGGTGAGGGCGGTGAGGGTGCGGGCGTGGGCGGTGGTGGTGGTGGTGGTGGTGGTGGTGGCCCGCAGCAGCAGGAGGAGGAGGAGGAGGATCTCATCTCGTTCGACGACCCGGTGGTGGATCTGTGGCGCGAGGAGCAGACGTCGCTGGAGGCCATCTGGGGCGAGCGCTACACCCGCGTCTCCGACACACGGTTCCGCGTGCGCCTCGACCTGCGCGACCACAGCACCACATCGACCATCTCGCTGGACCTACGGAAGCCCACGGCGCGCGGGCTCAACGGCGAGTACCCATACACCATCCCCGTCATCTCGCTCCTCGAGGAGAAGAAAGACACTACTACGACTACGCCAGGCCTCCCCGCATACGTCAAGCTCAGCATCATCCGCCAGACAGCCACGTTCGCAGAGACCCTCCGCGGCGAGATGATGGTCTTCTCGCTCGTCGACTGGCTCGAGGGCGAGTTCCCGCGCATCCTCGAGAACCCTGGCCGCCTGCGCGACGTCGCGGGCGCGGTGTCGGCCGGCGAGACGGCGCCGGAGACAACAACGCTCCGTGTTGGCGGAGGAGGAGGAGGAGGAGGCCGCTCGAAGAAGCGCCGCCCGAGACCGCCGATCGACTGGATGCCCAACCATCCCGAGTCCATCCGGCTGTTCGAGGCGCGCGCGGCACGCTGGGAGACCCCCGCGCAGCAGAAGCGCATCGAGGCGAGGAAGCGCCTGCCGGCGTGGAACCTGCAGGAGGACATTATCGCCGCGGTCGACGGCGCGCAGGTCACCATCATCTCCGGCGAGACGGGCAGCGGGAAGAGTACGCAGTCTGTTCAGTTCATCCTCGACGACATGATCCTGCGCAGGCTGGGGCGCGCCGCAAACATCATCTGCACGCAGCCGCGGCGAATCTCTGCCTTAGGGCTGGCGGACCGGGTGGCGGAGGAGCGGTGCGGGACCGTGGGAGACGAGGTGGGCTATGCGATCCGCGGCGAGTCGCGGCAGAGGCAGGGCGTGACGAAGATTACGTTTGTGACGACGGGGGTGCTGCTGCGGCGGCTGCAGATGGGGGATAAGCTCGAGGATGTGTCGCATGTGGTTGTCGACGAGGTGCATGAGCGCTCGCTGGATACAGACTTTTTGCTCATCCTACTGAGGCGCATGTTGGCTGTGCGGGAGGATCTGCGGGTCGTGCTGATGAGTGCTACGCTGGATGCGGAGGTGTTTGCGGAGTATTTTGGCGGGGCGGAGAAGGTGCGCAGGGTCGAGATTAGGGGGAGGACGTTCCCGGTGCAGGACTTTTATCTCGACCAGGTGATTGTCAAGACGCGCTTTGATGCTGGGGGGCGTATGCTCTCGTCTGCGCAGGGCGGCGGCGGTGGAGGAGGAGGAGGAGGCGGTGGTGGTGGTGGTGGTGGTGGTGGGGGCGGCGGAGCAAAGAGTACGGTCAGCGCGGAGGACCTCCGCGGCGTGGACCCGGCGGTGGGGAATATCATCCGCGGGCTGGGAGACCGCATCAACTATAACCTGATTGCCGCGACTGTCGCGCACATTGACGAGGAGCTCGGCGACCAGGAGGGCGCCATCCTCATTTTCTTGCCTGGTTGGTCATTTCCCCTCCTCTCTTCCCCTTTGCTGTGCGTGGTCATGAGATATCACTCGGCATGTGTGTGTGCTAACCAATGATCGCTGCCACATCATACAGGAACAATGGAGATCCAGCGCTGCATCGACGCCATAAAATACCTCCCCGACGGCCACCACCGCTTCCACACCCTCCCCCTCCACGCCTCCCTCCTCCCCGCCGAGCAGCGCCGCGTCTTCAACCCCCCACCGCCGCCCAAACGAAAAGTCATCGCCGCCACCAACGTCGCCGAAACCTCAATCACAATCGAGGACGTCGTGGCTGTCATCGACACCGGCCGCGTCAAGGAGACATCCTACGACCCCGCAAACAACCTTGTCAAGCTGCTCGAGACCTGGGCCTCCAAAGCGGCGTGTAAACAGCGCCGCGGCCGCGCTGGCCGTGTCACGGCTGGAACTTGCTATAAGCTCTACACCCGGAACGCAGAGGCCAAGATGCCGGACCGCCCGCAGCCGGAGCTGCTCCGTGTCCCGCTGGAGCAGACGTGTCTCGGCGTAAAACACATGGGCGTGGCCGACGTGCAGTCCTTCCTGGGGTCGGCACTCACCCCGCCTGCCACTCTTGCCGTGGACGGGGCTCTGCGACTTCTAGAGCGCATGGGCGCCCTGCGGCCCGACGGCGCGCTCACGGCGCTCGGGAAGCATATGGCGATGATTCCGGCGGATTGCGCTGCAGTAAGCTGATGGTTTATGGCGCCACGTTCGGCTGCCTTGACGCCACGGTGGGCATCGCGAGTATTGTTACGACACGGTCGCCGTTCGCCGCGCCTGCGGAGCAGAGGGAGGCGATGAAGGCTGCCCGTGCGACGTTCGCGGGCGTGCCGGCGGCGGGGGATCTGGTGGCGGATCTGCGCGCGTATGAGCGGTGGGCGGAGCTGCGGTGTAGTCTTGGCATAAGGGAGCTGCGGCGGTGGTGCGAGGAGAATTATCTGAGCCACCATGCAATGCTGGATATCGCCTCGAACGGGCGGCAGTATCTGGATGCGCTGAAGGAGATTGGGTTTTTGCCGCTGGGGTACACGCCCGGGGTGGGCGGGGGCGCAGCAACGGGGTTTAATCGGCATGGCGGGAATACGGCGCTGCTGAGGGGCTTGCTGGCGGGCGCGTTTGTGCCGTGTGTGGCGCGCGTGGTGGTGCCCGAGACGCGGTTTGCGAGCCGGGCGGTGGGCGCGGTGGCGCTGGACCCGGAGGGGAGGATGATTAGGTTCTATACGGAGGATGCGGGGAGGGTGTTTGTGCACCCCGGGAGCACGATGTTTGCGGTGACGGCGTGGGAGAGGGATCAGTTTTTGGGGTTCTGTACGAAGATGGGGACGGGGGGGAGTGAGGGGAAGGTGTTTTTGAGGGAGTGTACTCGTATGTGTTTTGTTTTCCCCTTTGTTCTCTTCTTCTACTTCTTTTTGGGTGGTTTGGCTGTGGTGGGGTGGATAGGCTGACAATGTGTCCGTGGAACAGCAATCAACGCATACTCGCTCCTCCTCTTTGGCGGCGACCTGGCGGTGGACACGATGGGCCGCGGCATCACGGTCGACGGGTGGCTGCGGCTGCGCGGATGGGGGCGCATCGGCACGCTGGTGGCGCAGCTTCGGGGGATGCTGGAGAGGGTGCTGGAAAGGAAGATTGAGGAGCCCGAGATGGACCTGGGCGATAACGAGGTTGTGGGCGTGGCGAGGGGGCTGTTGGAGGGGAATGGCATGTAGTGTGCACAGTGGGTTTGGGTTTGGGTTGGGGGGGGTGGATGACTGACGACTAACTATGGCTGGCTTTTGCGTCTCCTTTTTTTGATCCTCTTTTCTTTTCTTGTTTTCTCTCCTTTTGTGTTGTGTTGTTTTTATAGCTACCTAAGTAGCTACTTGACTTGAGCAATGACCATCATGAAGCCGTATGGCATGTATGTACGTACTACGCATACCGGGGTAAGGGTCTGTTGGCGGTGGCCGACGTCCGTGGGCTTGGGTTGCAACAGTCGGTTTTCTCGCTGTCGATGGACTTACCTCTGCACCCGTAGTACTTAGCTATATGCCGATTGAATAGCATTGGTTGTGCTGAAACGATCATCTCTGAGTGTTTCTCGGCCCGTGGCTTTTGTGCGCTCGGATTGTAGTAGGCGGGATAGATAGGACGTATATATATTTAAACTCGACGTCTCTCAGTCGGGATCTCAGTATATATCTTAGGTCCCCCCCCCCCCCAATGCCCGCCCCCAGGATCGAGCCGGTGCCAATGAAAAAAAGTGGCTGAAGCAGTGTGTGTACATGTACAAAGATTCCTTCTCGCACCCATTGATCTTGAAGAACTAACACTTGGGAGTACACTGCTTCACCAATTGCAAGTAGCCGTCGATCCTTCACAGTAGCCCCCACGCCACCTGGATCACGAACTATCACTCGCAACTACTATCCCCCCCTCACCACCGCTTAAATGCGGGTTTCAGTCAGTCTCTGGGTTCATGTCTAGTCTAGGACGTTGGGTCGACACTACGTTGGTCGGTCGGTGGGAGGGCTGCTCAAGATGATAGCTGGCTGGCTATGGATCATGGATTCTCACTCGATCGGTGAGGGGAAGTCGCATCGGGGACGTGGGGGGTATCGATGTTACTACTGATATGATATGCTCTATGGTGGGTGTATGCTTACTCGCCTGTACCGGGAGATGTGGATATGTATTTCCCGGTCAGTCATGCTTACCTTAATTAAGCTTTGAGGCAGAATCTCGATCGTCTTTTAAGCAGGGGTGAGGAGTAAAAGGGGGGGGGTGTAATACTTACTGGCACGTATGCGTGACCACCGTATATATTGGAGAGGAGGGGGGTTTGGGTACATGTTGTAGTAGTTACTCGTAATATTGGTGTGGACGATTAAGACTATTGCCCCGGGTTGCCAGTGTTCTAGGCCCTCCTGTGTTTGGTGAGCAGTAAGCTGCTTGTATGGATGTGTACGAGCTACATGTATTTTCTTAGCTAGCCATCCGTAGCTTCCTAACTCAGAGGTCAGCATTCGGGGCACTGCGCTGTCTGCCTCGCGGAGGCGATGGGAGTAGAGATGGGTGATTGTAGGATAGAGAATACACATGTCACTACTCGAACAGGCACCCCAACACGTCGCAGCATATGCGCCAGCTCCTTATAGTAAGGTTGCATGCAATTAATGGATTAAACAAAAAAAAAAAAAAAAGCCAGCTCCTTATAGAACCTATAAAACTACACCGCGGCACCCACAGCTACAGCTAGACAGAATCATCACCGCCCCCCCTCCCCCCCCTCCCCCCCAAACCCATATCCTGCATCCGAGTACATAAGTATAAAACTTTCAGATAGAGAGATATCTCAAACACAAAATGCATGTAGCTTGAAAAAAAACGCTCCTAGCATATTGGATGCGTTCCTCGTTTTGGATCATACCCACCCGCGCGAGAGGAGGCGGAAGAGATCGGGTAGCTCAGGGGCCATTGCCGTAACTGTAAGGTTGCATGCAATTAATGAATTAAACAAAAAAAAAAAAAAAGAAAAAAAGAAAAAAAGAAAAAAAGATCATACCCACCTTCATGGATTATCACTCGTGCACATAAAAACTGGTCCGCAACGTGGTAAGAGCTTACGGTGCTAGCAGTTTGGTCTTTCTTGGTTGAGAGTTGATGCTGGTCGTTTGGTTTCGCTCTTGGGGTCTATATGCTATATTTGCTGCCGTAAAACATCAGTCTTGTGGACTGCAATAGGCCATGTATTGGTTTTGGTTTCGGGACTTTTTTTTTTTTCCCACCGAGGGGACAGCTTTGTCTACGCGGAATATTCGGTCTTGGATTTTTTTTTCTGTCCACCAAGGTAAGGGAGGTATCGATCCCATCTCTCTAGCTTTCATCAATCGAGTTCTATTTCAACAAACCATTGGAAAAAAACCGCAGTGCTGAGCGCTCTTTGGCCAGTCAACCCATTGCTATGGAGGTCCAGCTATGCAAACTATAAACAAACTCTACAGTTTCTTTCCACCTCGGGGAGCTGCATACGGCCCCATCAAGCTCCTAGAGCTTTCACGATCTCTTCCTGCATCACTTCGATAGTCTTCACCCCCGTCGTCTGGCTCGCCATGATATAAACCACGTTACCCAACGCCCTTGCATGGACGTTCCACTCCCTCGACGCCCTAGAACCCATCTCCTGCAGGAACCCCTGCGCCGCGTTCGACGAGTATCCTAGCCCCAAAACATCAGCACAGTCACAACCAAAGGGGGGGTTTTGGGGGGGGTAACGAACCCGCTTTATCCCCAGCCCTCAGATTTACAGCCAGGACACTCCCAAGCGCCCACACACTGTCCACATCCGCGACAAACGACACCCTCTCCACAAACCCCCTCCTCCACACACTCCACACCTCCGCCTCCCCCTTCCTCGCCTCCCCCTTCTCCCGCCTCCAATCCCGCTTCGCCGCCTCCCACTCCCCACGCTCATCCATGCGCACCAGCGCGCGCACGCTCTCCCGCGCAACACTGCACCCCACGGCATGCGCCGTATAGCTATGCCCATGCAGCAGCGCGTCCTTCTTCTCGTCGCCCAGGAACGCGCCAAACACGCTCTCGCTCGCCAGCGTCGCGCACAGCGGCAGCAGCCCGCCCGTCAGCAGCTTGGCGTGCACGCTGATGTCGGCCTCGGCCTGCAGGAACGACGCCGCGCTGAGGCGGCCCAGGCGGTACATGCCCGTGAAGACCTCGTCGAAGATGACGGGCAGGCCGGACCAGGAGGTGGCGTCTGGGGCGGCGGTAGTAGGGGCGGGGGAGAAGAGGGTGGGGTTGGCGCGGACGGTGGCGACGAGCGTGTGTTGAAAGAGCGGGTCGGAGAAGAGCATGCCGCCGGCGCCGAGCACGAGGGGCTCGATGATGAGTGCGCCGAAGCGGCGGCCTTCGGCTTGTGTGAGGCGTTCCAGCGTCTTGAGGATGTAGCGCTGGTACTTCCTCCCCAGCTCCGAGTTTGCCCTGGGCTGCAGGTCGAAAATGTCGGCCAGACTCTCCATTGCCACGTCCTGGCCCAGGTCGTCCCGCATTTCCTCGGGGACCTCAATGATCCAGCGCCCCTTCTTCATGCCCACCTTTGGGAAATCGAACCAATGCCCTCTCCCACGGTACCACTCCACCTCACTGTTATACACCCCCGGCTCCGCGCAGTCCATCACGCCGATGGTGTCGCCGTGGTAGCTGCCCTTGAGCCCAATCACCCCGGCCTCGCGCTGCGTATGGTCCCACGCATAGCGGGCGCGCGAGGCCCTCAGCCCCATCTTGACCGCAACCTCGCACCCCGTGCTGCCATTGTCCGAATAAAACACCCTCGACAGCCGCCCCCCGAGAGCGACCCCAGCAGCGTCTTTGCAAGCTCAAGCCCGGGCTCGTGGATCGCATTGGCAAACATGACGTGCCCGTACCGCCCCGCCGCATATGCGGCGGCCAGCGTCAGCTCGGGGTTCGCGTGGCCGAGGCCCTGCGTCCACCACGACCCGGACCCGTCGAATGTCGGGCGCAGCACAACATCATCCCCCTTGTTCTTCTCGTTCGCTGCCCGTGTGTTGGTGTTGTTGTATGTCTGGAAGAAGTCGCCGTGCGCAGAATCAATGGCTGTGATTGCGTCCGCGGTGAGGTGCTGGTGCTGCGTGAACGGGTACCAGATGGTGCTGACGGCCTCGTCCGCCATCGTTGCCAGCTTGTCGATGCGGCGGGCATGGCGGCTCTCGAGCTCGACGAGCATATCCCGCACGCCCTCGTCCGCGCACTGCGTCTCATAGTACTCCCTCATCGCCTCGCGGTCCCTCTCCACCCCCCCCACCACCCTCTCCGGCGGCGGCGGGAGAACAACAGTCCTAATCCCCCGCTTCGCGAAATACTCGCCAAGGTACCCGTCATTGCGGTAATACGCATCGCCAAACAGCAGCACGCCCTCGACGTCGTAGCCACGCATGTGCAGCGACTCGAACGCAGAAATGGACGCCGAGATGCCGCCCAGCCGCGGGTCGGCCACCAGCAGGACCGGCAGCCGCAGCGGGCGGTACAGGTCGGCCTGGGAGGTGCCTGACAGCGTGGGCGAGTGTACGCCGCCGGCGGTCTCCAGGAGGAGCGTTGATGGCGTCGTTGTGCGGCAGCCGTAGGTCGCTATGCGCTGCCGGATCGTCGCTAGGAGTGATTCGTCCGAGGGCGGCTATGCAACGATCAATGATCAGCGTGAAAAAAGCCAAAAAAAGACACTGGTTCCCTACCTCGACCGCGACCAGATGCGGGCTGACAGGGTCCCTGTACTGCAGCAGACACTCTGCGCGGACCGCCGCGTCCGCGTCCGTGAAGCGCGCGACATGGCCGTCGTCTGCGTCCTCGGGGGCGCCGGTGGACACGGGCTTGAGGTAGAAGACGTTTTCGGCCGGAAAGTGTCTGCGGCTGGCCTTTGCGAGGATGGTGGAGAAGATTGTCTTGCCGACGTTGGTGTTTGCGCCGTAGATCTGGAAGGCGCGCAGGGTGCGGGAGAGGTGCGAGCCGAGGAGGGCGGGCATTGTGGTTGTGGTTGTGTTTGGCTCCAGCGGGGGGGTTTCAATGACTGCTGCTGCTACTACTGTTCTACTCTAATCTACACTCGGGGCGCTTGGGTGCCTCGGGTGCGGGGGCGGGGGCGGGGGTGGGGGTGGGGGTGGGGCAGCGTTTTTCTTTTGTGACGGGATGGGATGGATGTGTTGATTACAGGGGTCATATTGAGGGGAAAAAACAAAAATAATATATCCGCTGTTCTCGCCCATCAAGTACAGCAGCATCCCCTCCCCTCCCCAGGTTATTGCCATAGTGCACTCAATTCCAACTCCTCCCCCCACAATGCCCAAAGACCCCAAATCCGTCCTCACCACCACCCTCTCCCACACCCTCACCAACCGCGCCACCCTCTCCCGCCTCCGCACCCTCTCCCTCCCACCCCCCCACGCCACCGACTTCTCCTCCAACGACTTCCTCTCCCTCGCCACCTCCCCCCTGCTACGCCGCTCCCTCCTCGCCGAACTCGCCGCCCACCCCACCCACCCCCTCGGCTCCGGCGGCTCCCGCCTCCTCGACGGAAACTCCCCCTACGCCGAGACCCTCGAGGCCACAATCGCGCACTACCACAGCGCCCCCTGCGGCCTCCTCTTCAACTCGGGCTTCGACGCAAACACAGGCTTCTTCGCGTGCGTCCCGCAGCCCGGCGACGTGGTCGTCTACGACGAGTACATCCACGCCAGCGTGCACGAGGGCATGCGCTCCTCGCGCGCGTCGGCGTGCCTCATGTTTGCGCACAACAGCCTCGCCTCGTTCCGCGCCGTGCTGGAGGGCGTCGAGGCGCGGCAGGGGAGGAGCGTGTTTGTGGCGGTGGAGAGCCTGTACTCGATGGATGGGGACCTTGCGCCGCTGGCGGAGCTGGTGGCGATTGCGGACGAGGTGCTGGATGGCGGGGCGCTGTTTACGGTTGATGAGGCGCATGCGACGGGGGTGGTTGGTGCTGGTGGGAGGGGCTGGTGTCGCTGTTGGGGCTGGAGGAGAGGGTGTTTGCGAGGTTGCATACGTTTGGGAAGGCGCTTGCCTGTAATGGCGGTGAGTGTGCCCCCCGGTCCGTCTGATATGGCAATCTTGTACCACTGACACCTCCCTTCCAGCCATAATCCTAACGGACGCAACCACACGCCAATACCTCATCAACTACGCCCGCCCGCTCATCTACACAACCTCGCTCTCCTTCCCCTCCCTCGCCGCCATCACAGCCTCCTACACGCTCCTCCGCTCCCCGCACGCCGCAGCCCTGCAATCGCACCTTCACACCCTCACCGCACACCTCCACCGCCGCCTCGCCACGCTGCCGCCCGCCCCACAGACACTCACGCTGCCGCCCGTCCGCCCAACGCCCATCCTCGCGCTGTTCACGCCGCAGCCGCGCAGTCTCGCGGCGCACCTGCAGACGCGCGGGATCGTGGCGAGGCCCATCGTGTTCCCGACGGTGCCAAAGGGGACGGAGAGGGTGCGCATCTGTGTGCATGCGGGAAACACGGTGGAGGATGTGGAGGCGCTTGTGGAGGCTGTGAGGGAGTGGGTTGTGGGGCAGGCGAGGGGGAGTAAGATCTAAGTCCAAGGCCGGGGGTCTCCTTTTGTTTTTGTGTGTGTATGTATCTAGACGCCGATGATTATTGGTAATTCGAGTATGTATTTTGTCAAGATTGGTGTGGGTTAGGGTTGTTGGTGCGAGTGATGGTCTGTGATTGTGACACGCAATTGTTTACAGAGAGCATGCATTTCGTGCAATCATCAAGTCTCGATCACAAGTAAGTACAGAAATTCTTTCTCCATCTGCCCAGCCTGTCTAATGAATTACCTTTTAATAACCTGCGCAAATTACACCCCGCAAAAAGAATCCCAAACTCCAGTCAACGCCATTCCTTTGTTTTTTCATCTTTTTTTTGCCATTGGACGAGTGTCGGGGACCGTCAACCTCCCCACGACTTTCTTGGCGGACCAATGCGTTTAAACAGCCTTACGCCCTTCCCACTGACACGGATTGCAACCTTGAATTTTCGGAGGCTAGATCCAGTCCCCAGCCCGATCTTCTCTTTGCGGGCCATGATCCCCTTGCCGATGGAGCTAATCTTCAGACTCCAGGACCCCTTCCTCTTAGCCTTGGGCAGCGGCGCAACATACAAGTCCTTCTTCTTAATCTTAGGCAGCGGCCTACTACTAAACTCAGCCCAATCCACCGCTGTCGGCATCCGTGCAAAAATCACCTCTCCCATTGTGTCGTAAGAGTCAAACTCACTCGCCGTTATAATCCACTTCTTCTGCAACATCTTCACTATGGCGTCTATACCTCGCTGTCCCCTCCTCTCTTTCAATAACTGCAACACCTCCCGCTTTACGGTCATCACACGGTGCCTCACCGCAACTTCCAGATTGGCCGTTCCAACACCGCCCCCAGCGCCACTAACCTTTGCCCCCCATTCCAGTAGCATCACAAACACCTCCGCCGTCTTTGTGCACGACAGCCTCCAAAAGGACATATCAATCGTTAGCCAGAAGCCCATCGCACCCCTCCCCGCGCCGTCCACCACCTTCACGCTCGCTCCGCGCTCTAGAAGCATCCTTATAACCGGCAGATGCGCCCTCTGCACCGCCAGATGCAGCGGCGTGCGTCCACGCTTGGAATCCTGGGGGTCGACCTCGACACCATAGTCGAGTAGGACACGCACGGCGTCGACATGGCCCTGGAACGCGGCGAGGTGCAGCGGCGTCTCGACGTTTGCGGGGTCCGGGACGATGAGGAGGCCCTTCTTGAGGGCTGTAGTGAGGAGGGGGATATTGTTTTTTTCCGCGCCGTAGTGGGTTGCAGAGAGGCCGCGCGGGTAGTGGCGCGTAGCGGTGATGAAGCGGTCGAGCGTCAAGCCAAAGAGGCGGTCGTAGAGGGCGTGGTTTGTGCGTTGAAGGCCGACGTGGGAGGAGAGGGGGAGATACGAGGTGATTTGGTAGAGGAGCTCGTTGGGGAGGGCGAGGAGCGGCATTGTTGTGCTTTGTGTGGTGATGGGTTTGCTGTGGGGCCTCGGGGGCGGAGAGGTAAGGGAAGAAAGAGCGGGCTTTTATGCAAGTTAGCGGGGTAGTTGGTTGCGTAATAATGGTGACGATATCGGAGGATGTTTCCGAGTGGGGTGTTTTTGTTCTACTCGAAGCTCTAACCCAACCGGCCGGCCACCGGATCGAAGCCTCGGTTCATGGAGAGAGTTATCAACAAGGCTCTGCCTGGCCGGCCTTGCTGAGACGAAAAACAGCTTGTATCGAGTCAACACCACATCAAGGTGATCTGTTCTGTGCCTGGAGAACCAGCATGGAGATATACATGTGGTTGTGTGTATCTGTGTATGCTGATATTTTTAGGTCCGTTATGTACTCGTACTTTCGTGACGTTTGTAAAAGGAACCGCTATTGCATACCATACTAAATTGTGGACTTGGCGCGTATTTGTATGGTATGCAATAGTGGTTCCTTTTACAAACGTCACGAAAATACGAGTAACTAGGTAGTGCGCTGTCACTCCCGTTTTTGCACTTGCAAATTATATCTCCGGTCCGATACCATATCTGCACTTTTTTGCGGAGGCAAGGTTGGCTCGAACGCCTACCAGCACGGCAAGACCACGGATCAGGATTGGCGACAATTCTGCAGGGCCGGCTCTGGACAACTGTAGCAGGGCGGGCTTGCAGTGTTGAGGCATAACTTGGGTCCGGGAGGCTTTAATTTAGAGATGGTTCTGTGGAGGTTCTTTATTTATGCATTTACCCGGTACTGCAGCTACATTGATTGAGACATTCCATAGGAGTAGTGACTACTAACCACGGTATCCAATCAAGAAGTGAGTGTAGGCCGATATTTATGCCATCGGCGCCGTTTGATTGGGCGCGCTTATCTACCCGATAAGTGGGCCGGAGTTATTGATGCTGGACAAGCATATGTGTTGCGCAGATATATATGTATCCCGGACTAGTCCTGGAACAAAAGAAAGATGTGTTTGATTTAGCCAACAACCACACCAGCGACAAGGGTTGTGAGGGGAGTTACTTACCAACAGTTGCACTTATATTTGTAGTTGTAGTTACGGTTGCAGTTGCGAGTACATAGTTTTGGTGAAAGCGCGCGTCTCGATCTCTTGACACCAACCGCACAATATAGGGAAACATAATCCTGGTCTCAAGACAAGGCAGTAATAAAATCAAAATTTAAATAGCTAGATAGATATTACTTTCTGGAGGTGGGCTTTAATGTTCTCAACGACACCGTTCGAGACGGGACCAAGGTTCAATTTTGTCTCGTCTCATAGAGAGCACTAGCTCAGGTGGTGTGTGCATCACATGTAGAAAGAGATTCAATAGGTAATAGGACGGATGGTTCTGTTACGGAGGAGGATGAAACCCTACTTATACTAATAAAGGCGACACGTCTAGTTAAGCCAGACTGTGGACACCGTTACTAAGACCACTTTGCACTATAATAACTAACAAACGTACATATAGCTAGTCCCGAATATTGATTGGTTACATGTCATCTCTTTAGAGAAGTGCTCGCTGTATCGAAAACCCAGACGTCATAGAAGACAAAGTGAATAGCCGGTGGGGGAAACTTGGAATACCCAGTGTCGACCAAGCTCAGCTTGAGTCATAGCCTAGCCGTCTCGTTGCAGTATTTAAAACGAAAGAGAGAGTCTTAGTAGATAGAAATACCGGTTGTAGTGAATATCGCAGCATAAACGACGAGGAATTCATCATAAACAGGAAAGACATGAACATTCTCTATATGCTCAAATTAAGGACTTCACAACAGGAAGAAAAGATGTTGGTTCCTACCGCTACAGATACAGATTCGAGGTCCCGCGAGTTTTTCAACCCCGTATTCCTGCAGAATTGGCAGTGCTACATACCAACACAATGTTGGATTACATTCGAGCAACTTACCGCTATTTGCCCAGAACATTGGCAATTGTGCGCTGGTTATATATCATTTTACCACTCACCACCTACCAAGATAATCCAGCACAGACAAATCTCCACCCGGGTACCGGTCCGTGATACAGTCTGTAGAGGAGCAAAGACTACCAAGAAGCAACATATCATTATCTCCCAAGGCTCCCTCCAACTTGGCGACTTAAATTACGGAGCTCGAGCAGGAAATGAAATTATTACAATTACAGTTACAATTACTATACTAGTTGGCCATGATCAGTAATAATGCCCCGACGTTGCTATTGCGCGGCTCATGAAGATATATATAATAGCTGTTTCATGATTACACGACAACTGGAAATGACCGTCCTGCCATATCCGGCCGGGGCTCCCCGAGCAATGAACCTCGGTCTCGAGTGACGTGACGTGACACACCTCCTGTCCACCATACCACCAACAATCTAATCTGATCGTACCGTATCGCATCTCACCGTTTATTGATTCATTGATTGAACCGCGCGTTACACTTGCTGCAGCCTGTATACACAATAAAGCGATACATGTATCGATATTAATCCCCCACCACATGCCCCCTGCCTACTATGAAAACACCTTTTTGAAAAAAATTGTCCGCGCGCCCAACCCTAATAGAAGAAACAAAATCAAAGCAAAACAAAAACCCCAACGAATGACTCCAAAACAAAAACACAAAACGCCCCCCATCCCATGATGAAACCCGCACGCACTCAATTCAAACAGCCTCCCCACAACCCCCCAAAAACCACCAAAAAACACCGAGGACCAACGCTCGGAAAGCAGCCCCTCCGGCCGCCGGCAAGCCGCTCGGAACAGATAACATGCCATCACACACAACAAAAAGCAAAAGAGGGCGAAAAAGGCAGTAGTGGTGACGCAAAACGCGAGCTCAGACGTACGGGTTCCAGATAGAGTGTTTTGTCTTGGCAAGGAAGTGCCGGGTTAGGACCGTCCATACCACCACTCCATCTGGGCAAGGCACTCCACTCCACTCCTAGCTAGCAACTTTCTAGTTTCTACCAAACCCACCTCAACGGGCGGCCCCGTTCCCGGGATACAACCTCCCTCCTAACCGTACCTAACCATCCCCTTCGCAACCATTAGAACTTGATCATCCTTGCAACGAACACAGAATGCGGCACGAATAAAGCAAAGAAGAAAAAATAAACGAAGAAAAAAGAAAAACTCACAGTGGATGAAAATATTCTCATCGAGCCTATCGGTATTGATTCTCGTGAGGTTATACGGAATAAAGCTGGCCGGCAGTAGCAAAAGTAGCGCAGCAACACCACAGAAGCCAATGACGGCCTTGCGAGAGATGCCTTGTGTGCTCTTGAGCCTCTCCATGAAGGATCCAAAAGTACGGATTGTGACGTAGATGACGAGGGCGACGTTGGTTATTGAGACGAGGATTGCAAAGGTCTACATGTTTTATCATAGCATGTTAGGATTATTGGCTCATATCAGGAGTGAGTAAAAAAGAGATCAGGAAACCATACCTGACAAGAGGACCAGAATGCATGCCAGGCTAACTCAGAGTCGTGGATAACGTCGTAGGCTCTATTGCGCCGGTCCAGCGACGCGGTGATGCAAAAGTAACTCCAGATTGCGCTGCAGAAGTTTACAAACACAATTATGAGGGCGATTTCTTCGTCGGCGGCCATGGTTGCGATTGGTAGAATTGGTTATTATGAGAATATTGCTATTCGCATACCCGCTCTGCGGAAAGACTAATGAAGGGGAATGAGTAGCTAGGCTTGTTGGGCTTGAACAAGAGAACGGATTTATGAATAAAAGGGAAAAAAAAAACTGAAAAGAAAAGAGGGCTGGAACACAGTATAAAGAAGGTGGTGGTACACGAGCATAAGAAGAGGAGTAAGAAATCCGTCGGAAGATTTTACCAGAAGGCCCTACTCTACTTACGACTTTACATACCCTTTCCCCGCCTGCTTGCTTAAGCCCCGTTACATGCATCCAGAAACAACCCAACACGCTCACTAACTAACACAAGAGCCCATTGTGTGGGGCACGGGATCTCGCTTCTTCAATTCACACTTCTCCGCCGTTTCAGATAAGACAGGGATAACAGCCCACAAGCCAGCCATCAGCGAACCGCTCATAACTCCTCCTGATGATCTTCTCGCTGGATCTCGTATTCGCCGAGATGTTCTGGAAAATCGCTGCTTCTTCTCTTCCTCAACGTCATGGTGTCACGGGCCTTCGCCTGCATTTGACAGGAGCAGTGGATAGAGGGGACTGTTTTTGGAAAAATACCGGGCCATGCCCGATGCCTTCACCTGCCGGTTTACGCCCGCCCATGCAAGACTGACATAAGATGGACCCGTTGGTATCTAAAACGGGGGTTTCTCCTCCGGAGTATCTTGTCCGCCCTCGTGGGTATGATCAATGTCAATATTCGCTTAATGCAATTTAATTTCCGAATATCTTGATTCCGGTTGGCGTATTTGAGTTCTGACAGGAGAAACGTGAAGATAGAGAGTGCTTGACAACCGCAAAAGAGCGCTCAAAAGAATCGTAAAGTCCAAGCTCTAGGCCTCTCGGCCTCTCGGAATCGGCACTTTGATTTGCCAAGACGATGATGATTGGCGATAGCCAAAGCGCAGGCAGACGCATGTCTCACTAAATATATCTTTGGCGAGTTACACGATGCGCGAAGTCGCCGTTCGTTAGTGTTTGAAACACTGTTACTAGACGATCAGGCACATAATCAGGGTAACTAGTCGAGTCAAAATGGAGAATACAGAAGTTTGCGAGGGAATTCGAAAAGATTGACATTTCAGGACAAGAGCACCTTATCTTAAGTAAAGGATTATGTGTTTGTAACCTTGAGGCCACTGACAGGTGCTGGTTGGTTATACGAGTGATAGTTCGTGAATGCATATTAGCACACATACAGGCTCGTATTCCAATTGACGTATACGTACCTTCACCCCCAACGAGGCCCAAATATCAGACTATATGCAACAAAGGTCGCAAACGACTGGGGCTACTACCTAGGTTAATTTTAAGCTAGTTCTAAACGCCTCATCTGCACCTTAACACTCCTTGGGGAAGTTTCTTGGGACATCGAAATCAAAAGATCGTCGGTCGAGATCTCACTAAACAAGCCCACGCCACAGATCCGCTATCACCTCCATAAGTACCGCCCTCATGAGCTAGATCACTACCTCTTTTATCAACCTTGACCCATCACCACCACTAGGAATGTCAGCATTTTTAGGCGATGATCACATAACTACCTCTGCCCTCAAAGCACTAGCAAGCAGTAAAGATTTAACGTACCGAGACACATACCAAAGGAGTTAAATTCATACTGGACGCCTTATTAGATAAGATAAATATTCCAAAAAAGTTATCATACTGCGGTATATTTGATGGAGCTCCCCGAAAATACACTAGAGGCGGTGAGAGTCCTATTTCTCCATGGAAGAGAGTATTGAAGGCATTTCGGCGGAGCTAGCTAAGCTAGGGCGTATTAATTGATTAATACGGCCGATACCTGAACGTCTGATATCCCTTCCGTTTTTGCGTATCTGGAGCCTTCTACCTAGTTCGTAGATAGTAGTATGTTCCGAATCGGACCGCATTCGATAACTCATCTCAGATCCATCTCAATGCATCCTACATGTGATTCCGAGCGCAATGCCATCCCTGATTGGTTGACAGCCCCCCGTGTCGAGCTCCACGGTACTTTGGGGGTTCTATGCAGTCCAACGGCTCCATGCGTAACAAACCCTGAAACCAATCCCAATTAATCTCAGTACTGGCTAAAACAGATCCCCGATGCTCTTTTTTATGGTAGCCATTTTACATATAGGCTAAAAGTGGCCAATAATGATCCAAGCGATCGGCAAGGTCAGATGCTTGCTTGGTATATGAGTGATACGTTATGATTTTCCTTGCAAGGCCATCCTGGAATGATAAGATCTTTATCAGTAGAGACTTTAACAAGGGACTTGAGCCAATAGAAACGTTGGATAGACTAACTGAACTTAAAACGCGGCTATCCTTTACTATGATTCGTCGAGAGGCTTTGAAGGATTGCCAGTGGGACGATATGTAATTGGGCAGTGCTCAATAATTCAACGGTACTGTATATTACTCACACTATTAGGATGCGTTATGTAATTGCGCAGTTACAAATTTGAGACGCGCGCGGGGTAGAAATGAAAGGTTGAGGTTTAACGGTTACGGTGACTTAATACTCCACAAAGCACTCTTGACAGGCCATGGTAGAGGCTGGCTGTTTGGTTTGAAGAATGATCTACCTCGAGTTGTCTAAAAACACTTAAGGTCACGTAAACTCGAGCGCTTGTCATAACAGACTCGAAGACAACAATCTTCTCTCAGTATCCCTTTTTGTCTCGGCGTGTATCAGATCAAGCTCCTACCCAAATTCACAGGGTGAGTGATGTACGCAGGAAGCAACCCTGCTAAAATCTGCCGGTGATCGTCAGTACGTAATATTTTTACATATGATGCTGTTCATGAAGCTGGTGCTGCTCTCATGCTAATTTGCTTGCTTCACCTGAATTGAGGGATAGCTAGACAGAGAGATAGAGTGACAAGCCGGTGGGGTATGAATCGGGATGAGGACATATCTCGCAGCCACAGTTTTCACTTTGTGACCACGCGTCTATCAACGTTGCTTTACCATAACACCCTTACCTTCACCTTCACCTAGCTGAAGGGACTACAGTATCAACCCAATGGCTGATATCCACCTAGGACAGCGGGAGCACACTGGCCGAAGCGAGCAGCGGGGAATGTCTTGGAGCGCGCCAAACATCCAAACTCATACACAGCGCTAGTAAGAACACTGTAAACGTCACTTCTGACGTCTATCTGCCCCGACGATCGTCCTGCAGTATCCAGTCCCGAATTACGGTCTTCTCTCTAAAGCTATCTTTTAGGCACATGGTCAAAGAACATCGCCTGATTTGTGCAAATTTCAAGCTACATGTGGTTCCTGACAGTGGGTTGTTCCGAGACCGGCCTCGCGATTTGGAAGACCTTCCTTCCACCAACGGTGAGTCTTTTTCCAGGAAATCTTATATGAAACTGACACCCAATCGTACTTTCAGTAGTATATACTCTAGGAAATTGCTAGCTCCCCTAGGTGCTTGGTCGTTTATGAAAATGCTGAGCGAACTAGCTCGTTAATTGAGCACACGTCGCAAAAAGAAAAGAAAAGAAAAAGAAAAAGCACCTACAGAGTGACGGAACTCCCCCGTTCATGGATCAGCAGATGCACCACTATGTACAAAGCTAACCGGATGACATCTATGTTTGTTTTTTTGATCTACATAAAGTACTTCACCTAATAAGTATTATCCCTTCTGCGCGTGCCATATGACCAGGTATAATTCTATATTAACGCACCGAAAGCAATAAAAGGAAAGAGAAGAGAAGAGAACAGTCTCGAAAGGTAGACGGACCACACCAATATGCCTTTAATTGTCTATAGCAGAAATATATTTACCAACCATGGCTCAACGATCTTCACGTCCCTTACTAGCATCTCATTTACAGATACATATGTTCTACATACGTTTCTTATATCGACCAATTTTGGCCGAGCTCCCGGTATTAGAAATAACAGGGGTACTCGTTGTGGAAATCTTCTCTACCTACATTAATGAATCTTAATTTTCAATAAGATCTCCGTTAAGCGTTTCATGTGTCATATCAGAATATCGAGACATTCTAAAAATAAAAATAAAAATGTCTGATGCTATATTGTCCCCAATCTATCAAACGAATGGATATTGAGATATATGTACACGGGGAGGGGGCTAGGATGTGCTATTCAGTTATAATCTAACATACATTAACTCCACGTATGCGTGGATTCTATATTACAGACACAGGCAATATATTGGCAATTAAATAACATGCCCTGAGGTTGAATTCTGAATATAGATGAAAAGGCTCCGAATTGGGGCAATATCATTTCCCTCTATATTTCTGTAGTCTGAAAAGGTTAGTAAGTGGCCCGGTTTTGCCTATTTTGGCGCCTTCTGACTTTGATCATACTTCCTCATTCTGATCTTTAATCAAAAGCCTTATACGCACTAACCACATGCAGATTTATATTCCATAACTCTTCGACTGCTCTACTGATCATGAATATCAGACTAGACTGCTGAGAATGTACCGCGCCAAACGATATATTTTGCGACTACTAGGTTCGTAGTATCAAAGGATAATAATAGTAAATTGACCGCAATTCCTGATATGATTGCAGTACTTCTGTCTTTTGACGTAAAAATAATAGCGCATGAAGCGCACATCTAGATGATGAATCGTGATCATTCATTATCCAAGAAAACCATATCTGACACTTCTAGCTATCCATAAGTATACTCGCTATCATGTCACTAAAATAAGAAGCTCATGGTTACCGAAACACTCTACTTGAGATGTCCACATTCTTTACTATTTATCGTAGGTAAACTAGTGTGAGATTTGTTTATATTCGCACTACTGTTACGTACTTTGACAGTATTGGACAATTTTCATGTTGATACACGATACAGGGTCTCTGTCCTTCTCATAAAATGACCGCTTTATTCCTCCTTTCCACGTATGATTATAAAATACGATATAGTATCCCCCCTATCTAAGTGTCTGAATAGAACATACTTCAATAAGATCTTCGAGGTATCCATTTTATGCAGTTATAATCATCAGTAATAACGCAAAAAAAGACACCGCTATTATGTCGAAGAAGTTTCCAGATTACTCTTTCACATTTCTACCTAATTCGGCACGTACAATTGTGCTCCTAGTGATCCGAATTTAATACGAAGTGCGTGCATTAGTTGATTATCAAAAATAGATCTAGACAGTATGTCTCACAATCAGGACGTAAGTACTGCAGCTGTATATGTAATCTTGCCATATTCCCTTTCATATCCTTCATACGCATCATCGGGTCCGAAATCCATCATTATCTTAATGTTGATTACAACTTTTCCAATCGGCAACTTAGAACAACGGCACTACTTCCATGGGTCTAACGATATTGGATTTTCAGATCTAGCACAAACACAGGCATTGACAAACATGACCATAAATCCATCCACATTTATAGTTGCAATTCTAAAGCTCAATCAACCCAAAAAGCCACCACCACCCCCCGCGCACCAAAAAAAAAAAAACGCACACCCAAAAAGTGGAAGAGATCGGGTAGTTCAGGGGTCATTGCCATAACTGTAAGGTTGCATGCAATTAATGAATTAAAAAAAAAAAAAAAAAAAAAAACGCACACCCAAATCCCGCCACCAAACACCACCGAGTGATACCCCATGGCCAAACCCAAACTACATGTAGTCCCACCTAGCCAACCACCCTGGAATACAACTGCGTCATCGCCGTCCTCCCTATCCAAAACGCACCCCCGCGGCAGCTACCCCGCAATCGAATCCCATTCACCCGAACGAGAAGAGGCGCTGCCATCACGAGGCAGAATAGGCATCATCACAACAAACCTGTAAACAACCATCCCAGTCACAACATTGGTTGGTTGACAACCACCGAAGCTGCTGTAGGGCGAGTTAGGACGCGTAAACAAACACGCCTCCAATCATCACGTCAAAACATCACGCTCACGGATCTATGGAATGGCCATTGTGCATTCTATTTTTTTTTTTTTTACATTTATAGTTAAAATGATAAGAGGGAAGTAATAAATAAAAAAGTTTAATAAAAAAATGAAAACTTCAATAATCCAGCCATAACTCATTAAGTCCATAACCCTCATAAGAAGTATCAGAAAAAGCGAAACCCAACAATTACAATCCAGATTTATCCCAATAACCCAAAACAAAAAGACAATCATAAAAACAAAAGCCCCAAATAACTCAGCTGTAAAGACAGAAGCAAGAAGGCCAACTCCAAGAAAGCAAATAATATCCGAAACAGACAGAAAGAATTTATGAACGAAAAAAGGGGTAGCGAAACACTAAAGAAGAATACCCCCCATGTTGACAGAAACCCGGCCCCATATCGCGAGTATTAGTATACTCATGATAGATAATCCATCCCTAACCTTCTATCGCTCTTGACGTCAGATACCCCATTTTTCCCCCCGCATCCGACTCCGAAATCCGTCCCGTAATAAGAATTAGTAAAAAAAAGTGCACAGAACGTGCGCGTAGTGAAAAATAATGTTAAAATGCCAGTTGCAGATGAGGTTGAGAAATACAGTACAGCGTTACAGCACGTGCCCGTAATTTGCAATATCAGGTATATAAACGTTGATAAGTGGCTATTGATCACTGAGCACACTAGCCACGTCCATAATCGTTGCTCTACGTTAGTAATGTAAAAAACAAAAACAAACAGCCCCCTCGGTGAAGATGAAAACGATATAACACAAAACTCATCGCAGACAACCAACCAACTCCTGCCAAGAAAAGATGAGAGCACAAATGCGCGTAACCTCACCCCACTATGCATGACCTATGTACTGTACTCTACCCCACATTTCCCCCTTATCCTTCTTCAAAAAAAAAACTCCCCGCATTAGATGTAATTAGGGTTGATAATCGTCGTGTTGATGTAAGGAAGTTTAAACCGGAATTAGGATAAGTGAATAGGAAAGGCAGGATAGAAAGAACAGAAGTCAAAGACTACTGCTCTACTTCTCCCTCTGAGCCCTCGGAATTCTCCCTGTTAATCCAGTTCTGCACGTACAAACTAGCCCTCTTGTATCGCCTGTCGGCAAATTTCTCGTAAACGGCACCATGGTGGGTCTTTGGGTTCTCGCAACACTCAACCAATGTATGGATAAGTGGCTCCAATTGGGTCGCAGTGTAACCGGAGAAAAAGGTATGAGCGGGTGACTATATCATGGTTAGCCGAGGAGATCAAACAAAATGTATGTAGGAAGAAAACTCACCCATTCACCCTTCTTTAACATGTGCCTCGCCAAATAATGTGCGCCAGCTGCCAAAAAGCTAGGCGGGCTGCCCACAAATCTCTCATCCATAATGGTAATCTCCAAAAAGTACTTTGCAAGGGTCCTCGTCTCAAGGTCGTAATCATCAGCCTTGCTGATGCGACGAAGAAAACTCATTGGCCCTGGCCAGCCAAGTTCAAAATTCAACATTGACAGCATGAACCTCTCCGCCTTCAATATCTCTTCCGCGGTATAGCCGTTGTCAACCATGTAGACAATCTCATGCACAGATGGGCAGTTGATTTCCTCATACTTGGCAGCAACGAACAGGGCAGTAGCACCAACAAGTTGCAGCTTACCAAGGGAGACAACTTTCGATGAAAGAAAGCGGTCAACATAATTCTGGCAGAGGAAAAGTGTCTCTGGGAGAAGGTTGAAGCGGGTGTGGACCTGTACAAGCCAATCCATGAGAATGGCGCGCATAGACCATTGGATCTCAGATTGGTGATCCATGTAAGTCGCGTTAGGCAATAGTTTAATCTGCAGAAACATAATATTAGCAAGTGATCTCCTGTTTATCACTGGTGTTACATACCTCCAGCTCACGCATATATTCAAAAATCTCTTCCCCATACTCTGCAACCATTGAAATGTCGCCCTCGTCCTCCTCATCATAGGCGCTAAACTGTTGACCTACAGCTTGGAGCTCCTTTTTAGCTTGTGACGTCCACCTAGGAACGAGCGGTAAAGGAAACGTAACACCGGTGGTGTTATCGCCCCTCACAGCGGCTGTGAAGTCCTCATCGTCCTCGCCCTCGTCACTCTCAACATCGGAAATAACCTCATTCCTAGACCTGACGCGAAGTTTTCCACCCTCCAACCTCTCCTCATTATCATCACTCGCGTAATCATCTTCTTCATATTCCTCAATCTCGACACCGTTATTATCGTCATCTTCCTCGTCAATATATCCAGAGTAAAGGTTGGGGTGCTGATCCGAGTGGACAGCCGCCTCGTCCTTGGGCAGGCCATGCTTTGAGTTGAGAAGGCTTGATAAAGGTCGAGAAATTGCCTTGGTGGCCCCGTTTTGGCGGGTTGCCTGAATATATTGAGATTCCTTCTTTGCGACGGCATCCCTGGAAACTTTGGGGGGGCTAGTCCTCTTAGGGCTAGGCCGTATTGGGCTTGGTCTCTTATCCTGGTAGACAGCTGGCTTTCGAACATTTCGGGAAGTTGGTACATGGGAAGCCTGGACTGCGGAGGGGATGTTCTTAACACTCCTCTGAGCTGGCCTTGAGATCGCACCACTAGTCTTTTGGATAATTTGCTTCTCATCGATGGTGATAGAACCTTTGATATGCCTTGCGGCCTCCGAAACGTTTTTCACGGTGTTACTAACATCACCAAACGCGGTCCTTCTTGGGACAGCCTTGAGGCCGACAGCTCCCTTCTGAGAGTCCATGCTCTTCAATGCTGCAGTGGCGGCGGCGGTTGTTAATTTCTTGGTACCAGCGCGGATAGCGTTCTCGTCTTGACGAACACGGATCGCACGAGGAGGGCGTTGTGGCTGTTTAACGCGTAAGGTTAGCGGAGCTGAAGAGGTTGTATTGCAAGGACACGGGGTTTGTGATGAATATAATAGATCGATGATCAGTAAGGGTGGAATGGGGGGATGGGGTGGTGGTGCTCATATATGTGGGCATGTATCAAGATGGAATGTGTCTTGAATTTTGGTAACACATCCAAGTGTACAGAGTTCATAGTATGAATACAAGAATTCTTGGGGGAGCACACTCACTTTAGCGTCCATTGCACTATTTGAAGGTTAGTATGTAAAAGGAAAAATAACGCTTTGAATTTTGAAAATGAGAGGCGTAAAGTTGCCAAAAACAGCGGGGGAGGGGCGCGACGCTGTTGCAGAAAAAAAAAAGGGATGGGGGGAAGAAGATAAACAGATATGTAGGAACCTGTTTTATTCGAATATATGGTTGTCAGGAACGGAGAAAAGAAAGCGAATGGGAAATAACCGTCCAATGTTATTGTTGACTAAAGGATGAGGAAGAAGAGCATGCAGTTGAAATGCGGAGAGAAGAAGACGTTAACTACATGGAACTATGTTGTTTAGGACCGTTTTCGCGTATGCAGTTGTTGTCGAGGCAACCGCTGCCAGTCAGTTCACGAAGGGGTGTGCGCTCCCTTCTAGGACGCGCTTCCACCGATTGTAGCCAAATGTTACACCATCCACTCGCCGCGTCTCCTGTGCCGTCGCTAGCTCGCGTTTCCAGGAGTTACTCCGCACGACATCACATGACCAGATATACCCAGTCTGCGAAGTATTAAACAAATCGTTTCCTGCAAGTCTTCATCTTTTCTAGATCCTCTCCATGACGACTACGTATTGATTCTTAACAGCGACTCTAATATCCCCAATTTCGCCATCAAGTTATCCATGGTCGATTCCGGTCAACCACACTGAAACTCGAGTGCGGGACAGAGGCGCCTGCATGCTAGGCAACGACAACGACATATGTACAGGACTTGTCTGCCTGGCATGACTCTAGTTGTGCATAAGTACATTCAATGTACATACATCCGAAAGTGCCTCTAACTACCTCGTAGAATGGAGGGGGTGCCGACAGCAAGTATCACCCCAGATCTACCGGTCTGCGAATTGCCTTGAGGGGGAGAGGGCAAACTCTCACTAGAATTGAGACGCAGGGAGAGTTGACCTATATGTATCTCAATAACTTGAAGTGATGGAACACCAACAGCAGTACTGACATCCTGAAGAAAATTAGACCGAGCAAACTTAAAGGACCGCGCGAGAATGGTTGTACCTTTATATCACAAATTCTACGGTTTCCCTATGGTGGCGGGATAAGAAGCAGGCCTGTGCTCTGGTTCCACGCGGCAGCCTGAGATAAGCCGTTGGGACCATAGCTCCATGTTCCCCCTCCCCCCCCCCCCCCCCAAAACCATCCCTGCCTGTTAGAGGAGATGGCCCCTCCTGTTGTCGCTGAAGCAAATTTCGGGCCTAATGGAGGCTGTGATTTGGTTATTGGAGAAGCCCTGGATAGGTACATAGATACCTATCCGACACAAGATGGTGACATCCATAGCTAGTAAGATGTTGTGCCAGACGTCAAGATGCTGTGCGCTCTTGTACTCAGCTTGGCCATTATATCTAGCTATCCAAGAGTTGTTTCCGTCCTATCTTTGGTTTACTCCTACGGTGTCTCTCACCAATCTGGAATGAGACGGTCCTATCAAACCTTTTATCAATTAACTTTCGCCAAACAAGCGCCCCGCCGAAAAAGTCATGTGCTCGTTCATAAGTCGCCGTGATGAGACACAAACTATCACCCGGCTCAATGCTGTCCATCTCTATGGTTGTTCAATGTAAGATACAAGGTCAATTTCAGTTGCTTGATCGATGTACAGCGGCTCTCTATCTATGCTAAGGGCACACTCTAAATGACGGTCGGCGGGGTATCGCCACATGAGGAGGGGTTTGGGGTCGCAATTCAACAGACACTAACCATTGTACCAGGCCGATTGCTGGAATGGGTATTAAGGATCCTTAATTGATATATTTAGTACCTCTCCTAATCTCGAGCTCTATATACCCAAAGAAATGCGCCGGGCGGGCAGTGAGGGATTTGGCCTTCTAATCACTGCGACGAAAGCAAATTATACTTAGGATGCCCAGGTGTAACACCGATTACCCTACCCTCCTGATGCCGAAGCAGTAACGCAGGGACGACGCAAGGGCTGGCTCGACATCAAAGTAATGAAAATTGCCGGCGTCTTGTCTGCGCTTTGCATCGAAGTTAAATGCTCGCGCAAAAAAAAAGCTTGGATTGCGAACAAGAGTAAAATTGTCGAGTGGAATGGCGCTCTATGAATCGTGCGATCGCGACCTAAAGCTATTGACCCCTCAGCGACTGTTATCAAGAAGACATTAGTCGACGTCTTGTATCGCGTTATGTGAAAGCTCCTGCTCATGCAACGAAGGCTATGGGCCAACTATCAACTATGGAGAAGCTACCGCTTATATTCGGCCGCCTTGGCCTTAGGCATCCCGCTTTCTAGATAAATAATGCCGTTTCACCGAACGTTCTGAAAAGATCCTGGGCATCGAAGTCAAATCAGGCGGCGAATAAAGCCATTTGGTGGAACTAAACTTAGCACCACAAAATGATTTGTTTTGCCCAGCCAAAGTCCCTTGAAACCAGACATATTCGACGACTTATCATATCCGGCGTCTGATCGCGCCCTATATATCCTGCAAAGTATATCACCAGCAATTCCGCGCAAAAAGTTTCCCCAGAAATGTATCCATGGACGTGGTCAGGATCGCAGCTCATAACTGATGGGCGGTGATTCTTATATAGGAGGCAAATCACGCCCTAAACAACCCCTATCAGAACATAGTTCCGTGGTATCTTGTATGTAGGCAGTATGAGTACACTGTGCCTGGAATGGGCCCCTGAACATGAGTCTCGCTATTCCTCAGACCAATGGTGTGCTTCTTGCGTGAACTAGACCACAGCCATGAAACGAACTGGGCCTTTCGAATGTTCCGGGAAGAAAGTATAGGGGCAAACACACGCAATTCCATCCTAAACACCTTTGTTGCCAGCAGCCATCAGAAGGAAAGCTCTCTCAACAGTAGCCGCAAACTGGGCTCCAAAAACCGCTCACTTGTAAGAGCAGCCCTGCGCATACTTGTACTGCTCGCCCACCCCGGCCGAGAGGCTTTTCGTAAACGAGCTCTCAGATAGCCTGCCGAAACTCCCCACCGTAACCTGCGAAACTTATCGAGAAATCGAGGTGATTGGGGACCAAACATCCAACACGATTGCACTTCCTGTAAGTGATACAGCCGACCATGACGCACTTTAAGCTGGTGGGGGGACAAGCGGGTACTCCGGAATGAATAACTTTGCGGTTAAAATTGCAGCAACCTCCGGAAGGCAATCGGAGTCTATGGAACCCGTTGACACGGCCAAAAATAAACTGCTCCAGCGTGGGAAATTGAATCGAGGTGCTTTGATGATGGGGAAGCTGATTGTTTTTCGTTTGAATCTGGCGGTGAACATTTCGTGATGGGGTAAGATTCGAGAAGGAGCGCTCAGCCACCACAAATGGGAGATTTCGTGGAAGGAAACTGGTGGGACAGGTGGTCTATGTACTCTGAGACATATTAGAAGAAACGTGGGTGTGGGGCGAAAAAGAGATCCGGGATTGCCTACTCTTCTGAGGGAAATTCTCCATCGCATTTGCCCATATCTGCCTTTACCGAGCCTCGCGCGGGCCATTCTTTCTTGTTGGTATCACCGGGGTGGTCGCAACTATCTTTTTGATGATCACGGGTCGCAAGCCAGGGGAGGAGCGTGGTTTGCCAACACTGGGGATATGAAAGAGAATGATCACGAACTCGAAAAACAAGGGTAAGAGAGGGAAACAGTATGACTGTAAATTGTTCTAGAAAGAGATAAGAATATCGGAGGGGGGTCCGAAGGCTTCTATGAATTTTCTCGAGGTAATTTATACATACATGTACCTTGCGATCCTAAATCCCCCAATGTAAAAGGGCCCAGGGTCCGGGGATCAGTGACCCGGGTTGTGACAGGTTGAGGAGTGACAGATCGCTGGGTCATCAAGAAAACGGCCTGAACCCGTCGCTGAACCCATCGCAGAACAGAAGCAGAAGCAAGCAGAAGCATCACCAGGTGCGGTTTGTGAAGCTAGACTGGATGCGTATCCCCACAGCCACCACCCCTCCCTTCCCTTCTACCCGACGTTTTGCACTGTTAACCAGGAGCTTACCTCCCTCATTATTCATTTTATTTTTATTTAACCACTAAGATTCTGTAGGCATCTCTGTGTGTCGATTGACTATCGTTTTGCGATATGTAGCTCCCCAAAAGTTTGAAGGGAGAGCAAATCCCTTTAAACTCCCTCTCTCCGTCCAGTTGTTTTCGTTTGGTTTCCGAGCAGCGGCGGTTGCCGTAATGAGGTGCTGTTTGGCCTGTTACCCGGCCTCATACCATGTGACGTGACGCAATGACCCTCGGGAAATTCAAATCTAGAACATTCTCACGACCGCGGCTAACTACAAGAAAAACGCGAGTACGAGTGTCAAGGATTGGGAAAGATGAAAAGCGAGTGAAAACAAGCTCCCAAAATCTATGGCCATTTTGCGGCGTCTTTAGACGGTGTTTATCCCAAATGATTTGCGCCATTTCCACATCCCACTTCATCCCCCGTGGTCCTCCATGGAGTCGGGATTGGGACTGCCACATCCAGAATGGTCGCATTGTCTCAGAACTGGATGCCTGCCAACGCGTCGTCCCGCGCCCTCCCGCCCAACTGTCTAATTTTCCTTGGCCGACCGCTAGGCACGTCACGGAAAACCACTTTACGCGTCGTCACGAGACTTGAGCGACTCTGATCGCTATTGTTATTATTCGCCCTTGTTATTAACCAAACGGTTCGCCAGGCGCTCTGCCCTTTCTTGTCTCCATCCTATTCGTTCGTTCTTTTCCAGTAGCTTATTTCTTTGATTCTGACGTCGTTCTGTTTTTTGCCTGGATTAATGCGAAATCCTAGGGTTGAAAGAGCGCTTCGTGAGGCGCCGTTGGCTGTGTCGCCCGGTCGCGCGCAGCCAGATAGCAACTTCACTGTCTTCATTCCCCCCGCGGCACTATTTATATCCTTTACGTTTCGTGGGTGCTACTCTATCTATGACGCCGCCGACGATAGCCGTGGTGGATGTACTACTAGTATAGCTGTTGTGTGAATGTTTACTGTTTTGTTTTCACACCCATCCCTCCCCCAGTCTGCTTCCTAAGTTTACAAACAACCCTTCCACTTCTTATCGGGGGAAAGGATTTCCTTCGCATGTGCTCCATACCAAATTTTGCGAATGACGAGTCGCCATTTTCCAAAAAAGATAGCAACGGAAGCATCTCCAGCCCTGCCCTATCCGGTTCTATTCGCAATTTCCATATCTTGTTAACTCGAGCAAGTATTTACCATAACCATAAATCCCTTTAATCCTCTCCGAGAAACCCGTCGCACTTTATTTTCGCAGATTTTCCCTCGTCCAGGGCACAGGATATCGGCTTCGGCTTCTCTTCTTGCTTCTTGCTTGTTGGGGAGGAGGAGGAGCTGCGGGCAAACTGACAAACTGCATACTCGTTCTGCTTCTTACATCGCCCGATCCTCGACGCAAGCGATCCCCGTGTTTTACGCTCTTTGTTTGTTCGTCTTTTCCCCGACCTTTTTATTTCATTTTTTGAGACGTTTTCATTTTTGAACTACTCATCGCGCATCCATTCACGGATTCACTTTTTTAAGGCGATCGCGGCGCTGTAGGGAAAGTCAAGAAGAGGAGGAAAGGTATCTCTGTATGATGATTACCCCAAACAATCCTCCCCCCCCCCCCCTCCTCTGCGCCGAGGGAGCGCTCCCACCACTCACCATCTTGAACCCGTTCTAGCTACTCTCATCCGCATCGCATCCCGCTGGCGATTCGTTAGCGAGCGAGTGGAGGAGGCATCTTGAAGGAAGGATATCGTATCGTGTCTGTGCCAATCAGTGCATGTTGCAACGGCGGGCGGCGATCCACGGCCGGGTCCACCACCTTTTTCGGGATAGAAACACACCGTCGCTCTCTGCTTCCCTCTATTTAGACAGTTGCGACTCGTAGTGAGAGCAAGCAGGAAGTAATATCAGAGGGGTAGAAATCACATAATGTACCTACACACATATATCATGTATGGCACTTTATATGAGAGTAAAGTACCGCAGTAGGCAGAAAGGACAATCGAATGCTGTCCATGTAGAGTGCCCACCCTTGGCTTGTAACTCGCAAGCGTTGAAATGTGTAGGTAATCTCAGTTGGTTGGAAGGAAGGGAAGCGCGGCCCCCCGTCGAACCTCTTCCTAATTCCGACTTTGGACTAGCCTGGCCACTTCAGTTCGCACGTTCCCTCAAGTTGAGCACAGAGCGCCGGAGAGTCTTGGAGGGGGGGAGGGTTTTCATGTATGGCATGTATCTACTGTATGTAGGGTATCTGGGAACTGGCTTTCATATCCCAAGCTCCGCTTTCTAGAGGTCTGCGTTGTTACAGTTAGTTGGACGTACGCTTGCTGCTTGCTTGCTTTCTGCGCTGCTGCTTCTGCTGCAACACACACACATACATACCCATCCATACACACACACACACCATAACCATACCAGAGTACTACTCGCGCACCAGGTCCAGGACAAGCGGTAGGAAGGAGAGCACACAGGAGCAGTATTAGCAGCTATCATAGATCAAGAAGTCGAAGGAAAGAACAGACAGGAATTACAGTAGCGCCAGTAGCACCTTCAGCGACCATAATTCCATAATCCACTAGCTAGACAAGGCCTCTTGACCAGTCAGCAGGCAGAACGAGCAGGTAGCAAGAGTAGGAGATAGCGAGAGCTAGAGAGAGAGCGAGCGAGAGACAGACACACCTACCTTTACGCCGCCCACCATTACAGGTATTGGGTACCACCAACCTTTGAAAGCTATACACTATCACGACGCCGACGAGGAGGACGAGCACGAACGACGACGAAACGGCAGAGAGCTTGGTTTTCCTCTTCGCCCACTTACTTTAATCGCATTCTCACCATTTCCCACATCTCTGTCGGACTTGTCTCTGTTCCTAGCTTGTTCCGCTCCTCGCCCTTTCGTTTGACTTTCCGCACACTTACCCCAACTGCCCTGCCCGCCCACCACACCTACTCACCTACACACCTCCCATCCTCCTATACCTCCCATACCTTACCCATTATTATCCTCTGTCAGTTCCCTAACCCAAGAGCAATTCCACGCTTGCTTGCGCCTACACCCAGCACACAGCTTTGCTCCCTAGCACAACCACTACCCCCCGACTCAATCCAAGAGCGAGCGACCTATTCATATCCATAATCATTATCATCCTATCCCCACCCAACCAGTAGTTCCGCTTTCCACACACCTCTCTCTCACTCACCCCACACACCCACTCACCCACTCCTACACACTCACCACCCACACACACACACCCACTCCCTCCTCTCACTCTACTACCAACACAACTCGGCCTTCGAACTCATCCTTCCCCTCCATCTCTGCGCCCTCCTTTACAACACCTCTCAAAATTAATCTTTCATCACTACAATCATCTCTAACACCTCTCTATCTCCTCATCAATACCCCCGTTCATCACTCTCCTCACTCCTCACCCTTGCTCGCATCTCACCACCCACCTGCTTCATTCCTCGCCATCGTGAGCGCAGTATCCTATCTTACTGAGCACCCCCTCCCATCTCTCCTCCTGAGTTTGCTCTTGATTGCCTGAACCCTCAACCATCGCTTTCGCTGTCGCTGCCCTCACCCATATCCTTTGCGCTTCAAAGGCTGGATTGAAAGAATCATCCCGCTTTGAGCGCTGAGCGCAGTCGTTAATCACACATCTATACAAGGTATGTTACAAACTGCTTTTATCTTTTGCCATCTTGTGTCTCTCTCGTCATATCCCCGCTCGTTCCTGTCCCGCTTGGTTTCCTTGAATCCATCGCGTGGTTCCGAGAACTTCCTGTCGCTCCTAACCATTCATTTCCCCCCGCTGCCCCCAATGTAAATTTCTTGGTCGCCATCTCTTTATCCATCTCCTTTCGCTCCCCGCATCTCAGAATCCATCACACCGAGTTCTTGTCCCTTAACTATCCATTTTTTGACTAACTGGCTATATTTACCATCATCAGCCATCCATATAGGAACACAAACGGGTTGGCGCATCACTCTATCGCCGTCGTATCATTCCTCCACACTCAGCCAAAATGAACATCAACACTCTCCTGTCAAACGAACCGGTCGTTCGAACATCCCGAACCTACAACAGCTTTGCACCGGAAGCCACTACTCCTTACCACAACAGTGCAGCCGTCATGACGCCTCCGAAGTCGTTGTCACCAGCCTCTAGTTGCAAGAGTGTCCACTTTAGAATTTGCGGCGGGGTATCGGAGCCCAAAACACTACACATCTTCCCGCATGACACAACGGAATCGATCACAACGACGGTCAAGAACATGTTTGCACTCTCCTCCCACAAAGACTCTGCCCTCAGTTTTCAAGACCCCGAAGGAAGGTATATGATTCTACAGCACGAGAATTTTGAGGATGGCATGACTGTCTTTGTCCGTGTCGAAGAAGCCCCCCACCGTTATTCATATGAAATCCATCCGTCGCTATTAAACAATTTAGAGCCTTCTGCAAGGAGTGTCTCCCCCAGCGCTGCCCGAGGAAGACGTAGCGCCAGCACTGGCGGTCGCTCAAAGGCCCTCAAACGTCCGGCTTCTAGTCACAATTGGGAGTATAAACAGGAGCGCTTTGACTCTTATGCGCCAGCTCATTTACCAGGTGTATCCATAGCGCCGTTGGGATTCATGACCTACGAGGAGGAACAGAGGAACAGACTTGAACCTCTTGCAAGTGCAGAAATCAGTCTTGATAATATCCTTGAAGGCTCAAGAAGGAAAAGGCCAAAGTTCTCGTCAGACGTGAATATTACCCGACTCTGCCTGTACTATCAATCTTGCTAAGTGTTATACAGGAGCTTCCGCTATACCCCCCTACAGCTTTGCCCAGGAATGATGGTTCAAGTGCTTCGTCTGCTAGTCCCACACGTCCAGCTGGAGAAATCACAACTCCATACACGCATCGAAATTATGGTTATCCCCATCCCACTCCCCCATCTACCTACGGTAGCTACCCTAGCAACAGTGCTCAAGTGCAGAACCCCTGGCCACAGTCGCGAACGGGCGGAAACGGCACTTTCCCCACACCTGCGCCTACAATTGCATCGTGTATCTCAGATGAAGAAGTTGCTGTACAACTTATGCGACTTGGTGGTAATAGGATCGAGAATTGCTCCGTAACAACTTCAACACGAGAGGATAACTACGAAGAAGAGGAGGAAGAGGGATTCTCCTCGGGCGGAGGCGAGTACGGTGACGATGGACGAAGCGACACCACTGAGCTACCCGACCCACTAAACAGTGGGCTGCCGAACAGCCCGATCTCATATTCAAGGGATAAGATGAAGTTCAAAAGTTTAGACGAGATCCTACCGAGCTTCGACACCACCGAACCGAGCGATAACGAAGACTTGCCATCTCCACCAATACCATCTCCACACACACACACACAGCAGCTATACTCATACAGGGATGACCCACCAAGGGTTGAATCACATCGACCCTATGCAATTGGTGCCGAGGAGGAAGAAGAATATGAGGACTTACTTGATGATGATGCTGATGAAACTTACATTGGCAAAGAGGAGGAGGAAGAAGATGATGATGCTGATTATGATGAAGATTTGGATGATGTTCCATTGATGAAGACAGTTCGTGGAAGAAAGCTATCAGCCGCACCCTCAGCCCCTTCGGCGCCGCCAAGCAATGCGGGAATCAGTCAAAAGACCAAGCCTGCTCTACCCAAGGGCTTCGTTAGAGCGACTAAGCGCAAGAATCAACCCACATTGCAGACGAATGGGCTCAAGAAGCCTAGACCCTTGCCAGAGGCACAGTGGCCTATCTCTCCTGCGTCTCCACCATCTAGCCGTAAGCCATCCGTTGCCTCTTCTTCTAATGGAAATGCCAAATCGCGCTCGAACTCAGGCAATGTCAACACAGTTACACTCACCCTCACTACGCCCACCTCGCTATACGGTCAGCAGACAGCGACCCCAGTGGATGATCGGTCAAACCAGCACCACCTCGGACCCGACGAGCCGTCAATGAAGCCTCGATGCCAACGCTGTCGGAAATCGAAGAAGGGCTGTGACAGAGCACGACCGTGCCAAAGATGCAAAGATGCAGGAATTGGAGCTGATGGGTGCATCTCTGAGGATGAAGCAGGGACGAGGCGGGGGCGACAGGCAGCCGCCGCTGCGAGGAAAGCCGCTGCTGGAGGTGGAGTAGGGGTTTTGGGAAAACTGAAGAGCAAGACCAAGAAGAAGAAGATCTTGGTGGAGTGATTTGAGGTTTGCTGTTTGCTGTGCACTTTTCTTTGCTTTTTATCTTAAAGTTGATCGCTATTAGTAGGCTCTCCTTCAATGCGTTTCGTGTATGGGGTTGAGTTACAATTGCGGGAGATTTCCCTTTCTTTTCGAGTCTCTTGGGTTGTTTTTATTTCTTTTTTCTTTCTTCATTCCTCTGCTGGGCGCATATGGGTTGGCGGGGCGGGGGGTTTTCATATCAAAAAGTTCTCCTATTTCAGTGGTTTCCTCTTTTTGTTTTCTTTCTCTATCAATCTCGGTCTTTTTTAATGCTTCTTTGTCCCTGTGTGGTTTTGAAATTGACGTGATTTTGTCTCTCCATATCTGTTTGTCTTTTTAATTGTCGGTGACATTGGGGGGGTTTTAGTCCATTTCTCTATATCTGTTATCGCGTCGGGTTCTTATATCTAACTGTCACTTCTGATCAACACTTCTTCTCTAAAAGAGGGAGGGCGCGCCCACTTCTTCTTTGATTGCGTGTGTGGTTTGGTAGGTATATATCTTGTCTTTTTTTTCCTTCCCTCTCTCTACACTTTCAGTTATATCTACGCTTTACTTTGGGATTATGGTATGGTATGGTATGGACATTCTTTTCTTTCTCTTTTCTTTTGGAAGAACACACAAAAAACAGCCTTAACCTAGAAAAGAAAACACAAAAAAAAAAGATCTGAATTCACACCTGAATTGATGATACTTTAGGGACTAATGAATGTTGTGTGGTTGCCTGTAACTAGATGGGAATGTCATGTTGGTATGTATGATTTTGTCAGAGAAGCAGAAAAGAGCCACCGCAGTTTAGCAGCAGCAGCAGAGAGCTTTGCGGGAAAAAAAAGGGAATGCATTTTTTTTTTTCCTTTTGTTTTAGCTTTGGAAGGGAATTTCTTTTGTCATTTTTCTTTTTGTGCATGTATTTTGGTGGGCCTTTTTTTTTTAACTCTTTTTCCTTTTGTTCTGTTTGTCTCTTTTTATCTCTTTTTCTTTATTTTATTTATTTTAGCTAAAAGGGCTATTCAACACCTCTCTTCTCTCTTCTTCAGATTATTTTTTTGTTGGGTCACGGATACAGGTTGGGACATAAAGGGCGGGAAACGACAGTTGAAGGTCAGAGAAGGAGGAGGATGAGCGGAAGAGAAGAGAAGATGCGAAGTTGTGGCCTTTTTTCCAATTTTTTTTTCTTTTTCATGTGAACATAGGACCAGGACGATTAGGAAACAAAATAAAAAAAAAGCTAAATAAATTAAAGCATTCACCATGATCGTGAAAAGACTTGTACCCCGAGTTACTTACAATTGCCTGCAGTGAGTGTTTACTTCGTGAGGCCAAGTGCGATTGAGTCGCCGAGAGGGAGCCTCAAACCCCAATCCCAATCTGCTCCGAGCAAGGACGTGGGATAAGCATCGTCCACAGAAGCATGGATAGGCCTCTCGAGACATGGACCCCCAAAGGTTCTAGAATGCTAGGTTCGGGGTGAATTCAATGATACTGATACATCGTATGTATCACCATTACATGTTTAGCCCTAGTGCGGAGCTTAGTGTAGCTAGGTATATCCATGTGGCAGCAGGCACGCACGCACGCACAACCACAAGAACAGTTTTTTTTTACCACCACCACCACCACCACAGCCCTCGGGAGGAAGAGGGAAAAAATGAGGTTTCGGAATGGACGGGCGGCCAATAGGAAATATCATCTCTACGCACTGCCGTCGATGGTAGTCACAAAGTAACTGATTGGCTGGGGGACCTTTTCATCGCTCGCGGCTGGCCATGGCGCAGATATTGGTGCTCGACGAAAATAAAATGGGGTGGGAGGAGAGAGGATTATTGTGGCGGATCTATAGCCCCTTTACTGTATCTGCCCATGGGTGTAACTGATTGCCTACATGCAGCGGAAGTGGAGGGGGCGGGAGAGGATGGCGGGGGGTGATGGCGGGGCGGAGCGGGTACGTGGGGGAGGGACTTTGACCCTTCTCCTCAGATCTCCTCGTCTATTTATGATGCCAATGTTGTTTCGTTCCTCTCCAAATTTCTCGCCGGGCGGGAGGGTGAGATTAGTACGTAGATCTGTTGGGTAGTCGAAGTGTCTGGGCTTAATCTTGGAAAAAAGTGTTTAATTGCAGGCCCGGGCTGCATTGAAATGTTATACGGTTAATTGTTTCCCTTTCTGTCACTCCCCACCTCGTCAATATCTCGTGAGACCTGTGTTTTGGAACCTAGAAGTTTGTGAATTATGTATTTGTGGTGAGTATAAATATGTCCTATCGCCTTTCTATGCCTCCTCCTGGTGAAAGATGTTATTGTGAGGATGATCCAGTTATCGTCGAAGGGGATATTCTCCGTATATATTGCTCTGTAGTTATTATCGCGGTTATTGGGGTTATTCATAATTACATTTCACTATCGTATCAGTAATCCATACGGCTTCTGCTTCCATAGCGTCATATACAACCTCGCACATTTCTCATAGGTCGAACTTGGATGGCTATCATCTAGTGGAATCAAAGATGTTTCAAACACGGAAGATCACTCGCTCTAGCAATCGCTAAAAGAGCCGCTTTTTTCTAGCCCTCTTGCACAAGATATCACTCGGTGGAGGTGGTCACCCCCTTTATTATAATACTCGGACGAAATTAAAGAGGATGGAGTGTTATGATTTACCCAACTAGGTTCGCAGTCCCCGTAAAATATTTTGGTAATATACTTGGAGGCTTTGCGCGCACGAGTGCTGGTGTCATAAACTTGGATGGCATTCCAAACTCCTTTTACTGGCTGCTGCTGTTGTTGTATATTTTTCTGCTCTATATTGATTTGATGCGCCCCAAACTGTTTCAAATCCGATGAGCGTTCGCCGAGGAATCGTGATCTAACTCTATTTGGAATATATTAAGAGTCACCATCACAGCGCGCCCTTATTATCGAGTTTCATAGTACCCCTATTGCCTCCCCTCGAAGTGAAGTTTCACATGATGAGAGTAGCCCAAAACTATTAAGTAAAATTTGCGCATTCTGCGCAGCTGGCATCCAATAGGCTCGATTTCCGTAATGATGTCATAGAAATCAGGTGTGTGGGTTTCATGAAAACTAAATCTAGAGGGTCATAGATGCTGCACAATGTGTTGTGTATCTGACTCAAGTGTTTGCCCTTGGGCATGGTGCGGGGGGCTGTTTGGGGGCCGGTTTATGTCGGCCCCTAGAGTGCCTTTATACTTGCTCGGGAGCCACCGAGGATCTGAGTAATCCCGATACCAGGCCATGAGAAAATCCCCTGCTGTATGGGTAGAGTGTTCACCATAGTCACGCTCGTTCATTTGGATTTCGGATAAGTCGTTGCTGAGTATGCCGAGTCCTAAGACCCTACGCCTTTCGAAGGAATACTAATAAGATTAGTTGATGTTTGAATACATCCTAGAAATTCCGTTCTGTATCCTTTCTTACGTTAGGGTAAGGCGCCTAGTTTATTATAATAGCCGCCTCTGTATTTAAGCTCTCTAGTTTTGACATTTAGCTTATTACCAGTAAACCCCAAGTGCCAAACTATCTTTCTTTTGATCTCAGATATCTGTCCTGCCATACTTTCGGGGAGCTTACATTGAACCTACAGGAGTTCGATGTTAAGCTATCTATAATATAGCGCGAGGATGGCGCGAGGATAGCAGGCCTTAATTAAGAGTCTTTCGTATCGACTAAATGAAATCGCACTTTTGTAATAGGGTTGCCGATATCATAAAATCTGATTTGACCGACTTGAGTGATTCCTGTTCGTAATCACGCAATTCCCAACGCAACCTCTGTTTGCGCGCGTCATCCATAGTGCCATATGGGGATCAGGGAGAGGTAGAGGGCTGGATATACCACCACAAACACCCTCCGCCCTGATTAATTCCCAACATCAGTTGGAAGTCGCCGCACCCACCCGAACCCGCACACCCCCCATCCACCAAGGTTCATCCGATGTTTGTCTTATCGATAGCGCCTGGTCCGTGCGTGCATGCGTCCAAAATTGCGTCATGCGGCTCCAAGAAGTTTAACCGAGATTACCGGGAACGGGCTTGGCTTCGATGATGGTGGTGGGCCGGGAAGGCTAAAAGGTTAAACTTTATTTTTTTTTTATCCCACCCCCTCTGCGGGAGAGGTGCGGTTGACGGCAGCGCGTGTGTGCTTTTCTGGGTGTCTCAGGGTTGAGTTGGTGTGGTCGGCGGTGGCGACGGAATGAAGATTCTGCTGAGCTCAGTACCTTTGAGTACACACCGGTGCAGTGACTGTGCTGCTCATCCTTGCTAGCATCCCGAGAAAAGAAGAAACGTTATCGCCTTGTTTTGCGCCGAAACATACAGGATGCTGCAGAGTTGATAGGCTCTGAGGAACACGTGTCTGTGATACCGTGCTTTGAATGGAGGCGGATAAATGTTGTTCAACGGTGGAATGTCTTAGTGTATTTAAATAGTGTAGCACTAAACTTCAACCAAGGCTCGAAACATGAATAAGGATTCAAGATGCCCTCTATTATGCAGAGTACCTTGGATTTTGCCAGTTCTTTAACAAGATCTCGTGTGATCATGGAAAGCTCATGATCAAATCACTGCTGAGAATATAAGTACATGTATGTAGTGAAGGGGAAGGTTTGGATTGCGAGAAACAGGGTGGGAGAAAGGGAGGGAAAGAAGAGGAACGCCACCGTGGGATGAAAAACTAATCTCCTATTGACGTCATTTTATAATCTGCAATCGCTTACATAGAGCTTGTTGCCTGTGCTATGGAATGGGCGATTAACGCAGCACATGTTGGCTATATATAGTCACGATAAAAAAAAATGTGAAACCACCATGTGGATACGGTAGGATATACCTATACATCTATAATACCGTGGTCAAACCTGGACACGTATAGTATAGTACAGCAGCAAACGCCACCCAAAGCGCCGCCTATGGGAACAGACCCCATGCCCATATCTTATCTGTTACTGAACCGTAGGAGAAACCTTTCACCTCAAATCATATTTAGATAAGAATAAATTTCAATACCTCTCTAACTCTATCCCAAAACTCCCATACACATGCGCATACCCCTGTGTTAGGTCTACCTGCTAAGCAATCTATAACTTAGAAAGAAAACAAATCCAACGCTATCTATAAAGTCATCAAAGAAATAAAGAAATAAAAAACAAAAACCCTCTTTGCATCACTCATAATTCATCAACCAATGTCTCATTCATGTCATCCATAAAGGCAAGCCAAAACCGACGGGAGTAGTCCAGGACCAATAGCTGTCTAAAGAGTCTAGTCTTCTCTACCATTCACCCACATTCCTGCGGGTTCCGACCCAATCCCCCAATCCCCCTTCCACACACCCTTCCTTGCCTCTCTTGTTCTACCGAGAAGCATAACGATGCAGAGCACTAACTGACTTCCTCCTCTAAAAGCCCCGCTCATAGATGTTGACATATCCGGATGCCCCATACTGACACCGACACATCCGTATGCAGAGATAACTTCAAACGTAATATTAAAGATCGAGTACGACACGGGGTCCGCGTCAAAATGTGCTGTTTCGATAGTGGCAATAACCCAGATAATAAAAAACAGCATCCTATCAATATCAGCTGACTATACTCGAGAATAGATAATAAAAAAAGGAGAGGTACCAAAAATCATCAACAGTAAAGGTTCTCCTCATCTGGTATTTGAGGAACTTTCTTTTCGACTCTTGTTGATACCTGGGCCTAATCTTCCTTGCTGACTCTGGGTCGGGGAGGGGGTCGTTTTCATAGCTACTAGCTACGCAAATAGGAAACGAGGAAATATACATCCTAGAAACATGAGTTTCCTACTATCGTCGTCGGAAGTTCAGACAGATTAGAAAGACTTACATTACCAAATAGGTGATTTGAACACACAACCTCAAAGACGGGATGCCCACAACTCCAAACCCACCGCTCCGCACAGCAAGGGCCTGGAAAAGGCCGTCAACCACTCGAACCGGAACCGAAAAATCTTTAAACGCTGGGTTTGTAATAGAGGAAATTCCAAAAACCGCCTGCACAACCTTATTAGAACATGCAACGAAGAGGAAAGAATCAGTTGGCTCAAACAAACTCACCCAGTCAAGACCATTGAAGATAATGATGGTTCCCCCCAACCAGGCCAACTGACTACCACTAAACAAATACGGGCAGAGCATCCTAGCCTTCTCACTTGCCAGGATCTCTAGTCCGTCCCTTATCCCTTCCCATACTTTCGTCTTTGGAACTACTCTTTGCAGCACCCTGAGTATCCCACGTAGCAAGATAGGAAAGATGGTATTGCCCAATATGATCAGGGCAGTCATCACCAATAAGATGAAATATGACCGCTGGAAGGGTGTCATATTGCTGTCGATAAGACTCATACCCGAATTGTTGAATGCAGAAATGCTCAGAAATGCCCCCGCCCACCAGGCGTTGACGTGGTTCTCCGCTGGCACCGCCGGGTGACGGGAGGATATGTACCAACCTAGGGCGACCGCCCCAATAGCTGGACTACGATGATGTAGAGTGGAACAATCCAGGAGAGGATAACAAAGGCTTGGTGTCTTGTGCTAAGCTCTTTAATATATTCGCAGCTCGTCTGATGTTCTAGGACTGTGCTAGTAATTGATGTCTGGTCGATACCAGGTTTAACTGGGCCTTCCGTGTCTGGTTTCGCAGCGGCAGCGGTGTCATCGTTGGCCTCTTCAACAATAATATCTTGGGGTGATGGGTGAGGTATCCGTGGTTTACTTCGATTTTTATATTTGAACCGGAGTGTAATAACAAGCCCGGCAAATACAAACATGTGCGAACCCATGATGATATCTAGCCAAAGTATAGCCTGCTGGAACGAGTTGAGGGACGACAAATTAACCTACAAGTTATATAGTCAGAACTAAACCCGGGTCATAAAAATGAATAAACGGGCAAATCTACTGTATTAAGCCCAGCTCCGGTCCCTGCGCTGATGCACAGAAACAGTGCGTTGAGGTACCCCACGTTTTCCTCGTTCCTTAAACCAGCAATCAAGAATGCCAGGGATGAGACCAGATACAGCATGAAGTAGTAAATATACTGCCAGTGAATACATCTGATAGGCGTGTACTTCCATCGGATCATCACGTGATGGCAAAAGCCACCCTTTCTGAGTTCTACTTATTGGAATAGGATATCAGTACTAAACTTTGTAGTTGCCATACACCGCGCGATAGTAATAGTAGAGTGTGGCTTAGCTGTGACGCCTGGGCGCTATGCCACCGACATAAATCCTATTCTGTCAAGAAACCAACGGCGGTGCATATGCGATTTCATTTGCGATTGGTCACTTACCCATCTCTTTTTATCCTCTTTACCTTCGCGGAAGGTAATAAGCGAAGCGTAGTCGGTCTCGGAGATTTGTGGCAGTGTCTAGGACCCAAAGGCTGTATGTTTAAGAATTCAGGTTGTGGGGAGCGTAAAAAAAAATTTGGGTCGCTCTAAGTAGGATCTCTTACTCCCCTTTCTAAGCACAACTACCACGCCGAATGCGGTAAGGCGTCTGCCACGATGACAATGATCTGCGTGCCTACCCGAGCGGGCCGACATTCCTTGGCAAGATCTCGGCGACCGACTAGAAAATTACTTGGCAAGATAAAATTTCCGAGAGGCTTAGTTGAACCTGAGGCAACGGTGAGAGTGGATTTGATAGGCCTTAATGGACTTGCTCTGCCACAGCACAGCCTACTTCCCTTTTTGCGGGGCCTATCTAGCGAAAGTCTGGACAGATGGACTGTCAGTAGGGGAATCATACCCTACTGACCGTAATTAAACAGCAGGTTACACGGCTCGGCGCTTCTTCAAGCGCCCGCGCCGCTTTCACAGCGACCGCAATCCACTTCACAGAACATATAAAGGCTGCCGCCCCCGCTCACAATAAACTCATACTCTGAATGAAAATCTCTTCTGTTGGTGAATGCATCAATTAAAACTTTTTATCATTTTTAGCTAACACCGTACCCTGTTAAACACCCGATAATACAAACCATCTAGTAGCCCGTACGTGATATGCAAAGCAGCAACAAAGATAAACATCAGTACTCAAGAATAAGAATCTTCTCCGAACGCCTATGTATATGAAAGTTAGAAAATATTGAACCATCTTTTCGCATCGGCGCCGCCATCCGCGACCAGCTCAGAAGAAACTTCATGTGTACTATCGACTTGATGTTTAAGAGAAAAGTGGCCCTCGGCGTAGTCCTTTACAAGCCAAACGACAACCTAAGTATGGGAATTAGACTAGCTATATCTAATATTAGAGAATAATATTGTACTTACCGCTGTTGCTCCTCCAAATAGCAAGTTAATTTGCCATTTGGTGACCTTGGAGTCGGACTTGAGTCCCGCAATTTCGGTTACTATCTTGGTTTCCAATTTCGTAATGTCCACTCTCATCTCTCCGAAGCCTTTTTCCACCGCCTTTACAAGTTCACCGATGGATTTATTTACATCTCCTTTAAAATCTCCGAGGGTCTATCGTACGTTAGTTTTCACCAAGTGTTTAAATGATTACGAGCCGCACTTTAGTTAGGTTATCGACGCGGTCATCAAATTTATTGACATGATTCCACTATTTTCAACTGCTCATTAATGATTGCCATTCTAGCTATTAGATGTGGGAAAACATACGAGGTGATCATTATCCCCAGAAGCCCACTGCTGTTTGGGCCCGGTATTACCAGAGGCTTCCCGATTTTCTTCGAGCATATCATTATCCCCGGTTAGGAACCTTCTGCACAGAACACGGCGTTTGATAGTGGTGTGAGTGGCGACACGGAGTCCACGTTGCCCAGCTATTCGAAGTATGTTTGACGACGTTAATAAATAGTCTAGCTAGTTCAGACGTTGATATAAAGAGATAGAGAAATAGACCGATAGAAGGAAGCCCTTCGATTTATGCGACCTCTTATCTAAGCTGCGCTAGACTAAGGGGTGCCGCTTTAAAGCACAAAGTCCACAATGTCGAATGTACGTAGTATGGTGTATGATGCGTAAGATGCTTTTTATTCGTGCTATTTCACAATTCCATTTAAGAAGGCTCCGGCAGGCATAAGTGGCATGGCCGCCTATTGGCCAAGTACTTGGTAATAGGCGCGCTAAGCTAACATGTACCTACATGTATGCCCGTCGGGCATATGATTACGCTTAGTAATTCATATGGTACAAATTTCTTGGGATACCACTTGGGCCGGTGGGCTTGGGGCCCTGGACGGTGGCGAGTGACTACAGCAAAAAGCTACCGAATCGAATATTTACGCAGAGACACCTTGATGCCTATCGTTTTTGAAGATCTTCCCCCCCTACCATCCCCCCCCGGGACAATATGAGCAGTGGTAGACAGTGACTAATCAGTGGTAAGACCCTGGAACTCTTAAACATATCTCTAAACAGCTACGATGCCTGCCAGGGTTAGGTTTATCCTTTGGTGGAGGGTCACTGCCAGTGGGGAGTTGGGAGGCGCAAGGGCACTCGAAAATAAGCCCAACCCTGGTGTATCTCGTCACAGGTTTAAGAGGTTCGGAACTATACCAAGTACATATAGTTGGATAAAGCCAGTACGAGTATGTAGCAAAACACTTTTACCACAATACAGTGTTGGTATAGTAAATGGAGTCAATCATTTGCATTCAACTCTATATCAGCATGTCACGCATTCGAACACCCATCACTTTTATTGTTGCTGCAGAAATACAGGCGTGAGGAGTCGGTTATACGCATCAAGAATCGATGTGACCCAATTGGTGCCTCGGCGTCTTGGTACAGGCGGAGGGTTCGAGGTAAACAAAGAAATTGAAAAACACGGGAACGATAGTAATAGGTCCAAACTAGGCGCAGAATCAAACCAGTAAGTGTTATCTAGAGTAAATATTCTGCAACCGAATTCCAACTTCGAATAAGACAATAAGGTCGTAAAAGTATTATCGTGATTGACATACGCATCAAGGCATCATACACCTTTATTTGTGATACTACATAGCTGAAGGAATTCGACTCATCAAGGTTGGAAGGGGAAATATCAAAGAGAGTCATGCTCTTATGCCTATAAAGCAAGCAAGGGCCGGGGAGTATCTGCCTGGGAAAGGAATCTAGCTACATACCTTGGGCGGCTGGCTACGGTTGGCACTGCGATAGCTAGTCTAATGGCATTTTATGTGCTCATGAGGTCGCCTTCCAAATGCTCATCATCCAATTTCACTTAGCTTAATAACTTCTAATGATTAGGCCCATCAAAATGCTCAATGAAATTCTCCAGATCCAGTCTTTAGATAAAACCCTAATATGATAGGGTAAAAAGAAAAGCGGTGATCGAAGTGTGTAGATTCGTATAGGGCGGCACATATATACCTATAGACGGATGTACATATACCCCATGTAAATAGTATTTTATCATAATTTTAGCGCCAATGGGCCTGGGCACGGGTATAAATACCCAAAAACTGAGGCCTCTTCCCTTCCTTCCCTCCTACAACTACTATCAATAGATCCTCCCCACCGCTCACCTGCACAAACCATCAATTCAAATCATCACGCTCATTCACTTTCCTCCAGTCTGCTCATCAGCATTCATCTACGTCTCTTTCATCTGCTCATCAGCATCAACTCAAGAAACATGAATATCATCAAACGCTTCTCCATCATCCTCCTACTCGTCCTCCTCTCCCTCACTGCCAATGTCGGGGCCTATAAGAAGTTCAACGAGCCCATCAAAAACCGGATCCATCAGTCTAATAAGGGCTCTTCCGTACCAGCGACATTACCAGAATCGTCAAATTCCTCATGGACAGCATCAAGGAGCGCAATGGTGGTCTCTGCACTAGGGCTGGGGTTGATCACTACTCGGCTAGTATCACCGGGGGGCCTATCAAGGTTTCTGCATTCGGCTTCGATGAGATTGGTATAGTGCTGTTCAGCATTAAATTGTTAAGAAATGTGCACGCGATTTCAATGGTGTCAAGAAGCCGGGGGCCGGGGCAGTTTGTTCAAGCATGCACGACATTGGAGCACTTATCCAAGTTCATTTCTGAGTATTCACATGTAAACACGCAATACCCTATCGTCATAAATAAAATGTACTTCTCTTTTTCTTCTTCCTTTTTTTTCTTACAAGCCCGCATGTCAATGAATAAATACAAAGTAAAAGCCTGATTATCCGCCCGAGTGATGTTCTGTGACTTACATAAACTCGCTCAATTAACTTCACTATATTGATGTAGACTTTCTCGTAACCATTGATTTGATTGATCTGTTTTCCTGCTCATATATGCATAGCCATTTCCCAGATAACATCCGTAGCCTACGTGCTGTTTATTTACGAATTCTAGCTGTGTTGTCTGGTAGGCTCGGTTTCGTCCCTTGCCGGTTGCTGGGTTTATCTATGTACATGTGGTTTCCACACACATATGCACACACGTGTGGATCACGACAAAGTTATATAATTTCTAAAACCACCTCTTGGCTTGCTTTGATGTTAGAATCTCGAGCCTTAGTAAGACCAAGAGCTCACAAAGCTGGGATACGTAAAGACCACCATAGTGTCCCCCATATAAAGCAGTATGGTCTCTATACCAGCTCTGTTATAAATGCATCAGTAAATGAATCCAATTTTCACCGTATTTTTTTCGGTGGGAAATGTACTATCATAAAAGTGTTTATAAAGTCACGCTTGAAGCGCATATTATTATGTGGAAATGAATCATGAAATGTGCTTTAAGTGCAAATTAATACCTAGCAATATACACTATTTGATACCATACCTTATGTATTGCGGCGGGCAGTAGGGCTCTCCCTTAGCCTTTCCCGCGCATCGCTCATTCAGCACATTTAAATGGGTGTCGATCTAGTAAAAGGTACCTGTGTGGCAACGCAACAAGGCCTCACCAGTTCGCTACCGCACTCTACAGGATCCAATTAATTGATGGAACCAATGACCAAAAAATTAATTCTAGGCTCTCTCAAAGGTGCTCTGAGCTTTAGGGAAATTTGGAGCGCGCTTACCAGTTGTGTGGTTCTTCGGAATAAGGATTTGGCTGTGCGGACGGACGGTTTTCCTAGAACGACACCCAAATACAGATCTACGAGGCCGAAACACCCCGTGCCTCCCTACCCCCAAGACAACTGCAGTGTAGGGTAGATTTCACTAGAGATCGAGGAACTTCTATACTCCATCTTCCTTGGTTCAGTGACTTTCAGGTTCGTGATTTCAACCTAGAGAGTCGGAACCCGTCGGAGACAGAGCTTGGTTTCTATTTAGCCTTAATTAGGATAATTGATATTTATCTCTCCTTCAATATTTGCGCTTTAGAGAAGTTTAGGTTCCTGTTTTCATAACGGTTGACATTCAGGTCAAAACATTGAGAAGCACTGATACAGCTCGAGGAATATCCCATCCAACTTGGATTGCGAAAGCCCTCGAAGGAGAGTGGCTCTCCTCGTTGTTGTGGAGTCAGCCCACAGCCCGGTCTCGAATAGCAGGCCGGAATCCATCAGACTAGGACTTGCATGAGGTGAACCCTCTCGAGATTATATAATTATCTTTGGCTTGACTCGAGAGTATATCGAGCCCATCAAAAACTAGTAGTGAGTAGAATCTGAGCATTGTTGGTCATTGCTGGAGAAGACGAATGAACCGGATTGATATATTGATCTTTCTACACCTGGATCTATAGATCTTTCTCCCCACGAAATATCAGAGAAATAATCCCCAAAACGCTGCAGCATGTTTAATGTCCAGGGGGGAAGATGTGGACCACAACCATACGTTCCAAGTTAATATTTCTACAGTACAATAGTTCTAATTAACTTAAACAACAAACTCAAGACCGTCCGTCTCCGAAGTCGATTCCGCTATCATTTAGAGAGCCACATATCCAACAATTGTATAGTTCTAGGCCATAAATCATGGGAAGGCGCGGCGTAGCAACCTCCCGGGCCACCATGACTACCCACCCAGCAACCACAATTGATCCTTTGGAGAGCTCGTTTTTTGTATAGTTGTTAAATAGTAGCTAAATAAAAAATAGTGTGACATTTAATATCTTGTGTACCAACCCCTTGCCTTTATAACAGCTCTATTCTCCTAGGCATGCTCTCAACTAGCTACCAAATAAATCATCAGGTAACAGTTCCCAGCAATGAATTAGACCTTCCTCCACGAGGGGCTTTAATACTTAAGGTGATCTAGTACCATATGCCAAATGGGGGTACTGTTGATGGTAAAGCTTCTTGAGGTGTACTCAAACATATTCAATGGGATGGAATAGGCAAGCCAGTCCTCCAGAACATCTACCCTATTCTCCTCCAACCAGAGTTGTAAGACTCCGGTTTTTTGTCACAGCAGGGAACCTAGTCATTCTCTCCTAGCTGTCTGGCGGGGTACATGGTCTCTGGGCGCCATCGGTGGTGATGAAAGATTTTGTGTTCAGGCGTTGCGACCTCGCGCCTTCCCATGACTTATGGCATGGCGCTGTACATATTCTTCCTATGAGTGTGAATTCACATGACAAGCTTGTTAATTACTTAATTGACCAACTGTAGAAGTACAGAGAGCCCTTAAATACCAATAATATGACATATCAAATATATCAACAACTTTCACATTAATACCCTAGGTCTCTATGGCAGAGGACCAAACTGGATGAAGCAATGTATCGAGTGATATCTGGTGATTAAGTCACACCAGATCCTATTCCATACCACCAGAAATAATT